GTCTCGACTGTGGTCATCCGGTCAACAGGCAAACAACAGTCCTGCTGACAATACTCTTTTGCAATGATTTCAAAACTGACGAAGAATTGGTTTTACAATTTGTTCTTGGTAGGAAAGATCCAACGTAGTATGAGGGTATTTGTAAACTTTTTTTCGACAATTTCCAAAGTACTTTCACTTTATCAGGGAGATAATGGTGAGATAACTTGACCTTGACATAATCTCTAAACACACTCCATTTAGCTTTACCTGGAGTAGTATTCAATCTATTACTCCAAATCAAATCAAGTTCAGTGGGTAATTTGTTTTCAAACACTTCATGATTTGATCTTTCGATTGATGATTATACTAAATCATCACGTATTTGTAACGCGACTTCAAAAGTTGAGCCGGTTGATCAACTTGACACATATATGACTCATATAAAAGCTCGTGCGATGTTTGAGGATTAGATCTTGGATCATCATCACTATTGGTCAACTTGGAGCTCCAAGATCAAGAAGATGTTGTATAAGTAAACAAAAACTATTAGTAAAGAAAAAACTTGAATATATATGAATTTTATTTTTTGTTGCACCTCGGTGACCTTTCTACCGGGATGTGGCGTGGCTGAAAGGCCACGTGGAAGATCTGTGCTGGCTTTCACGGCTAAGGGACAGGTGGTTGAAAGGCCTGACTGTCAGAAGCCTGACAGTACTGTCAGGGTTCTCCCGATGGCCTCTTGTTCTCCAAAAAGCCAAAATGAAGCCTGGCTGCCGAGCCAACCCGGCCCCCACCGCAGTCTATGCCAAAGCCCTCAGTGTGACGCCACCACCGGGAAATCCATGCCCCACCAAGATGCCGGCTCTCTGCCAAGTCTCCGCAGGACTGGAAGTTGGTATGTGCAACACGGCCACTATACTATACTATACTAGTATAGGCCAATACTACAGTCGCCACGCGCTATAAGCATCATTAAAAATGCACCAAATTTGATGCTTACAAAGCGCGATGCATCAGTTCAAAAGGAGCGTACTGCATATTTGAATTTTTTGTTTCATCAAAATTTGATCCTTATAGTGAAATATGCTTACTCAATGTGTGCTTATATCGAGTGGCGACTGTAGTATAGTACCGCTGGCACCGGTACTTTTGTACCCTGGGTATAGTATAGTATTGACCTCTGCAATTCGATACTTCCAATACTCATCTTGTTATTTGTGTTTGACTCCATGACAACATCAAAAATGCACAAATGAAATGCTCTCTATTGATATACATTGAATAAAACTTGAAATGGAAAGAAAATACTATAAAAATTCCGCTTCAATCTATTGATTTATCTTAATGTATGGCTTTTGATTGTACATTCATTGCAAATGATGGTTTGTTTGTGAAGAGAAAGCTCCATAAGCTTGAAATCAGAACAATGAACATAACAAACTAAATCACCAGAGAAATGTGGAGGCTGGTTCATGGTCTTGTGTAAAACATGAGCAGCTTTATTGTCCTCGATACACTCCTCCATAATCCTTTAGGCCTCTTCAAATCCTGAATCTAGTGGGACTCCATTAGAAATCCATAGCCAACTACTCACGCAACGCTCAATTTTTGTCGGAACTAATGTTCCACGGTCTGTGGTGCAGACATCCGCAGCTGATGAGAAAGTTTGCTCAACAGCGGCCGAGCTCCCACTAACAGCAAGATATTGGCGAGCTAGACCTGAAAGAATAGGGTACTTTCCTTCATGGCTCTGTCAATGAAAGAATTGGATTTCAGACTCTTCACCTAATTTAAAAGACAGAAAGAAGAGGGAGAGAACTCACCTGCCACCACTTCAATGCCAGGTTAGGGTCCATTGCAACATCCTGTGAAGGCGTGTTGCATGCAAGCTGATATTCAGTTAGTCCGTCAATTGTAGAGTTCCCCTTTTGTGAATCATGGAGATACACATTGACTGAGTGACAGATAAGCTCTATGAGCTTCATGAGCAGACCAAGTCCGTCCATACATGTGGGCTTCAGGGTTTGAGTACCTAAATGCAGCACATAGCATATTGTCCTCCACCGTGTGCCAAGGTAGAGCCTGACAAAGGATCCAAAACATCAAGATCTGATTCAATATCTTGTTGTTAAAATTCCATGTTGATCGAACCACAGCTTGATCCTTCCTCTTCAGCCTCCTCTCATATGCAGTCTCCGGTAAGTCAATTCCTGATTCTATTGCTTGAGATTGTGCTTTACACCCAGGATTACCTGACTTTGAGCCTTGCATCAGTCCATCTTGATGAACCTTGAGGTTCTTGTCTGTATCAGCACCGCCTTGAACATCTGATTTGCACCATAAGCAAGGAAACGAGAGGTATGGACCTTTGATGGGCTTTAATACAGGATGTTAAAGACAAAGTTAAAAAAATACTTCCTTGCAGTCAAGAAAACTTTGACTTACATCTTTTCCACCTCGTATGGGTGTACCATATTATTCCATTATGTTTGTGTGCTTGCATATCTCCTTTCAAGGCTTAACTTGATCTTTTGGTTTTTCTCATCAGAGTCCTGCACAAGGTCAACATGTGTTTGGAGGATTTTTAATGAAGTAGTCTAATTTTTGCAAAAGTAAAAAGGTCAGATTAAATTTCAGAAAGAAAAAACAAGAAACTTACTGCTGAATTTGATATCACTGCTTCAGCAAGTAAGTCTTTCTTGATCTTGCGTTTTTTCTTAACCTTTGAATTAGATTTCTTCTTATGCTTTTTTGGCTGGTGATTTGAAGTTTGAGATGAATCAGAATTAACAGCTGATGTACCTTTTGACGGTTGTCAAGAGCGTGTTGATTGTTGTAGAGAGTTCGCTGTTGAGAGGTTGGATTTTGCAGAGGCGTCGTCTGAAGACTCTCGTGATTCATCAGTGTCATCATTGGATGATCATGGTGGTTGGTTTGTGGTAGATGGCATAGTGGTGTTATGAGGGTGACTATATAGTTGATAAAGATGTTGATATTGATATGAGTTGATTGATGTTGTGTTGGTTTAATCAGACTAATGACTGTTCTCAAATCCAGTCGAGACCAATCAAAAGTCACAAGGAGTTGGTTTCTTGACCAGTCAAGTTTCCAAAAACCTTGTTCTATGATCCTGATTATCTATAGATAGTTGATTTGATCAGTTGATAGGTTGGTGAAGTGATGAGGTAGGTGATTGTATGGGATTCTTTTTGTGGTGATATATTGTATAGTACCACTGATCTCAAAGGCAATACTCACAATGCCCAGTCTAAATTCGGATCTCCAGTACTAGTATTGGGCAGTATAGTACCACAGTCCCGGTACTATACTGGTACTGTACCGTCACAGTATAGTACAGTGGCCGCATTGGTACGTGTTGACATACGGGAATGGGTGGAAGAGGGCTTTTGAATAATGTTACTTGGGTACGCAAAGTGATCCAATAGCGGTACACAAACACCACAACCCAACCTCAGAAACCCATCCAAAAAACCCATGGCAAGCCCATTGATTTTGAGTTTTTAGCCCTAAAAAATCCAAAAACCAATTGGGTTGCAATGGGTTCTATTAGGTCTGTTTGAGGTGTTTGTGTACCACTATTCCATACAGGCAAAAAGCATGAATCATTCCAAGATGTATCAACAATCTGTTCATATGTCTCAACAGGATGGACAACTAGGACAAAGAAGGAAATGGTTTCCCTAGAATTCTCAATTTCCCTCTTACAGCCTGTGAGGGTAGGTGCTCAGGAAGAGGACTCTAAGCCACTAATTGGGCAATTGGTGGGTAGGATTTCAAGAACTTCAATTCTTTATTTCATATATGTAGTATCTACAAGTGAAATAAAGAAAGGAAAAGAAAGAGAGAGAATAGCACTAGTAGTCTGTTGGGACAAATCAAGTCAGACTACAGTTAAGTGACTCCTTATAAGGAGATTTATAAGTAATAACTATTATTATTATTATTGGATGAGGGTTGGATCCAAGACCCTCCTTTAATCTTCTGTTATCTGATTTAAAGGGTGAGATAAAGATCACCAAACTAGTTGTTCTTATGGTCACTAACCTTGGGTTATTCTTATGGTCACCAACCTGAAAGTTTTCTTAAGGTCACTAACCTGGGGCTGTTAGAGGTCACCAACCTAGGTTTGATTTCTACTTGGGGGAAGTAGAGGATCCAGAGGGGTGTGAAGGAATGTATTACTTACTTTTAATCAGGAAGCTGATGAAAGTTGTAAGAAGTTTATCACTAGTCTTATCTTTGTAAGACTCTTGATATATACTTCTGTAGAACTTTCATATTGTTCTTTAAAAGTGTAGTGTAATAATTGCTTGGGGCTCTTTCTCTGAAGGCTGAGAGAGGAGGGGTTTATATACTCTCCTCTCTAAACCTAACTGTAGTGATATTTGTTCTTATCACTACATTGGTTCAGGGTTACACTACAAAAAATGTCATCTTTTCTCATGAGACTAGAAAAGCCCGGGTGGCATAGAAAATGTCGGTCCACACTTTTCTTTTCTCACTTGACTAGTTTTCACTGGTAGATAGCATCTATGTCTGTGCCCGTCCCACATACATAGGACCCTAAAGATCATCAAGCGGCAAAGTTTTCTTTGCTTCCAGTGTACTTTATCCAAAAAACAGATTGGCAAAAGTGGCTCACATATATTGGTTATATCTTCTGAGACTCGCCCGACAACTCATGCTACACATGGCTTGTTTGATTTGCAGGATAATATCCTTGTTCAATGGCCAAGTCATCTTATTCAAGAAACTCTTGGGAAGGCCGCTCTTTTACCATGCCCTCCTCATTTCCCTACAACTCGCCAGCAGACAGGCTTATAAATTTATAACATCATCGTCTTTTTCCGAATCAATATAGCGATCTCTACCTCTGTTGATGTCCTTTTTCAACTCTTTTTAAACCTTGCTGTTGCTGCGCATAAGCGTCTCGAAATAGTTTCCAACAATCGTATTTGACTTTATCTCACTTTCTGCTCATAGTCTCCAAACGTCTCATGACCAGCAGGATGCATCCAGCCTCAAAGCCAGAGGTGTTCGATCCGAGTGCACCTGGTGTTGGAAAGCAGATGATGCTGGATTGGCTACGAATAAATTTTCCATTGATTCCAGTCAATGGTCAACTAAGTAAATCCAAGATAGCCGAGACGGTCCGGGAGCAGCAGCCTGAGTGTTCGTAGATCCCATTTTCAACTTTCAATCATCGCAAATGTTTCTAACTCTCATTCAAATTACATATCTCACCTCCAACGTATCAAGTCTTTCCGGATCCTACAAGTTCATCACCGCCCCAACGATTTGATCAAAGCGGCACATCTAGCATGAACAATCCAGAGGAAGCGAAAAAAGACAGTTCCTCTAGTACGACTTCCATGCCACATCCTTCCGCCGTTTCTTCTTCTTCTAAAACTGTCAAGAAGGACTTGGGAGCCCATCCACCACCATCATCAGTTGCTCGTTTGGCCAAGCGATCAGTGTCAAATGAGACAGACAAAAACTCCAACAAGAGATCTGCAACTGGTACTGTATCTGAATTTGAAATCATGAATCCCCATACTTCACGGTAAGCTAATGGAACGATTGGCGTCTTCTACAACAACAGGGTCCCGTTGCGTCTCAAGTGTAACTCCAAAATCAAACAAGGTATATGAGCCTTGTTCCCTATCTTACCTACTGTGACCAAGTTATGCTGATGCCGAATCCAAGACCTCACATCGCTCAAAAAGCACAAAACCCACAACTACAGACGATGTTGAAGTTTCAGATGATGTTCATAAAGTCGAACTGTCTGGATCCACACCCCAATTTATCAGCTCACATTTGCTTGGGCCAGAAGGAGCACAGTCATTCATTAGTCCTGATCTGATCCCTCTTCAACACATGAACAAGTCATCTTTTCGTCGTATTCCACCAAAATCGCCTTGTTTGAAGACTCAAACTAACGATCTGGTCGATGTGGGCCCACAAAGTGCTGTTATCCCAAGTGTTACCAAGGTGAAATTCCATCCCGACTTGATTGAGTTTTCGGACCTCGATCTCTTTGAGACTGAAAATACGGGTGAGCTGCCTTGTCTAAATCTTCCGCATTGTATTTGGTCTGATTTAGTCTGACCTATCCCGCTGAAAAAAACAGAGACAGAGCCTGTCATACCTTGCCTTACAAACAGCGGGAAGCAAAGGTCAGGTGTTGATATTTTCTTGATGGAGCAACATCGCAATGACAAAAGTAAGTAAATTCCGCCTATCTTCTGATCTTATATCTCCTTTTCAAAGCTTGATCCACATTTGTTTAGTCTTAGGTCTTGAAACAGCTCTATCCGAATTGAAAACCAAAATTGAGATGACCGCAAAGTCAGATATTGATACAAAGAAAGCACATCAACAAGGTACAAGTCGTCATCATCTTTTCGCCATAATATCGAAGCTGACCCCACCTGCAGATGATCTACTCCAAGGACTCAAAGCCGATGTCGCACACCTCAAAAAGAAGAGTAGGACAATTGATCAACTAAACGACAAAGCTGCCAGTATGGAGCAAGAACTCATACACCTGAAGGAAAAGTTAGATGAAGCTCTCTCAGAACTTCAAAAACAGGAAGAGATAATTACAAAGATGATGAGCTTATCAGATTCTGAAGATACAGCCTCTGAGTAAACTTATGGTTCTAGACGTAAATCTATTACCGAGTCTTGGGAAAACAGATTTTACTTTTCATTTTGTTTCCATGATCCCGTCATTTCTATTATATCACCCTAAATAGCTATGAAATCTTAAATGTTACACTGAGCTGAAACTTGATCAATCGAGGAGCATACATATTCTCATGTACTTTGATTCAAATCTGCTCTTCCATTGAGATCTAAAAGATTTGTTCATTGTGTCACTCTTTAAATGTCCAAACCACTCTGACAGCGCTACCAACACAATTCTTGAATATTGACTTAATGCCCTTGCATTTGCTAGGGGATCATTATACAAATGAAAGAAGATGATCGAGCAACAAGTTCAGATTTGCCAAGTATTACAATCACGCTTGTCCTTGATCATAGGTAAATACAAAGGGGCACAAGCCACCCTGAGTGATCATTTGGATCCCCGACAAAGGAAATCATGAAACCCAATGGTATTTTTTTAATATGATGTACTCGTTGGATGTGTCGAGGTGTATACAAACATAAGATCAAGTTATGAGGCGGTAATTATTATGTCCTTCATGACATCCTCTTATGATGACTTTTCTATTCTCAGAGTGTATCCTAGTAATGAATCATAAATCTGATGATTGATACGTCAAACAAATGCGTTTGAGTTGCCTAGTCATGACAACCATCCCATGAAAGGACGTCTTGGTGCTAGAAGACTTTATATTTTGGTCTTTTAGAAGCTGATCATCAGTTCACACTTTCCGTTTCTTCAAATACTTGTGATTTTCTTTCTAAAAAACTATTTCAAGCTTGTTTTTTTTTGAAAGCATCCTGCTCCAAAACTCATTGTCTTCAACTCTTCGTTTTTTGAAACCTGATGATTTCAAACCTTTCAATTCTTCAGAGAACTGACCATTTCAAAGTCTCTCGTCTTTTGAATTCCTTAGCACTTCACACTCTTACTTTTTTAACATATTTATCATTCCAAACTCTCTCGTTCTTTGAAAAACTTATCGTTTGAAGCTTTTGCTTTTCTCAACTTTTCATTTCAAGCTTTTTGGATTTCCCCAACTCACCGTTAAGATTTTGATCCTTTGAAACCTTATCATCCCAAGCCTATGTTTTTTTAAACCTAACATTTCAAGCTTTTTATCTTTGAAAAACTTTACATTTCAAGCTTTTTGTTTTTGTAAACAGCTCACCTCAAACTTTTCGTTTTTCCAAAACTTATCATTTCGAGTCTTTTGTGTTTCAAAAACCTACGATCTTAAACTTCATTTTTCAGAACCTTGTGATTTGAAACCAAATCTTTGGGCATCTACTTAAGAGTGGTAACAGCTACTCAGAGATCATGGTCAAAAAAGTGATACCTCCGCCTTCGAGTCCACCAAGAAAAGCGGTTTCAAAAAAAAGAAAGAAAGACGAATCAGGTCCGGAAATCAGTAAGCCAAGTCTTGATCTGATCTACATCACTTACAGACTATTTACTGATGAGTTCTGTTATCCAAGACCAAACTGGAAACAGCACAAGTGCTATACAGGACTCGTTAAAGGACGTTGGAGTTACCGTTGGAGTTAAAACTCAGAGGGATCGTTTGCTTGGATTACTGTCTTGGCATGTGATACGGAAGAAGCCTCAAATGTCCAAGAGGCTAGTCCCAGACATCACCCCAAGATGCAAAGACAACCGATTTGTAGAGGCCTGCGACATCGAAATTCCCAGTCAGCTATCCGATGAGGGTCCTAATTATTCTCTATTTTCAAACCCCGACCTTGTGGAGATGATTCGTGGTGTGGGACTTGATGCCACTGATTTTGATCGCACAAATCTCATCAAGATGTGTAAGACATATAGTGAATTGAGTAAGTTTGTCTTCCTTCGTCCAAGAATTGAGCTGGAATCTGACGTACATATGAGCATGATAGTTATCATTCCGGATCACCTACAGAAATTCTCCTTCGAGTCTTCAAACACATCAGAGCCCAAAGAAGGTCAATATCTTGTCATGTGCTGAATATAGAGACTGTTCTCATTTTTACATCTTCGACTGCTTAACCAGACTCGAGTCGGGATCAATCCCAACAGCCTGTGGCAGGACCATTGGTACCCACAATTCGAAGTTCAGAGCCCAAAGAAGGTCAGTAATAGTATCATGTAATGTGTACAATCATCAATATAGGTACCGTGTTCTTACTCTTACACCTTTGATTGCAGTTCCAGACTCGAGCCCGGATTGTTCCGAATCCCAACAGCCGGTTGCAGGACCATCTGTATCCTCCATTCGAAGTCTTAAGAACATCCGCTCAAAGAAGCCTGGAGTGCGCTCAATCAAAAAGTCGTTGCCAAAACCAAGAAAATCAGGAAAGGGCAAACTCAAAGCACGTGGAAGCGATGACTACACAACATCTCACTCTGGAAGCGATGACTACGTACCATCTAACTCTGGAACCGACAACTCCAATCCATCAGACACCTACATCAGCGAAGCTAGTGATGATGAAAATTCAAATACCAGACCCAATACTTCGTGCGACACTTCCAGGCCCAAAGGAAGGCAGAATAGCAAAGGCACCTTCACCCTTGATAGCGTACTTGAGTCTGGAGAGTCTCTGGAAACAAACTCAATTCCTGAAGCACGAGATGGACCAGACGATTCGAATCCCAAAAAACCATCAAAAAATGAGTCTGATAAGCTAGAAACTGGAAGTGCGGACTGGGTCATTCAAAGGATTTGTGAGTGCAGTTTCATATATCTGTTTCTGGGTTTGTTTGATCCTCAATGAAGCAGAAACTGATGCCTGTTTCTATGTAGATAAGCTCGAAGCTCACATAGCAAGGACAGACAAGAGACTTGAGGCGATATCAGAAAAGTTTGATATTTTATCTGACGTTGTTGACAAAAGAATTGGGACATGCTCTCCAAAGGGCAGTGGTACTAAGTCACGCGGTGGGCAAACTTCAGTCAGTTGTTTTTCTATGCGCTCAGTCTTGAATCAAGATTAATCCTTTAAATTGGATTAGGCTCGGATACGATTTCACATTGAGACAATGTTTGGGCAGAGGGACCAGGAGAACAATCTTCCACGCCCTGCAACCGAAATCAAAAGGAGCGCTTGGATGTGTGATGTTGAACCGAAAAGTATTAATATCAATGAAGATTCCAGTGCTCAAACCTCTCATGCGCAGCCCTTTGATCCATGTTTCTCGTATCCAAATGGACCCGGGCATAAAGACTCCACTCCTCAGCAACTTTCGGTCATATGGAATATGATGCAAGCAGTGGGAGTCTCAAGCTTTCGTCCAGACTTTTCGGAACCACCTCATTCACAACCCAACAAGTGGTTATGGGATCTTGCTTTAAATATATTTATAAAATTAGTTGAATGCGGAGAGTATACTGGAGTACCTCTACAGAATGGCGACCACGACTTCATCAAGAGGTGTCTCTTCACTCATGTCATGTCACTCAAAAAGCGGTAAGCTTCAACTTGATACTTGCTTCATGATGATGACCAATCCTCTTGGTAGACTTACACAGGGCTTCTTTGGCTAAACACATCTTATATATAGCTACCAAAACGAAAACTGGGATGAGGAACGCAGGAAAAGAACAGCCGATGAAGTTCGGAGAAGCGCTAGGCTAAGATACGTAAGTACCACATTTTAAAATACACAATTGATGGAAAACCCCTCACATTGAATATTCCGAATCTTAGTTGCAACGGCTGCGTGAAAATGTAGTTCTTTCTCAAAAAGAACTATGGCCACTTTCAAAAATTGTTATTGTGGCATGCAGCGATGATGAGACTGATAATGAGCGGGCAATCTCACCTGAGGATCCACAGGGTCCAGGAAGACCCTGTCGTGTTCGAAATCTTGAATGGCGTAGCAAGGAGCTTGAAAATATCTGTCTATTACTCGATTCTTCCAAGGCAAAAACCGATTCCAGCACACCAGGGAAGAACAAGTCGCCGAAACTCACCGGACGTCCTACCAGGCCACGTTTGCGTGGCGAAGACAGGCCGGTAACCCGCACCTCTGTTCCGTCCGCCCTTCCTATTGATTGCTACTCTGTACGATGGCTACAGAGTCTTTCTCCTCTTGAGAGAAGCGAGCTGGACATTGCTTCTAAACCTATTCTGAAGGATCTACTTCCAATAGTTAAAAGGATTTGATTTCATTTCAAAGAACATATTGTAAACAGGACTCTTATTTATGTCATACAAGTATTCTATCTTTAATCTTTTGTATCGATGATTGTGTATTGGTTTGGTGAGATATTTGGCACTGGAATGCATCAAATACCCCTCATCGCACCATTGAGACCAGCGCCACAGTAGGAATATTGAGATTCCTACTCAACTCTTTGGGCTTATACATTAGCCATGAACAATGTGCTATTATCTCATTTAGTCTGACTATTCTATCTTCAGGCGCATCCCACACCCGTAAATGCATGTTCATATCTGGCATCTGGACACGTGCAAAAGGGTCCCTTGATGATGATGGTATTGGCTTGAAACACTGAATTTGTAGCCAGGTATCAATTATATTCTCACCCAATACTGGAGATCGATGGTGTTCGAAGATTTTTGATATACGTCCAAAGCAGTCAGAGGTGTCTGTGATTGATCGGAAGACAACAAAGCTATCATCCATACTGCTCTTGAAGTTTGAGTAGGTCACACCACAATGTTCCTGTCGTTTGTGAAAAAAAGCACGGGCTGGAACTGGTGAAAAGCCAAGTGCATCATCAGACGACAATGTGGCCCAAATCTTCGGAGCTAACCATGTACAGCTATCACATTGATCATCATCCAGACGCCTAATCAAAAGTGCTAGAGTGTTTTCACTCAGTGGTTCGAGCCGAGAATTCGACATGGGGCTTAGGATCTTGCGGCTCGTAAAAAGATTTCAGCTGCGTAATATGGGGTCTGAGTTCGTCTGGCAGTTTTTTCTCATCTTGAAGTAGAGCTGAGAGATTCCCGGCCCGACAGAAGTTCTTGAGAAATGTGATTTCGAGCTGCCCTGCAATATTAAACAAATATCTGACTTTAGCTGAGGAAGGGATGTATTACAATTATATACAAAACACTGACCAACATGATTATTATGACAGGCTTTCAAAATATTTCCCATTAGGCGTTCATACGGAAAAGACCACCAAGATCGCACTGAACCAAACTTTTCAAGACAGTCCCCCAAATGAATGGCCATATGGTGGTTCGGTGTCAGGGTACAATGCTGAAAAAGTATAACTGAGCTTTCCAAGTATTCTCGAATATGATAACGGTATTTCTGTATGTGTTCATCCGTGATTGCACGCTTGAGAGCTAGGTTGACTAATGAAACTAGATGACAAAAGTTCTGCAGCAAAGAAGTCTGAACTTGATCATTACCAAACCACTTTGGAATCAATACCAAGGGTAATTGAATGGAGAATAGATTTCTCCACTCATCAGCTTTAAGCTTACCAAAGGAAGCCTTCCCAAGAGCTGGTATTGCTCTCTTGATCCACGTTGGAATATGAATCCGTGGTAAGAAAGAATTGACATACTGTAACATTGAAGAATCAAAGATTATCTCGTCAAGAGGTGGAGAAACCCACTCTCCTACCCATCCACTATCATTCAACGGATCAAATTCAGAATCACTCAAGTCTGTGCCATCATCAAATGAGTTGTCTATCACATTTTCACCATCAACACTTTTCTCCACCTTTGGCAACCTGCGATTCTTGGGTTTTTTTTCGGAGTGTTCTGCTAATAGACTTAGTAGCTCATTTGTACTGATTCCTGGAACTTTGTCTTCTTCGCTGGTAATTTCCGCCATTGCCCAAAACCTTCTACAGTGCGACATGAAGAGACCGAGCAACAGATTATGCATTGAATCTACAACATGAAATTCGATGATATTCCAGTACTCTAACTCAATTAATACGGAGTACCGCACTCCATGAGTTTTGAAGATTTTTTTTCTTTCTGAAACAGTTTTGGCATCTCGAGCTTGTTGAGCCCACACTCTGTGTTGAGCACAAGGTCGTAAAGGCCATGATGTGGTGTCAAAATTGTTGATTTCGCTTTTTTTGAGAAGACAGTAGGAGCAAAAATAGGTTGCTGTTGCGCTTGGAAAACCCAGAGAGCGCCTCAAAGCAGGGATGTCGGCTACAAAAGGTAGTAATGCAGCCCTAACCAGGCGTCCCTCTTTGTAGAGATGAGTTTGAGACAGTAAAAGTCCAGGATTCCACAAGGTTTGAAGTTGAGTTACAATTGGCCTTAGAACCCAGTTCATTTGTTCCAGTGAAGGTTCACGTGGTCCTGGAACCACTCCAGCAATGAAAATATTTTCAGGACGAAACCGTATCTTAAATGGAAGTGTTAGACAAACTAGTATGATAAAAGTGATAGATGTATGATGACCACTTTGTTTATTTCCAAATGGATTGATACCATCCACAAACATCCCAAAAACCAAATTCCCGCTGGCTTTTGTGAACTGTTTTCCATCTGGGCCTTTGAATTCTTTCCAAATCTTTGAATGATGAATATCGCTGATTTTGGAGGCCGGTTCAAATGGCTTTGATGATTCCTCGAGTGATTCATCAAGGGACAGCTCAATCGTTGGACGAGACAACAAGCGTGATATCCAATTGGAGAGATCTTGAAACGCATACTGCCGCACAGGTCTCTCGTTTCCTCGGGAAAATTTTATCAGAGGTTCGCCACAAGTTTCTTCGGTGAAGGCATCATCAGGATGTGTGGTTGGATTTGCACTCGTCACCATATCGGGATTGTTTTCAATAGGCCCACCCGGAATTGTAGATATCTTATGATTGCATCGCATTGGCGTGTTGGTTGGTGGATGTAAAGCAAAGCATGCTCGGCAGCAGTTCATATAGATCAGGTCAGGATCGATCTCAAGCCAGTTGATAGCGGTACCAATACCTTTTGGTATTTTACGTAGAGCAACAGTCTCAGCCGGAAGAAGGACGCGAGAACTTTGTGAGAGACATGGTACAAGTCCCAGAGTCCAAGATAATTCGATCGTGATCCTCTGGACATTAAGTAGCCAGGAAGCTGTACTATTTGATGAATGGTCGTATATATTCATAATTACCGTTGTCAGCACAGCATGTAGAGCCAACGCTGGGACTTGTGTGAGCGTAAATTTGTGAAATCGGCCTGCAAAATAAACAGATTAGTTTACGGAAGACTCTGGATGTCAACACTAGGATGAAAGACGTACTGCAATCATGTTTCTTGACACCTTCAGATTGGGCGACAACAGCTGCTAGACAAGTTCTTGATGGTGTTGCTTCTGTATTCTCCGATGATGTGGAACGATTGGGATTAGAGAAGGAACATTCGGGATTTATGTCTAATCGTTCTCCAGACTCAGGTCGGGGAGTTCCTACCACTTGAGATTCTTGCAGTGGATTCGATGATTCGTTTACATTTAGATGATCCCTAGTGGTTCTTATAGATGATGATTGTAAAGAGATCTGTGCGAGAGATGTAACCAGATCATCCTGATCTGAACCACCGCCAGGCTCAAGCAAAGGTCCTTCGATGTTGGAGTTTGTTGATAAGGAAGACTCTTGAGCCTGGTTACGAAGCTCAGCACGTTGATGAGCCTCATATGCTTCCCGAGTAAGTTCAACTCCTGATTGCTGTTGCCCATATGCATCCAAATAGACACCTGAACTGCAATGGAAAGCTTTGCAGCAGCACACAATACGCCGGACATGTCCAGCCTGCTTTTGACGAGGAGCCATCCTCTCGAACAAATCACACAGTATAGATGTTGAATATTTGACAGATAGTTAACGGAAAAAGCAGAACATACGAGAAAAAAACCTTGGTGAAAATACAATGAGGTATACTTTTGGAAAGCAAGAATGGTATGTATAATGTAGTCCAAAAAAGAGTTCACAGAAGTCTGCCACATGATATAGCCAAATAGTACAACATTTCATTCGCAACACAATCCACACGATCCACAAAAAGTTACACCATATAAGCCGATACATCACGTAGAATTAGATTCCTACTAGAATATCCTTTGGTTTAGGCTGAAACTTGAATTCTTATCGTTTATTTAAACAAGCATCTGCGGCCATTGGGAACCAAAACCAGTGTTTCGGAGATTGGGTGCATGAAACACCTTCTTGACAAATGAACTGGGTTGATTGATAGTCTGTGTTACAAGAAAAGCAGGTTAAAGATTTGTTAGAGACTTTGTTGATAGATGAAGTAACGCACAAAATCACTCTTGCATATCCACCGACGGCATCAGGTCTGAAACTTGAGAATAATGATATCCCGAGATAACACGTCCTTCGGGAACATCCTCCTCACAAACAAATTTTATGTACAAGTCGACCAGAACCGGATGTACTAGACCAACAGAGTGGACAAATATGTATGGAGCATGACATTGGAGTGAAAATCGTAAGAATTCGATTGTCTTTTTATGAGCCTTTCCAGCTGCGAGGGTCTTGGGCTTGCAACTGAACTCCTTACTAAAAGGTAGGACTAGATCAGGATCCACATGAGCCTTGTAGAGTACCAGGACTTGATCGACTCGGGCGTCTTGTCGAATTGTAACACCTGGGCAACGGCTATGGATGGCGTCACATAACATTGCACGGGTAGTATGACGACTGAGCGGATCGAAATCAATATCGGGTTTGAGAGTGTCAGATGGTGGAACAGATGTTCTGATCAAAAATGGCTCAAGAAGTGGTCGCAAGTCGGTCATAAAGTCGTGAGTCAGCTTGGCCTTGTTATGAGTCGGACGCGATTTTGTTTCGGGATTGAAATGAGCCAAGACCCTGTAGTAATTTAAGTTCTTTATCCCTGAAGCCATTGATTCAAAGTCGATTTCGAGAAAAACATGGAGGTCTTTAGGTAATGTTTGGACTTTAGGCCACAACGGATGATTGAAAAGATTTGAGAAGTTTGCTTGAGGATTTTGACTCGTGCTGGGATCTTTAGCAGTTTGGGTTGAGTTTGGGGTAGGGCTAGTTGGTTCCTTCGTCTTCAGACTATGATCCGCAACCATCGAAGCCCCAGGAGACTTAAGCGACCCTTTGCGGCTTTTACTTTTCGTCATATCTGTGAGAAAGAATCCAGACGATTAGATCAACAGCTAATTATCAGAAAATTAACAAAGACAAACTATCTGAAGGTATTGATCTAGTATCATCACTGAATGTGAAAATTCACCTTTATAATCTTCGAAATTAGATATCTGATATAAAAAAGAACAGGTAGTGGTGGTTCATAAAAGACAGATGTATTTTTTGTGAGTCAGTGATTGCTTTAGTTCACGTACATTGTTCTTTTCTATGTTGTGGCGGGATCTATTGCTGAAATATCATCATACAGGGGATCATGAAAGTTAAACCACGTACATATTTTTCCTTTTGTTATGTCACAGTGCACATTCGAAAGGGTGAGTTGGGGTGTGATGGTCAAAGTGCAGAATCAATGAGTTGCCCGTTTTCGAGACTTAAAGTTATATCATGACAATACCTTCACGATCCCTAGCGCACGAGTTGGGAAATAATAAAGGAAGAAATTTATATCCATCTTCGAGAGAGCCGATTTATTAAAATGACTTTGTGTAAATATAATATATATTATCGGATGTTCATAAAGAATTCCATGCATGCAAGTGGTGCATGAGTGGGGCAAGCAATGGGATTAGGAACGAGATTAGGAAAGGGTAAGAAGATAACTACAGATCAACACCAAGGCAAATTAACAATGCCCTTTCACCTCTGAAAACACCTACCCATCTCGTTTTTTGTTCTTATGATAATAAACCATGTCAACCTCGCTTGGGCCTAACTCACTTTGAGTGATTTGTCCTGTCTCCGTTTCGTTTAATTATCACCTATATTCAAGTTAGTCGATGATATTTCACTCGATTTCCAGTTTATCTTTTCTCTATTCTGACAATTCTTTTAGGAAAGTTGCCACAATGTTCCCAACTTTCATGATCTATGGTCAATCACGGGGAAGTGTCATGCCTGAGCTACGAGCCATGGCCTTCCAAACTCGAACTCCAACCTCGGAACTTTCACAACAGACTTCTCCAGAGCGCATCAGCTCGTTCAATCTGCGTTTTGAACTGCACCTTGATTCGGGATGCTACCATTTGGTCCCTCAGGCTCTTGAAAAACATGTAGAACACTATCAATTTCTCAACACCCAAGAACTCGACTTGATAAAAGATCATCTTAGTGCTATCCAGGATCAGATTCATGATACTATTTCTTATCTCTGTGATGCTGAACGTGTAGTGGGATATGTAGAAATGGCATTGGGTTTGCCTGATCCCGAATTTTCCGCCCATCATCATATACTCAAGGAGCAACTAAAGAAATCACGCGCGGAACGTAAAGAGTATATGCGCGCATTCAAACGTTACAACAGAGACGTGGCAAGACGTGGAGCAATTCTTTCTAGGGAGAAGTGAGTAAACATTTAATAAATCACAACGTATCATGATAAATGTCTTCACACAACTCACTTTACTTGTATTTTGTCACATCATCTATGATCATCTCACTTTCTTGAACCTAGCAAACGCACTTGCGATTTTGAGGATGCTGCAGTGTAGCTCGAACTAATCCTGAACCCACCTCACCGGTTTCCAAACCTGCCACACCACTAGCCTCCGATCTCGTTAGTCTAGTGATTCACTGAAATCTGAAATTCCACTGTTGTGACCTTGTGATATGGTGTGTGATATCGATGTATCAAATTTCCTTGTCTTACAGTCATACTTAGAAGTTTTTTGTTCAAATATGTGCATCAACGTGTATTGAGTTGGGACTGTACACATTGATGAATATGCAAGGGTCAAAAGTCGTCAAATGATTGATTGGCAATGTGTTGTTTGTGATTATCTGAGAGCAATTTTCTCTAGATTATATGTGTGCACAAAAGATCCTGTGCAAGATTAAGTAACTTTCCTTTTCGTATTTTTTTTCTGATCAAAGGAAGCCTTCATTATACATTTGGATTACTTAGATCTGACTTCAGTACAAGTACTCACTAGCTAGGTTTCATATCTTTTCTTATAAAATACTAGACATGATGTTTGAATCATCATCTTAAGCATTTCTAGTCAGTTATCATATATCTTGTCCTGTATAGCATTCTTTTGGTTTGTTCGTGGAGTCAACTGCAAATTTGGTAATCAAAATTTACTCTATATCTTAAGGTAAAATCCAGATGTACAAACATAGTAAAGTGAGAAAAGAAAAGTATGGACAAAACTTTTCTATGTCACGTGACTTTTCTAGTCTCATGAGAAAAGATGACATTTTTTGTAGTGTTAGTCATTAACATATAGTAATGATTGTTACTAGTGATGCTTAGTTACATATACATGTTATGTGTGATATGTAATATAAGCATTTTAACTCTTGACACTGAGTTATGAGGTGTAAATGGTGATTTATTACATATTCCATGTTGTTTTACAGGTTCAGGTATATGTAATAAAGGTTTTGACATTGTATTACATGTTACATACAGTTTATATTCAGTATGTAGCATGTAATTGATTTTATACATAGGGTTTTTACTGTTACAGGTTAGTTTTGGGTACATGTGTATGTACTCAGGGCTGACACAGCCATTCCAATATTTCTTGTTGCTCTGCTGTGAAAAATAAAAAGTGAAACTTGGCAAAACCTAAGTTTTTACTCACTAAAACTTTGAAATTGGCTGTAATTTAGGGAAATACAGCCAATTTTCAGGTTTTAACTGTTCAAAACTTAGATTTCAAGCTCATAAACTTTTTCTTTTCAAAAATGTTGCAACAAGCAATATTGGAATGGCTGTATCCTAATTGCTTACAGTCGTTTTCAAAAAGCTTGCTCAAATTTGCCCGCAGAACTCAAGCAATTTGGCGGTGAATTTGCTGCAAGCTTTTTGCAAATGCTGTAGAACAAAATCATTATAAAAAATTATCATCTCTTTCATCCATTTCCATTATCCAAGAAAAAATCTATATTCTACATTTTTTGTTTATTGAAAAATCTCTACCACCCACCCACCCTGACAAGGTTAAAGGGGATAAATCAAAATGTATCATAATCTAACATGTCAGACATAAATTAGCCACCCGCTGAATTTCCGTGTTTTTCTCTAAAGTTCAACCACTGATTGTCATGTCTGTTCTCTTACCTACTCTTTATTCCTATGCTAATAAAGCAGCCTCTGTAGCCATTGAGTGTGAACCCAGATACCTACTATCTAGGGCCAAAGACCCATTCCCCTGGAAAGTGTATACAAACCCTCTTAACAAAACACACTTTTGGGGTGTTTGCTCATGCACACAACACTCAACTACCTTTGAAGGTGCACAGTAGCATGTTGGGTGCAGGCAAAGAAGGGCTATCTTATGATACCAACCTTGAGTTTTTTGGAGGGCTGGTTGAGGAGGAAAATGCAAGAAAACATTTTTGTATGATCCTGGGTGTATTCCTACATATTGGGGCCAGGGCTCTACATTGGGTTTTACCCAAAACCACTGCCCCTATCATAGTAAAATTATATGTACTAGAAAGCTGTGGCATAGTTTAACTTGTGACAGTTTTCAAAACTGGTAAAATGGTCATGGCTGTGTGGAAAAAGCCTAAAATCTGACAAAAACATAATTTGGGTACAAATTAGGAGGGTCTGTGTGCGCTCTACAGGGTCCTGTCCCCGCAACTTCCCAGTTGTGCTGCACCTTTCCTGGAATGGCATAACTTTCTACTCAGCACTGCCAACATAGATACCACAGATTGAAAAATACAAGGCATCATGTAAGGCCTTTGTTAGCCTTCACTAGAGCTGCAGATCCTTTCCGGAGAGATTGACTTGAGGAGAGCAGTGGGACAAGATTAAACTTTGAACTTTTTCATATTAATTATGAGCTAGATACAAATAATCCATAGTCTCAGAGAGTCAGTAAGGACCAGGCGCAGATCTCCTGGTTTGTGCTTGTTATTAGTAGGTAAAAGCACTTTTAGATTGATCTTTGACTTTGAGATCTGCTGATGATCCTGGATGATCTCACTTAGAGTGCATGTGACATGCTACAGCATGTCGCACACCTACCTATCTAACACCATGCCTAGGCATTGAGATGTCCAATGATTGACACCTCAGTGCAAATGCTGAGCTCTCTTGACGAATCAGATCCCCTGTGACTCATGCCAATTCCTCTTTGATCTCCCTTCCTCTCACAAACTGCCGCTCAAATTTGTCCACATGGAAGACCACCATTTACTATTCCAGCCAAATAGACTCCACAACAACTTATCTAACAAAGCAAGAGAAATCAGACTAACCACACAGGTACAGATTTAGAGAATGTGACTGAGGAGATTGGATTACGGGCTTGATATATGCACATATATCATATATGCTGTACACTTGCAACCTTTCACAGAAAGGTTATTTCAAAAACCATAGCTCTGTGCTGTGAATGAAGCTCACAAAGGTTAACCAGACGAGCCAAAAAGGACAGAAGTGCAAGAGAGTGCAAGATAAATCACTTCCAAAATGTCATCAAATCGAATGTTACAAATCAAAAACCTCAAGTAGTAAGAAAATAAAAAGACTCGGAAATAGAGCTTTTTATTCCCTTACTATGCAATCCGACAAATCTGGGGTCATGCAAAGAGCAACATCATACACTCATCATTCATGAGTGTATGAAGTTGTGCCTCACTGAAACTATATGAGGCACGACAAGAAGAAAACACTGAATCACAAATCACATCACGTACGGTGTCTCAGATGGCAAAATAACTCCATTTTTAGACGTGAATGTGAGCAAACGTGAAAAACAACTCATTTTGGTAATACAAAGACCTGGGCTTCTGCGCCTGGTCCTTAGTGATGCTACTCAAAACAATAGAGAAGATATATTAAAAGAGAATCAACCAAAAGAAGAGATGCTCACGTAGCTCCAAATAATCCACAGTAAGTCTCTTGAAGAGTGAGAATTATCTGGAGCCCAGTTTAGAGAAGACACATAAGTGTGCTTTGTTCAATCCCATAACCTATTACCATAGCCTATTTTCACATGTGTATTCCTTACACATCATTGGAAATAGTCTGCACTAGGGCTGTGACCCGACCCTGTGAGTTCAGGGCCGGACCCGGGGCCAAATAGAGCCCTGAGCAAGCCCGATGACCTCTGAGAACTGCTCAGGGCCAACCAGGGCCGGCAAGAGAGTAGCGTGAAGGCATTTTTTGGGTGAAAAAAGGGTCGGCAACCCGGCCGGGTCGAGTGCCCGAGCTGCCTGAAGCGCCCACGGGGCCGTATTTAACCGTTATTGAACTGCATATGGATGCCCCGGGGCACGCACCGTCAGCTTCGTGAAAGTCGTCGGGCAGAGTCGGCCGGGCGGGGCCGGGTCCGGGTCCGGGTCACAGCCCTAGTCTGCACAAGGTTTTCAATCCAATGATACCTCAGATTTTTCAATCTGAGACATCTATGTTGGCTGTGCAGAAGCTCAATCATTAATATCATCATACATGCAGGCTCTCTGCCAAATCCCTGCACGCAAGTTCCTTGATCTACCTCCAGCTGCTAATTTCCCCAAGGTAAGTCAAGGATCTTGATACCCCAGCCCCCAATCCAACAGTGCCGGCTTGGTGCCGGGGACTATACAGCCCTAGCCTGAGTACCTAATGTGCAAGCGGTCTGGTACACTGGATATCCCCACCTCCACGGGAGACAGGGTCATCTGAAGTTGGAACTAGATTTCAATAAATAGGATTTGGGCAGGCAGAGTTGGCTTGGTGAAGATAATTTGTGTTTTTGTGAAAGTTGTGTCCTCTCTACATCTAAAGAATTGGGTTTTAGGCCATCAGGTTGTTACAAGTTACTCTTTTGTACTATGGAAGCCCTGAGTGTGGTGTTTGCCAACCCTCTCAAACACATACAAATTCTGTACACACGCCTCTACATCCCCAGCATCACATCTCATATCCAGATTGCAACATCTCCATCACAGGTTTGGCCACCTTCTGCTCAGTCACCTACTCACCTGCCACTCACAATCTCATTACACACTACATCTGGCTGCATTTCTGATAATGCCCACCCTGTTTCAGAAGCCACAATTATGATCAAACATCTTCAAGACCAAATCTTCACTCAAAACATATCAATAACCTAATGGAAAGGTTTCAAGATTACCATATGGAGGCAAAATGATGTCAAGGAAATTGGTTTGCTTATGTACAGTGATGACCATTTGTCACTTGTTGTAGATCATCCAATGAGTACAATCACATCAGGCTTATCTGGCTTGATTTTGTAATGCCATAAAGGATAACCACCCCTTCTGGTCTTGATTCAGGGTGAAATGTTCAACAGTTGAAATGTAGATTTCCAAACGTGAACTTCCAACACATTTGAACACCAGCAACATCCTATATTGGACAATTCCATGTATCCCAATCTGGATCATCTGTAATTGGTGGTTGACAGGCCATTTGTCAGGAAAGTTCACAGGATGATGTAAAGTTGACTGGAGAGGAGCAAAGGAACTTGGTTGATTGATGTGTTTAAATATTTATTGTATGGTGCTTGTTAGCAGGACGGTAAATGTCAACACTCACTTTGGCCTATCTGTGCAGTTGCCACATAGCTTGGTCTTTGAATAAAATCACTGCATTCAAGGTGGGGTTCTATTTGATGGTCAGGAGGTGTTGATGTGGCTTGAACCAACACCTAGCTCCATATATGTTGGCTCTAATTGCATACTAGACTTTCTCAAAACATGTCTCAGCAATGATGAAAATCTTTATCAAAAACTGTCTCAATGAGTGGCTAGCTGTGGAATTTTGTCATAGAAAATTGAAACCTTATTAATATTGTCAACAATGTCAGGGGACTGAGAGGTGCACACAATCAGTACGCAAAAGTGAGACAACAATAAAAGACAAAAGAGCAAGTAGGAGGGTAAGCAAGTAGTGTATGGAGTTCACTGTAAACATTATACACTTACGGTACTCAAAGCAACTATGTACATGCCCATAGTTGTCGTATATAGTTTTTTTTGGTGGGCAAAATACTTTGAATATACTTCTTGAGTTTTTTCCCCGGCAAAAAAAACTATATACGGCAACTATGTATGTGTACATATGTAGCTTTGAGTACCACAACTATCCCCAAGTGGAACTGGGAAAACAATGATTATTGTAGTTTGTCATCAAAAGATCTATCACTGCACACCTGAGCCATAACACCCACACTACATATGTGCAACAAGCTGAGTAAATTATTAGCTATCATGTACATACAGGTCTGCTCAGTTCCCCGCTCATCCAAATGAGTCAATCATATGTGATACTTTCTGTAATTTTCTTCAGTTTGACACAAGCATTCCAAAATTGACTACATACACTGACTCATATTTTTGGTGTAATTTAAACATCATGTAACACCCCTTCTGTTACTGTTGAATGGCTTTCAGAGTATAGCATTTGGTTTTAAGTACAAATATTTTTTATGAACAACTTGTGTAACTTTTTGGAAAAAATTGTAAAAAAACAAACTTTGAACCCCCTCATGTAGGCTGAGTTGAATTGGTATGCCAAAAGTGCGGAAGTCCCGTGGAAATGGGTTGAATTTGATTTTAGAGACCTTGGACTTTGAAGGAGTGTATGAGCATAAATAAAGGCTTTTGAGCGGTTGGGTTTGGTGTGTTTGCAAGGGTTGGCGGACCCCACGCTCAGGGCTTCTGTTCCTTACCCTCCTCATAAGTCTTCGGAGTTGTATCATACTTTTTCCTCATGAAAAAGTTATTATTCAATAGTTTTGTGTCATCCTTATCCATTATCAATGGCTTCTCTCTTTCTGTCTCTCAGTGATCCCATTGATCTAAAACTCCACATGAAAAATTGTTTTTATTGCGTATCATGGATGCTCCTAAAAGACAAGATGGTATCAATAGTTTTGAGTCCCATTTCCATGACATTGATGAATTTCTTAACACCTACAAAAAATTGTTAGTTCCGTAGTTTGGATGTGGCAGCTCCGTGATCAAGTCATCAATAGGTTTTCACCATCTGACTCAATACATATCAAAAGTTCAAATCACCCCCGTTCCCTTTTGTTAATAACAATTCATCAACAACAATTTGTTTATTTTGTTTATTTCTTCATTTTCTTTATTTTTCATTTTCACCGCCTTTGAAGATTTTGATAAACCCTCCAGAGAGTTTTCTAACTCCAGCAACACTAGTAGATCTTTTTAATGGTTCTCTGTTTGTATTTTGGTAATGATAGTATTCATCCGTAAGCACAACAGCTGAAGGTCTATAGACGTATCCGGAGGTCTCGCTGGGTTTAAAGGCTCCTTCAACAGAAACTGCACTAGATTGACCATTGTATTCATCTGGGTTATTACGGAAGCTGCCTAGTGGCGCTGACAGAACTTGGGTTGGAGGTGAAGTGGTTGGTAAATCTGATAGGACTTCAATCTGATTAGGAAAACTCGCAGAGCTGGAAGGAGAAGAAGTGGATTCAGAAGGCTGATCTGCTAATGCGTGACCAGCACGGCGTTTTACAATTTTTAAAGGCTCAACTTGTGGAGGTCGCTGTCCTATCGTGGGAAATTTTCGGCGAGAGTAATTCAAAGTGCGAGAAGGGTGGGGAGTAGAGGATGATGGAAGACTAGCAGCTAGAGGAGGACGAGCATCGGGAATGTCAATGGCAGCGTTGTTTCGAGATAATCCAGAAGAACTATAAGAGAAACAATCAAAACACTTGCGTAAGGAAGGGTCTTTGGAATTTATAGAAAGACAGAAACTAACCTCGATGGGATATACTCTTTACCAATTCCTGACGATTTACCCAACGACGCCTTGCGATTGAGTGGAAGAGATGGTAGCTTGTTTTTTCTTTTGAGATGTGCTTGTTCTAAAGGGATGGATCCTTCGGTAGGGGGATAGCGTGGAAGGTTATTGTAAGGAAGGGAAACATTTCTCAAATGAGGGTAAGTGACGTTTGGATTGAATACATTGTGTCTTGGAGGACTATTGGATTGCGGTAGAGATGAAGAGCGATCACGAGTCAAATGAGTAAGTTTTGGCTGATTGGAAGGGCTGTGAGATTGATCAAGAGGCATGTTGGTGTTTTCCTAAGATTTCAGTTGACGTAAATTCGCAGATGTTTTGATTCGTGAGTAGATGAATAGAGTGATTGTGGGTGAATAGTGAGAGAAAGACTGCCTAGGCCTCCGTGATTTATACCTTTTGGATTGCATAGCTCAGCACTTAAAAGCACAGTAGAGATCAGCTTGTTGCTACAGCATTGGGATTTCCAGAATGTTTATTTAGCAAAGGGACACAAAATAATCTCATTTGTATAAATGTTAAGTTCATGATATATACTTTGATGCATTTTAGAAAGCAGTCCGCATGCTGGGATTTTCAGACACAAGAAGGGTTTTGAAATTCACGCCCAACAGCCTCCAGAATTTCAGTGCATCAAAAGCTGGGCAAGCATTAGCTTCGCGTCTGCTACGGTATGAGACTTTTTGCCACCATAATTTAGTTGATACAGGCCACAACATCACATTTTCAAAAACGCTACACCACTGGTTTGCATTTTTTAATTTGAGAAGTTGGATTCCTGCCCTTTGAACAAAATGAGTCAGAATGCGGATTTTTGATGCATCATAGCTACTATCAAGAATTGAAACAAGAAAGGCATGGCGAGTTACGAATACGTACTTTCATGTTTAGTTTTGTGTATTCTCGGTCAGAGCTCCCTCAGAAACGACAGGTTGAGGTCGGATGCTATCATATAGCATTTCACAATCATACATCAGGATAGCTCATGGTTTATAGGTAGCGACACCTTCTCATCTCACGTAAACATTCATGTTCTATGGATAAAGTCTATTTTGGCCCTATCCACAACTCATTTCATCTGCATGCTGAGATACAAGTCACATATACACCACCTGACTTATCTTACCCGCTGGGCAACAAGGAGCTACGCCAACAATTTGGGCAGCTAGAAGCCAAGATAAACAGTCATCACCAGAAAAGGCGATCATCTCGTATCCCTCATCTTGGTCACCGTGCGATCACCAACGCCACTGCTCCTCAACAATATCTGATCGTCTTATGGACGTTTCAAATCTAACACAGGAATTGAAGACCGACAACCACACTACCAAGGTGTCTCCAATCCATCTCAGAAACACAAGTTCCGCGGTCTAGTTGGCCAAGAGAAATGGCCCACCGAAAGATACCACCCTACCCAAAACATCCTCCCATAATGCGTCAGTAGTCCCTTGCGGCAATTTTCAAGGTATGTATGTTCAATGTTTTTCAAAATGAAAAGCAGAATGATACAAATCATTCAACAGTCCAACAGATCTCAGCGGCTATGGTATCGAATCAAGACAGCAGTGGAGTTCTCTCTTCCAAACCCGAATTGAATAAGGTGATCATTATCTTGATGAGAACAATAGAGATTTTATTCCTAGTCAAGGATTTGTAGATATTGGAGGGGTGTCTGGCCAGGAGAGACGGCACTACTTACAGATCTTCCAATAGTGTGTGTTGCCGAGGTCCGCAACTCTTTCAGAGTGTCTGGTAGACTAGATGCACAAGTTAAGGCACTGTGACCCAAAAACCACTCTAGTCCTCCGCTATGCTTGGGATAGCCCTGGGATGCATTTGCCACCGGCACAATTCAAACTGCTGACTACAAGTCACATCCAGTCAATGTTCACATGATAACCGGGTACCAAGATTGATAGGACGGGTCTGAAACATTATTCTGGCAGTCGGAGACCATGATCGAAATAGTATGATGATATATCAAAGGTGTAATTGTAAGAGCAGCAAGTGCCATAATATGATATACGGAGTCTCCACTCGCAAAGAGGTTTCTGTGATGAAATGAGGTTTTACGAAGGGTCACACAAGGATGTCGCTCTTTGATTTCACAATGCTGTGATCAGGAGTATGTCAGACCGTTCTGAACCAGACAAAAAATGACATTTATCGGCCACCTTGCTTTCCTCACGCCTGCAAATGCACACAGTTAACAAACTTGCTTGACATTCGCTGAGCTCGCACCTTTGGGCATCATTGCTGGGGCGGCAGCGCACCCTACGGCACTCTGCGAATCTGATCGACAGACACTGACTATCTCCGAGTCCACAGAGGGATGATTTTTTTTCGAGTGTAACGGATGTTTACGTTGCATAGTTTTCTCCTACGGTGTACAGAGAGAGATCATCAATTTTCACACCGCGCTTTATAACAGATCACACCCATGGCAGATCATCACATGCAGGTAGGCTGTTGAAGATCTTCACAAGAAGAGAAATTTATCTCAACTTTAGTCTTTAACAGGTGATCAAGTTTAGCCGGGAACTTGAATCTTTGCGTGGTGATGCATATAAGATAAATGTGACCTGATTGAAGCGTAAGCTGACAAATGACCACGGCAAGGTTGCATAAACGTTGATACGGAAAAACTTTAGACCATAATATTTACACAGGATTTGTGTGGAAATATATGATCATCGCAATCAAAGGGGAAATAGATGTCGGAAGCTGGAAAGTAAGCAATGGAAACCTAGGAAAATCTTTAATACAAGGACTTTTGGGGCTTTTGAGAGCCTAGAATGCGAGTGAGGGTTAAACTTCGGACTAATTTGAATGGCTGAAGGTTGAAGGGGATCGTGATGCGCCCAGATCGAGCAGAAAGGATATGGGTGAGTCATCAGTGGTCGTGTGGTGTGAACAAAGTTCTGGAAAGCTAGGTTGTGAATCCCTTTGGAACATGAAAAGCTTCCCTTTGAAGATTGATATTCACAATCTAGGCCTTGACTGAGCTCAACTCAGCTTGTTGAGCCCGCTGCCACTGGAAATGTTTGTTAGGTGAAGTCTGTTTTAAACTGATTTGATTTAACCGATGACTTAACCTGATTTAACTGGTTAGGCCTTTTGCTCAGGTGACATACAGCCTTCAGATAGTACATATTGAGCTTTACGTAGACTTAAGACGTTTCTTTTGAGGTTAAGAGAAGCCACTTTAAACCACTAGGTAGCATTGATTTAAACCTTTTAGACTAGTTTAAGTCGATCTAAATCGAACGGAAGCCTTTGAAAGTGTTGTTGAATTGATATTTTTTTTGTTTGGTGAAATGACTTGAAAGGTTCTTAATCTAGTTTAGTTGAATGAACAGTTCAACTTACACTTAAATTTGAATTTCAAGTCAATACAAACAATCATCACGATCTCAACTGAATACCTTTGATTAATTTTTCTTTCGTTCCTTCTTTTCTCTTTCTCTTACACACTCCTTTGCCTAACATTTCCTCCCTTCTCTGAACTTCTACTCCACTTAAACATATCTTAGCTTGAATTTTGGATTATTTAACATTCAAATTTCAATCTTATCAATCCTAAGACAAACTCAACTTTCTCTATCCGTAGAGTTTTGTATATCAAAACTCTTAAAATCCAACTTCTCACTCATCAAACTACATTTTTCATTCAACTTGACAAATGGCATCAAAGGTTGGTTGACTCTTGATCTTTGATCGATCTTCGTGATGATTTCAGACTCTAACCCTCAGCTTCCTTGCTTCCTATCAGGCTCAATTTCTTCGAGAATACAAACTGGTTGTGGTCGGTGGTGGTGGTGTTGGCAAATCAGCTCTTACTATCCAATTCATTCAATCTCATTTCGTTGACGAATACGACCCTACTATTGAAGGTCAGTATCTCTTACCACGAGTTTGACATCTACTGTAACCAGCCCTGATCGCATTTCAATCTTTAGACTCTTATCGTAAACAGTGTGTAATCGATGAAGAAGTTGCACTACTGGACGTTCTCGATACCGCTGGTCAGGAAGAATATTCTGCGATGAGAGAACAGTATATGAGGACAGGTGAAGGGTTCTTGTTAGTTTATTCGATTACTTCGCGTAATTCTTTTGAGGAAATCTCTACATTTCATCAACAGGTATGTCATTCTCTTTCAATCTTATTCTCTTTGTCTTCCATCTAACTTTTGTTTCCAGATTCTTCGTGTCAAAGATAAAGACTACTTTCCAGTGATCGTGGTAGCAAACAAATGTGATCTCGAGTACGAACGTCAAGTCGGTGCTCATGAAGGTCGAGAGCTAGCACGCCATTTTGGCTGTCGATTCATCGAAACATCGGCAAAACAGCGCATTAATGTTGATGAAGCCTTTAGCTCACTTGTCAAGGAAATCCGGAGGTTTAACAAAGTTTGTCTTTCTTCCATTCTTTTTTCGATTTCCTATGCAATGCTTATATTGTGCAAATTGATCTTCAGGAACAATCTGCTGGTCGACCTGGTGCAGGTGGCGCAGGCAACACAACAGGCGCATTCCAGGAAGAAGGGGAACAGCAAGCATCATCCGCATGCTGTAACTGTGTCATACTATGAAAGACTCTTTACTCACCTCAATCACTATTCTTTTGACGAATACTGATAATCAAGACCAGATTCTTCAAGAACAGTCATTATCCTCACTATCCACCTCTTTATCCTTATTGCGTGGACGTACATCAATGTATTTACCAACGACCCTTGTCCTCCGACTTTCCTCAATGGGAGAAATGGCACTACAACTTTTATACTCACTTCGTCACTCACCTCCCCCTTTCGTAGCGTTCTTTGGTTGTTACACTTTACTATCCCGGTAAACCACACGCCAATTCTTTCCACAGTGCGACTTGTTGTCTTTTTTCCTTTTCTTTTTTCTACTTTATGGCTTGTGTGTCGCTGTTGATTCCTTTTATACTTTATCTCTTTGTTCTGCTTTATTTGTTTTAATCTTCTCTCCTCTCTTCGGTTCAGTTTCAATCTCATCTTTTTCTGTGTGTATGTGCTTGTTTCAATATACTTTATCGCGCTTGTTGGGCCCCGTTTGGATAGATGGGTTGAGCTATAGGGCTCTACTTTGTTTTTCTTTCAGGGAACATAATAGTCATTTATTGCAAATTTCTTTCATACTTACTTTAATTCTGCAGACCAGCGACCACTCATGGCAAGAAGACAGCTTGCCAATTAGGTTGAGATTTTGCAACCAATGGATATACCCCTGGGTATCACTGACCCCACAAGCTCTGACCCATAATGCCCAAAGCATCATGGGGCAAGCGGGTTCTCGTCCCCGCTTCCGATTGAAACCACAGTGGAGCAATGACACTCCATTTACGTTCGGCATTAGGCAGCCGTAGTTGATGGTATAACTTAGGGCTATAGTAGAAACCCCAACATCATGAAGCGGACGGACTTTGTCTCTGAGACCCAGTCTAATTTCAAGCGCCACAGAGAAATGTGCTCTGAAGGGCTTTTGCGGATCTGGCCGTGATAGCTAAAGCGCCAAGGAAAGCTTTACCAAGAAGAGATCCAATTTACTTGAGATCAGCTGAGCTTCCAAGAATAGTGTGAATAGGTTTGAATCAGAATGATGTGATGAATTATCTTGCACGGGTTCAGACGGGTTCATCCACTTGTTCTTAGCCAGTCTTGGCAGATGATAAAGTTTTAAAGCTCCTGTGAGACTGAGACTCCTCATGAAGGAGATAATGCATAATCCGTCAATGTATTATTCAAAAATGTATATAAACTAATCCGAGAATGACCGAGGTTTAGCTTGTAATCTGATTCTGATAGCATACAGTCAGTTTCATTGTTTCTTTATCATCCGAAGACTATCAATCACCTTGATTACCATCATCTGTTACATAAAATCTCATTATCAAGATACCTTTCGATCTACTTATATTACTCATAACTCTTCAAAACCAAAACATTCATCACAATCTCAAAGTATTTCAATATGACTCGAATCGCCGTTTTAACTTCTGGTGGCGATAGTGCTGGAATGAATGCCGCTGTTAGGAGTGTGGTACGAATGGGTATCTCAAAGTAAGCGCTTATAGCATCTTTGCTTTGTTGGTCGGTTCTTTAGTCTCTGAGTTATAGATCTTAGATCCCTTGCTGATCTTTTTTCATTTTGCCATTTTTGGATTTACCTTTGGGACAATAACAACAAACAAAAAGGCGCTGCGAAGTTTATGGTGAGCTAGATTAAAGTGCTTTGTTTCTTAAGCGGGTGGTATGCACTGTGGAAACTCTAGATCAGGCTCCTAATTGTTCGCTTTGTCTTTTTGATCATTCAGTTATCCGTGAAGGATGGGAAGGCCTTGTACTTGGAAATCAAGACGACAAGAAAAGTGTTCCCCGAGAACCTCTGCGTAGGGCACGGGCTCAGACCTCTGATCGACCACTCTCAAGCAATTTCGTTCCAGGCTACTATGGAGGTGAATCTTTAAAGGAAGGTGAAGCTGATTCTCAACTCAAAGGTCGTCATATCATTCGAGTTGGGTGGGATGATGTGGCTACCTTCTTGGGCGAAGTATGTCACTGCCTTTCTTCTGCTACTTTGACTTTGATGACTTTTCTCATCTTTTGGCTTTTTAAATCTTAACTTGATAGGGTGGTACCTTGATTGGAACACAGCGCTCAAAGGCCTTTCGCGAGATAGAAGGTCGTCGGACGGCTGCCAAAAACTTGATTCTCCATGGCATCAATGCACTCATTGTATGTGGTGGTGATGGATCCTTGACGGGTGCTGATAAGCTCCGAGCAGAGTGGTCAGATCATGTTAAAGCTCTCCAAGCTGCTGGTAAGTTACTGTCACATTGCTCAACGTGCCCTCTGCTTCCTGATCACTGCTCTGACGTCTTCACTCATGTTCTATAGGAGAGATCACATCCGAGCAAGCCTCAAAGTACACCCATTTAATCATTGTAGGCTTGGTTGGATCGATTGACAACGATATGGCAATGACTGACCTGACCATCGGAGCACAAACTGCACTTCATCGAATCTGTGAATCTATCGATAATATTTCCTCTACCGCCTCCTCTCACTCTAGAGCCTTTGTGGTTGAGGTGATGGGTCGGCATTGTGGTTGGTTGGCTTTGATGGCTGGTATGAGGTAAACATCCATTGCTGTCATAATTATTCTTTCCATTCTTGAATTGAAGCATTGACGGATCACCATTTTCTTCTTTATCCAATCTAGCTCAGGAGCAGACTACGTTTTCATTCCAGAAAAGCCACCTGCATATGATGACTGGGAAAGCGAGCTATGTGAATCATTGCGAAAGGTGAGGGCATTTACCCATTAGTTAATTCCCCAGATCAAAAGTTGTTTTTGAACTGAAGAAGTCCTGTAATCCGATTGTCTCTTACATAGCATCGTGAACTAGGAAAACGAAAGTCTATTGTGATAGTCGCTGAGGGTGCAATCGATAAGAACCTCAAACCGATCAAAGCAGACTACATAGCATCTGTGCTGACCGATCGGCTGAAACTCGATACCCGGGTCACCACCCTCGGCCACACTCAACGTGGTGGTCGACCTTGTGCTTTGGATAGAATCCTGGCAACCCTACAGGGTGTTGAAAGCGTGGACGCCGTACTTGATTTGGTGCGCAACGGTGGGGGTGAAAGTCCATTGATTGGAATTGCAGAGAATCAAATCATTCGAGTCCCATTGATGAAAGCTGTTGAGATGGTCTGTTATATTTTGAATATCCATCAAATCCTCTTAGCATAGATACTCACTTATGAATATCTGATCTCTTTCAGACTCAAACTGTCGCAAAATGTATCGAAGACAAAGATTTCAAACGGGCCATTAGTCTGAGAGATTCTGAATTCCGCAACAGTTTTGATGCTTTTGCAGCCACCACTCGTCTTGATGATCGAATCAAATTACCATCAGCTCAAAGGATGCGAGTCGGGATCATGCAGTTCGTCAGATTTCTTGATCTCGTTTGAAGAATGAGTTGCTCAGACTTACATGGGATTTTGACTCTTGTTTGTTTTTGATCTTGGGTTGATATTAGTATTGGAGCCCCTGCTGGTGGAATGAACGCTGCGACCCGAACCGCCGTTCGATACTGCCTGACACGTGGACATACTCCTCTAGCTATCTTCAATGGCTGGACAGGTCTACTTGAAAACCATGTCGAGGAACTTGGATGGCTAAAAGTAGATCAATGGACGACTCGTGGTGGTTCTGAACTTGGAACGAATCGAAAGATACCTACAACTGAAAACTTGGCAGAGATTGTGGATCGAATCCGACAATATAAGTTTGATGGGTTATTGTTGATTGGTGGGTTTGAGGTTTTGACGAGCTTGATGGTCTTGGAGGAGGGTAAAGAGAAACACCGAGAATTAGACATACCCATGGTTCATCTGCCAGGTGAGTTCAAATTATGGAGTGAAGATGATGAATTTGAACTCATTCTTGATGCCTAAAATTCCACAGCCACGATCAGTAACAATGTACCTATCACTGAATGGAGTTTAGGTAGTGATACCAGTATCAATGTCTTGGTTGACGCTTGTGATTCGATCCGACAAAGTGCATCTGCTAGTCGGAATAGGGTTTTCGTCGTGGAGACGCAAGGTGGAGAATCTGGATATATTGCTCTACTCGGTGGTCTTGCTGTTTGTCATTTTCTCTATTATCCGGATCTCTTGGTAAAAAGATATGGAATTTTAGTTGAGCTCATGTTTCTTCTTGATCTACATATAGGCTGGGGCCAATATTGTTTATACGCCTGAGCTACCTGTCACACTCACCCAACTGAGTGCTGATGTCGAATTCTTCAAGAAGAGATTTAGAGCTGATCCTAAGGGTAAATCTCAAGGAAGGCTTCTTGTTCGATCCGACAAATCCTCTAGTACCTATACCAACGAAGTAGTCACGAAGATCTTGAAGGAAGAAGGTGATAAACTATTTGATGCACGACAAGTCAGTCTTGGACATGTTTTACAGGGTGGAGTACCTTCACCAAGAGATCGAACTCGAGCAGTGGGTATGTCGATCAAATGTATTCAATTCCTTGAAAGACATTGTATAAAAGTAGTAGCCTGTAATAAAGAAGCCGAAACCCCCACCGAAGGAAGGAATACAGGTTTACCAACAGTAGAGAAATCAAGTGGAGAAGAAGAAAACTTTGGAACGATTGTGATCACTAGAAGTCAAATTCGAATTGCTGGATTAAAAGAGATGGTAGAAGGAGCCGATTTAAAGAAAAGAAGAGGTAAACAAACTTGGTGGTGGGAATTAAAGAAAGTAGTGGAAATCATGAGTGGTAGATTACAAGATGGATTTGAATAGAAGAAAAGATTTCAAAAAGTCAATTTATCATTTCTTGAAAGCAAAACAAAAAGAGCAAGTTGGAATGATTGTCTTTATCATAGAAAAATTTCATTAGAGTTTTTTTTTTCTTTTTTTTTTCTTTTGCTTTCAATTTTGATGTTTATAGTTTGTGAATATCACATGTAGTATATCTCATGCTAGTTTTAAAAGTGTAGTTGATCTAGAGTTTTTTGCAATCAAGAAAATTTTTCCAAAGAAATCGATTTTGTAAACTGCATCAAGTTCTATAAAAAAATCACAGAAGCGCCTAGGTGTAATCTGATTTATACCAAAGTGACGAAAAGTTTGCAAGATCTAACATTTTTCATCCTTGAATGTTTTCTTTTTCAATTGAGCTTGGAAAAGGATCTAGAGATGTATATAGATAGATAAACCAGATCCTTAAATGTTCTATCAAAAGAAAGAATCAAAAGATCTCTCATTTGGTTTTAACTTTTTTACCAATTACTTCACTTACCAATGAAATTTCATGTTTGTACAAGTTCAACTAGAACCATGCTCATCTCACAGTTCACTTCATCTCAGAGTTCACAAATAGATTCAAAACCAAAAAGATTGTAAACCCAACTTGAATTGAAAGTTGCAATAAAAAAAGGTATGTATAATCATCAAGATCTCAAACAAGATAAAAACTTCAAACAAATTTTGTCTATTTTATACTTCATTCCAAAATGAAAGAAAAAAAAATCCATTTCTCTCCTTCAAGAAGAAAATCAAAAAATCAAAAACCACCACAATCTTGATTAGAAAATCTCAAATCTTCAACAAGAAATCTTTTTTCATTCTACTGGAATATATGTATATATATTCACCAAATCCAAGAAGAAAAAAAAAATCTTAAAAACAGAAATGCATTTTAAAAGATAATTCCAAAAAAAAGAAAAAAAGAATTTGCTTTACAATTTGATTTTTTTTTTGCAAAGATAAAAAGAAAGAAAGTTTTGTGTGTGTAGGTGAAAAGAATTGATCAAGTCCGTAATACATGAATAACAAAAAACAAAAAAACGAGCAAAAAAAACATTGATAATAAAGATGACAATCATGTTAAAACGAGTTACGAAAAACGAAGAAAGGAAATTGTAAAGGAAAGGAAAATGCGATTTAATGAAAATGCAATTTAAGTGAAAAAAGAAAAAACTGATTTTCAAAACCTATAAGAAGAAGAAAAAAAAAACGACAAGTTGTTAAAGAAAGAAAAATAAAGATCAAAAGATCATAAAGAAAGGCAAAAGAATGTCATGCGATTTGCAGGTTTATGAAGAATGTAAAAACGAGGGAAAAAAAACACGACGAAATAAGAAACCTCCAATTCGATTCCACTTCACTTTACTTTACTTCAACTCCTAAAAACTCCTGAAAACTCAAAAAAAAACTTCTCAAACCTCCAATCAAATCAAATCCAAATCAAATCAAATCCAAATCATCATCTTTCCTATCCAACAAGAAATCCAACGCAGACCCACAATCGCTCCCCCCATCCTCCCCGTTGCCCATCCCAGTGTTCCTTCTACCCAACCGATCTCTAGCCATCTGAAGCAACTCATCATTCCCAACCCTATTCCTCAAATCCTCACACTCAACCAAACAAATCTTCAAATGTTCTTTAGTCTCATTCAACTCAATTTCCATCACCCTCAATGTCTTTTCATACTCTTCTATGATCGGTTTGATGGCTATTTCTAAACTTTGTTCTTGTTCTAAAACTTGGGTTCTTAACCTCTTTAACTCTTCTCTTTCAATCTCATTCAGTTTATGACTACCACTGTTTCCATGAGCCGTGGACGGGTTCACTTTCTCTTCGTTCATTGTTAACTTGTTCTTGATATCTCGCGTTCTAGAAGCATACCTCAAAGTACTCATACTTTCTCCAACCTAAACCAAAGAAAAACATACCATCAATAAAGTATTGATAAAACACTTTTGTTTAAATTAAATTCCTTACATTCGAAAGTTCAGGCGAAACACATGCAATCATCATCGTATTCGAATTCCCACCAAGACTGTCTTGTAATAACCTAGTCAACTTTGATTCTCTATAAGGAATATGATGATGATGAGAAGAAGTCGAATTCGATGAATTCGAAAGTGCCGAAATCACATTTCCCAATGCCGAAAGACCCGACTAAATGAAACCCACCAAAAAAACATATAAGAAACCAATATGATTCATAAAAACACAATCACTCACATTGATGGCCACTCCTTCCTTAAACCTTTCTCCACCTACTTCAGCCTTAGTTTTCCTAACCCGTTCAGACCCAGCCAGATCCACAAAATTAAACTTGCTTTTCCTTCTCAAGACGACCTGATTAGATTTATGTTTCAACTGTTGATCGAGCATCAAACAAAAGATAGCATGAGACCTAGAAGACTGAGCATTCATCTGAGTAGCATTCGTGACCCTTCTACCTAACCCAATCTGTAATTGGTCTAATGCTTCAATCGAATCTTTCACCATCACTTCTCTTAATCCTGTCCAACTTATTCCTCCTCCTTTTTCTTCTCTAATTTGAATGCTTGGAAAAGAATGAGGTGAAGGGGATGGGATTCGTCCGTTGCCTAGATGACTTGTAGGTGTTCTACGTCCATTATTGTGACTACTACTAAGAGAATTAGATGTGTTTGGGATTAACAAATCTCCTAGTTCATCATTATAAACTTCTAAAAAGGCGACCTTCACAACCGTTTGTTCAACAATCCATTCTGAATCTTCTAATGGATTCTCAATCAAATTAAAAATATCTTCTAATGCTCTAGGAATGATTCCAGCTCTCGTACCCGATGAAGGTCCGGTTCCCATCGTATATGATTTACCTGTACCCGTTTGTCCATAAGCAATAAGAGTAGCATTAAATCCGTTCAAGAATCCTTTGATCAAATCGTTCTTTCTTAGCAAGGTTTGATAGATTTCTGATTGTGAATCGGTTTCTGGTCCAAAGATATGATCGAAACTGAAATGAGATTTAGGTGCATTGGTGGGATTGGTGACTTCTACTGTAGTTTGGTTTAACTGTTAAAATGAATTAGTATGGTTTGAATCAAGTGAGATTCGGTTGAGAATGACTTACTAGTTTGAGTGAATGAGATTGACCAGGTTTAGGTAGATTGATAGGTCTTCGAATCCGAAGTAAAACTGAGATATGATTAGGAGGAGTAACAGGAGATGAAGCTTGATGAGGAGTGTGTAATGAACGAGTCGATTGATTGAGTTGATTTGAATCTAGATATGGATGTGTGGTGGTACTTGATTTGGTTGATTGAGATAGTGGTTCTAGAAGTGTGGTGTTTGGTTTTGGTAAATTAAAGTATGATTCTTGATAGGTTGTGTTAGATCTAGTTAATCGAGGCTGGGTTGTGTTAGATCTGGTTAATTGAGGATGAGTGATGTTTGGTTTAGTAGGTTGAGTGATGTTTGATTTAGTAGATTGAGAATAAGTAGATTGATATGGATGAGTATCACATTTGAATTGAAATGAAGAAGGAGTAGGTAAAGGTTGAATAGAATCCAATAAATCAGAAGTTAAACTATAATCACTTGTAGCCGTACGAGGAGTAGTAGGAGTTGAAGAAGAATGATCACTTAGAATCGAATCTCTTGAAGTTGAACTGGCTGATCTAGTGATCGATTGTTCTTTGGTCAGATTAGTTGATTGATTTGAATGAACATATTCAGGTAATGATTCTTCACGTTGGTTTAGATTGGTGAGTTTAGGAACCAGAGCAGTTGTTTGATGGTTTCTATGAATCTTTCTAATCCGAAGTGGTCTAGGTGAAGGTAATGAATGAAGTTCATGATTAGCTTGAGTTTGAGTTCGAAGAGTAGGAATCGATTTAGAATGATGAAGTGATTTGGTAGGTTGATCTGAATGAGAAGTAGCTAATGAAGGTCTTGTTGAAGAGAGTGATGGAGTGAGAATGATAGGATGTAATCTTTTAGTCTGATTAGGTAAAGTAGGTTGATTGATAGATCTTAGATTATGAGTTGATTTAGTTTGTTTGAGTGATGGTGGTTGATGTTTGATTAAAGAGACTCTTCCATTGGTAGATTGGACTATTGAATTCTTTCGACGTGATTGAAGTATTTGTTGTTGTAAGTTAGAAGATTGATTTTCAAGTTGAAGTACTGGATGATTATAATGATGATCTGATTTAGATCTTCTATGAGTGTTATTTGGATTGTTAGTTTGATTTAATTTTGGATAACTGATTTGTAATCTGCTGGGTTGATTTGATTTGATTTTGATAGGTACTTTACTTTGAAGATTGATAGTAGTACTCATTTGATTTGATAGATTGAGTAAACTGATGATAGTAGATGATAGTAATCTGAAGATGGAAATCTGAGAGAATGTTGTTGTTGATGATAAAGTGATGTTTCGGGGGTTTTTAAGCAAAGCAAGCGATGGTTGATTAAGTTTGTAAATTGTAAATTCTATCGGATCGGATTCAAATTTCTAATTTAAACTAAACTAAAACTCTTCTCCATCCCTCAATCACGATCCATCACGTCTTCATATTCAACTTCAACTTCACCCTCTTTCTGTTTCATTTCAAACCCACAGATTCATATGGACCCTATATCAATCTCAACTACAAAACTCTCTCATCTTGCAATCAAACATTCATACTCGGGCGCACAATAACCACAAATCAATCATACAATTCCAAGTCATCAAAACTCAAAGTATTAACCCGCATACATACATAGACAATCAATCAACACACGGACCCAACCTGGGATCCGCACGGAACTTACCTGGTATAAGCATATCTAGAAACCCAGTAAAAAACAGCAGCTTCTGATTATTGATATAGCTCTCATCTGCGATGACAGCACAAAATAAGACCTTCGAGTTAATGACTTGAACCGCTTCAAAACGACACAAGGGCTCAAATCCAAATGAAACACTGAACACAGTTCAATTTGAGTTGAATACTTCAAGAATCAACAGGGTCTGAAACTTTGGTGAAAGTGCATGCCCCTGTTTAGGTATGTACGAAAAGACCCTTATGGGCACCGGGCATGCCCACAGCTACTTAAAATGAAGGGTCCCATTAAGACATGTTTCTTTCACACCTACGAGTACGAACAGAGTATTTTAACAGCGCGGAAACCTCGAATCAAGATTGAAGAACTATCAAAACCTCAAAAAGTTTACTCGATTTTTAGATTTGTAAACTTTACCAAACCGAACGATCATCATACGAATCATGTCTGAATTTCCAACAGGTCAGTCTCATACAATTTCTCATTCGATCAACTTTTTTCTCAATACGATTTGTTAAATTTATTGATAAAGATCACAAATATGTATTGAACGATTGTTTTTTTCTTGTGGACATAAATTAGGTTGGTTTTATATCAAAGTAAGTGGATTTGATTGCATTATTCTTCTTGAACCTTCTTAATTCTTAAACGTTTGGATGATCAATTCTGAAGTGAGACTAAATTAAAACTATATTTCTGTTCTTTTCTTCTAGTCATTATTATCGAATAAAGTCTTACAACCTCAAAGTGGAAGTTACGAACCTGTGCGTTATCAACATTGATTTCATCCTTCCAAACCACACAAACAATACTGAAGTGATATTTTTCCCAAAATAATCGTAGACAAGGCTAGTCGTAGTCGATCAAAAATGTAAGTTTTTCTTTTCACCAAGCTTCATCTTTCAATATAAGATCTCATCGAAAAACCAAAACCACATCTCATTGATTTTTACTTGGTTTATTTTACAGTTGGAGATGATGCAGTTCTACAACTATGGAAACATGAAAATGGTTATATAATTAATAAAGCTACTAACCTTTGTTTAGATTATGAACATGGAAATTATAAACGATTAGGGTAATACCTTTTTTCCTACTTCTTTATGATGATTGATCACTGATGAGTTTCTTATGATGATCTTTTTGGGACGGTTCATGTTTTTAGTGATATACATAGTAAGCCTTCTATCCCGTAAAGTAAAAATCTCATGTTCATTACGATCATTTAAATTTTGTTTACCTTTGGTTTGGTTACAACATTCGAAATTTAACTACATTATTGCAGTATGTCAATGGCACAGAAAAGTAGGAAAAGATGCACACAATCAAGTAAGCAATTAAAATTTCCAAACTTTTAACCAAGCTTTATCTAAACAACTCATCGATTTTTGTTTTTTTCTTCAGAAATGGCTTTATCGTACTCATAATCTAATTGCATGTGTAGATGACATCAACCGAGTCTTAGACATCAAAGTAAGTAACCCAAAAGCCCATCTAATCAATTTTCACAATCCCTAATCATTTCTTCTTTCATTTTTGATTTTTCTTTTTTGTTTTCAAAAGGGTTCATCCTTACTTCCAGGTTCAGAAGTCTTATTACGTAAACTAGAAACCCATCAAGGTTCACATCCACCCAACCAACGTTGGTTAATCGAAATCCAAACCGACCAAGGCTTACCAGAATCTTTATCAGTCTATGATCCCGAACAACTAACCAGTTCGTTTTCTTTCTCTAAACTCTCAATCCTCCCAACATTTGCTTTTGATTGATCTTTTGGAGTTCTTGGTTTTGGTTTTTTCTTAGGTAGTTTTGCTGTACCGGTCGAATCGGTTAATCCGTGGACTACATTTGATTCCAATAAAGATCAAGACGAACCTGGAAGTGGTCAGAATGCTTATTATCCATCTTGATATAAACTCGAGTGCATTCTTTGTTTCTTATCTCCTTTTCTTGTTATAAAAGCTCTCAAATATTATCATCAGCTTGTATCTTTCCAACTCGTCTTCTTTTCTTCAATCTGATAACTCATATGATAAAGTACTTTTTTGTAATGTTTTGATTTTGATCGGAAATTGATAAATCTTTCTGATCAAACTGTGAATAATCAAGATCACTGTATTCAACTTTTTCTCACTTTGAACATGTTGTTGATAATGATGGGAGTATTTGAGAAAGTCAATAATTTGCAATTTCCTACACATTATACCAACAAAAACCATGTCCATCAAACATTATTTACAAAAACAAAAAAAACTCAAATCGTCATGATCATTAAAGTAAACAAACCTTTGCAAAAAAAAGTATAAGCTAAACAAGACCTCGAAGAAAGAAAAAAAGGCATTCATAAAAGATATAAATGAATTCTGACCAAAAGAAAACCAAAGGATTACAAAAAATCATACGAATTAATTGTAAAAAAAACGTCATTCATCATCGGAATTTAAAAAGATACCCAGAAAAAGCGCTTCACTTAGCCAAGATTCTAGATAACCTACGACTAGCACCGACTTGATCAGTCAACGGTCTACCAAGTTCATCAGCTTTCACTTGTAACCCATTAGCAATCGCTTTGTTTTCTTTTTTGGTTCGTTTCTTTTCTTTTTCTTCTTCTTGATGTTGTTTAAAATGAAATGCTAATGAGTTTTTCATAAATCCTATCTTTTGTGAAAACTTGGATGAATTCGCTTTAGATGGTGTTTCTGATTCTTCGTTACTTTTTAATTCTATGGCTTGACTATCTGGTCTATTGGTTGGAATGGGGGCCTCTATGATTGGTTCTGTACTCGGTTGGGCATGTGAAACTGATTTGGTTGCAGGCTTGAGGTTTGGCGATGTTGGTGAGGTTGATGATGTTGGTTCAGGTGCAGTTGAGCTTTCTTGGATGGATGGCAATTCGTAATCATTAGAAGTTGGTTCAGTTCCTTCAATACCACTTTTCTGACTACCAGATGGAGGTCTATCAGAATGAACTGAATCTGCAGCATCAGTCTCAGCATGATGTCTAAACCTCGGTCGACGTAAAATTGGTTCGGCTGTTTCTATTTCTGGACTTGAAGTGGAAGTATCATCATCTTCTACCGAGGTTTCAGTCTTACCCCCTCTTAACTCATACTCTGATAAACCAATCGAATTTGGACCAAGCCGATGATAGCGAGCCAGCATTTGTTTGCGTCTTTGAGCAGCGAGCTCTATGAGTAATGGAAAATATGTTTCGTGATCCTATTGATCCAAAAAAGAATGTATATATTAAGCTGATGTAGTAAATAAAAGTCAAGTGATTTGATACTCACATATTCAAACTCTAGCTGACCTCCGAAACAACTTTTTTCTAATTGTTCTACAGGAACGAGTTCGGTCACATCAGGATTGAATCTATCAGGCAAAGCAAACAAAACAAAAACACCAGGAGAGTAAGTTTACCAAAGAGAATCATGTATTGTCGATTGTGCTTTTTTGTTTTGATCATCTCACTTAATCTTGTCGGCCGTTCTAGAATCCATAAATGGTTTAACCAATTTATAAAAACCCCAAAAAAGCCACGGCACATTGATCAAGACGGCTCTACCAAGTCCTGTGTGAAAGATTAAATATTAATTTAATCAGTGAACATCTTGTCATCGATCTTTCAAATGTTAGAGAATACATGAAAACTCACGTTCACAATAATAAGTTTGAAGAATGTTTAAAACTTGTTTCGCTTGAGCTAGTGTAGTAGCTATAATTTCAAGAAGATGAAAGTCAGTGTATTATGATGTATAGAAATAAAGTCATGATAAGAATAAAAGTACTAACGTTGACCAGACGCATTAGGGACTTTAGATGAACCAAAGTCAATGAGTAAAGTAAGTGCCTCTACACCAGGTGGCATTAAATCAATAGTCCTTTCAAGACACCAGACCACAAATTTAATTTGATCTTCTGATGGTTTGGTATTCTGTTTGGCAGATATCTTAGAGTTAGTCGATGTACTTGTTGGGTTTTGAAGAAAGATTGACTGACTTGACGATAAGGATACATGTGTAAACAAGGACGTGAATGTACGTCGTAACCTAAGACAAACTGTTTACCAGTCTTTGACTTTTGAAAGCAAATCAAAAGTTTCAATCATCAAATCCAATCTTGGTAAATTGTTTATATAAATCAACATACCTCTTTAGAGATCATGTCTATATCCAACTCATCTACACCATATTCTCTTCTCCAAACCAAAGTTTCTTCGATTCGATTAATGCAAGCTGTTTGATTCCATCTAGTAGCTCTACAGGTTCGTAAGATGAATTCACGAGAACAATAACATCTTTCGATATCAGAAAGAGGTAAGAGAGATTGAGTATCTTTTTGTCGAAGTTGATTAAGGGTGATGGGTAGCTGATAATTTGGCGTTGATAAATGATTTAATACATTTTGATAAATTTCAGATTGAGCTTGATTTAATTCGGATGGTTTAGGTGGTAAGGTAGCAGATTGAGCTGGATGTTTTAAACTGGATAAAAATGGTAACTTTTGATGTTTCAACTGATTCTCTTCATTCATCTTGAACAAATAATATATGTACTAACTTCAATGAGATAGAAGATGTATGTATGATTTGTAAGTAGAAAATAGTAAAGTGAGTTTGTTTGTTTGAGATGGTTCACTTCATTCAGATGTAGGTTGTAGGTTGCTTGCTTTAAATGGTTTACTCTTTAACCTGGATGTCTGTTGTAGTTTATGATGTTTGATTGATCGTTTCATTCGATTTCTTTTTCAGATTTCAATTTACACTTCTCCTTCCTGGATTCGTAAACCCGACCGTTAGAGACTGTTCATGTTGTTCCTTACTCATCTTTTGAGTTCATCACTCAAGCTTGGTTTTTAAAGATTTCATGATTCTGTACCTGATCTTGTTTTCATCCGACCGATCTCTTAAACCTTTCAATACTTCAACAATCGCCGTGGTTGAAGTGTCGTATGAAACTACACATGTGTAGATGGCCGTCGGACCGTGCTCTTTCATGAACCCGTGATTTCGAAGCCTACTGTCAACACCGAAATGGAAGTTCTTGGTTACATAAATCGGTTGATCCAAAAGCCGTAACAATAGACTCAAGCCGCGCACCCACTCTCACAAAAGTTCCAGAAGTTGCTCTACACGGATGGACGATGAACGAGTTTGATGTTTTGTAGGCTTCCAAGACGCTCAGATTGTTGCTTCATTTGGCGCACAGGACTTGATGGCGCAAGATCTGCAAGGTCGGGGTTTAAGTCAAAGACTTTTTTGAACACAAATTTCTCCAGTATCGCAATTAGCCCCCTATCGAGTTGATCTTGCTCTCTTTACTTCTGTGACTTGGCAAATTTTCGACTTTTGCAAACAGTACTCTTGTTATTTTATTACACTACGGTTCAAAAGTTTTATAATCGTGATGGGATTTCACCGTCTGTTTCGAGCATGTTGTCTTTATATGCCGAGAACATGCCCCGTAAAAATGTAACGTAATGAAGTTGCCAACATCTTGGTCGTATGTTGGTCAAATACTTATCGTACACGATCGTAATTATGTTGTAAGCAGCTTGCATTAAGCAGACAAATCGCCTCAACTCGCACTGAGTTGCACATACTCACAACATATTGTTGATACACTCTTCACACTCTTTTTGGTTACATCCATGAAATGTGATTTACACATCAACGAAGCATAACTCCAGTGTTTCTGCAACATGAATCCAAGCCAGATTTTAATTTGTTTGTATTTTAATCTCATTTCAATTGTTTTTTATCTGTGCATTTATTCATTTATCTTTTATTTTTTGGATTGTCTCTGCTGTCCTCAACTGAGCCCTCTCCATTCACGAGGTGAGCGTGGCACAAGAAGCGCGCCTGAGAAGTCAAAATATGGGGTGGGCGTACCCTAGAACCAGCTTTGAGCTTTTTCTTCCGTCACGGTCTGCACTCAATGTATAATGTTAGCAACTTTCCTTGAACTAGATAAACAATGAGATCCTGATCTAATCATCAATTCCTTACAACCAGCACATTGTCTCAATCAAAGAACAATGATAAAAGCAAGAACAATTATAAAAATTCATAACAATTGTCATACTCATACACAAGATATGTGAACAATGATAGAAATGCTAAAGCAATAGTCAAAACAAGAGGACAACCACAAACACATTGTCAGATCACTTATACAAGATGCAAACAATTATCAATCCAATCATTGTAACTTGATGTGCTATTGGTGATTGGACAGTAGGGATAGCTATAGCATGAATAGGCAGACAAATAAGTAAGAACCATGAGAAAAAAGCCAACCGGTTTTACAAGGATTGAATTTCCGTAACTACAATAGTGAACAGGCAGCAAAATAAGTAAGACATATGAAAAGAAAAGCCAACGCGGGTTCCACAAGGATGTGGAACTTCAAAACAGGAGACAAATAGTTTATATGGTTCTTAGCACGTGACTGATGTGCCGCAGTCGTGTAAGTGACTGCAATAGAGAGCCCATTCAGCAATACCTCTCTAACAGTTTTCTCACCACCAGCCCGACGGATAGTGTCAGTGTGACTTGACTACTTCAGACAGTCAATCAAACAGCCCCAGGCACTGCGGTAATGTGCAATATGTGCTGACAACTCGCCGTAAAGTGGGGCTCATGGATTCAAGCTCATGATTTTCTGGCAAGGAGGAGATTGGTCTCGGTGTTGGGACCATATGAACAACCTGTCGCGTGTTGGAAGACAATGCAATGAGATTGATGAGTGCTATAAAAATGATTTTAAAAAACTGTTGCAAGATATGTATGTACAGCATGCCGTCAGGAAGGTGAGGATGTGGGAAATCGAAACGAGAAGCGATCTGGAGAAAAGTTTGACAGCTTGATCAACGTCAATCACTCAGCCACCGTGTGCTTGACACAACTTTGTACAAAAATGACTCGTTCAGATAAGCTGAACGTGTTGGAACGGCAAGCCAAAAAAACGCAAGAAGTTAACGATCAAGCTGAATTTGTCAAACGAGTCGAGGCAATCGACTTAACGAGCGTCATATGAGCAAAGCGTGGGACTTGAGGCAAATCATAGAAGAAATTTGAGCACTGATGATGACAAATGAAAAAGGTATTGGACCAAGTTCAGTCATCAGCAGTGCGCGATCTGATGACATCTTCTGACTGATGAAAAGGTGTAGAAGAAAACCACTGAGATGAATTTTCTTAAATCAGTTCATCAACTCAATTCTCAAATCGTAAATAACCCCTTTGAGGATTTTTTTTCCATCAGCATCTAGTCCAGTCCATCTCACCCGCACAATTCCCTCAAAGCATATCAAGCTTCAAGTGAGCTATAAGTCAGACCGTTATATACTTTTCCATCTGCCTCACCCGCTGTTCTTCGTCACCCAAGATAACTGATCAACCCACTGTCACCTTAAATAATAATTATTTACATCCTTACCTTCTCAATTCCCTTCGTTCTTACCGCACTTACATCATAAACTTTCTTTATAACTTTCTTCATCAGTTTCTTTCAAGATTCAAATCATGATTTCCGAAATATTTGTAGCTTTGATCGCTGCCTCTTCCTCTCATCTGGCAGTTGCAGACGGCGTCAAGACTGCCACGACTGCCACCCTTACTGCTTCCACTGCCGCCTCTACACCAGCGCCCGGTCTTGCAGTCGCTGTGAACAACACCAATAGTCTTACGGCTTCTTGCTTATTAGCAGGTTCATTTGGCGTATCTGGTAACATTCGATTTACACTCGGAAACTCTTCTGAAGAGGTCGATGTGAAAGTATCAGTCAATGGCCTTATGGCTATTAATTCAACTGCTCAATTTGCCTATCACAGTTTAGTCTCAAATTCCTCTCAAACTTCAAGCACACATTCCTTCTCTTTTGACTTCGATTGACTTGAGCTTGCTTCTCAATCTCTTCACAGTCCACACCAATCCTATCTCCGCAGACGGGAACTGTTCTTCAGCCCTTGGTCATCTTGATCCATTGCAAGTCACTGATGGACTTACATGCGACCCCTTGATGCCTCAGTACTGTCAAGAAGGAGTGAGTCATGACTATTTATGCGTCTGATTGGCACCACTGTTCTAACCACCCTTTGCTCAAATAGGATCTCGCTGGACGACATGGGAAGCTTCCAGGAAACGTGTCAACCGCTGATGTGGACTACAGCGATAACTTTATCAGATTTTGGCCTCAACCTTTCAGTATCTTGGGCCGAAGTATCGTTATCCACGCTCCCAATTCCACGCGGCTTGCTTGCGGTAGGCTCAATCCTACGCTTTCGCAATTTACAGACTACTGACCCTCATGGACTTTCCTTTGATGCTACTAGGTAACATTACATCCTTCGTAGATGGTACTGCTGATGAGAACGGTAACCCGACCGGCAAGCCATCCAACTATACTACAGAGTGAGCTTTAGAGTGCTATCACGGTCCTTTGGTATTTTTCTGACGTTTTGATCTACACCTTCCTGTCTCTCCAGCTACCCCACCAAGGCCTCTCCTCCCGGCGCTAAGGTTTCTCCTTTCATCGGCACAATGACTGATACTGCAGCACTTGCTACCATCACGTTAGTTATCTTTCAATCTTGACTAGCTGACGCCGGATCTAACTAGTCTTTCGATCACAGTCTCCCAGTCGCCTTACCCGACGTTGGTTCGGAACCCAACATTGTTTTTACATCTTCTGTTGTTACACGAACCATCAATGCGACAGTGACCACCTTGACCTTGCCAGCCGCTGCTCCAGCCGCGACTCCATTCAACTACACTGCTGGTGCCACACTTCCGAGTCAATCAGTGCTCCTCACCATCAACGGCACCACAAATTCTTCCACTACCCCTGGAAAAGGAGCTGCGTCCTCAGCGTCTCAATTCATCCTTAACCCCATCTCCTTGCTCATCCCCTTGTTCATTGTGCTCATTGTCTGATCTTAGTTTATACTTCTTATGTGCTGGTATCATATCTACTCGTAATCTGCAATCAGGAACAATTTGTCATACATCCTCACCACCTTTTCATTTTTTCAATCTTTTAATTTTCATTGGCTGGTTTTTGTCCATTTATTTATAACTGTGAATTTCAATTCTATTCTATCACAAGTTGACAATCTATATAAGCTTCTTTTCTTTTGATCTCCCTAAAGCAATGCAAACAGTATAAATTTGCGAAGCCTTTGAATATCAATCCCAGGTTGCCAGAACAAATCCGGGCGCCCAAGACAGCTGTATAGATAGGGTGGCCTTTGCAGACCACCCTCAGAGCTCTGGAATCCACACCAATCGATCGCAAATAATTTGAGCTATGCATCGGCACATTCAATGAAGAGCATCAGAGAGCATCAAGACCCCTGAAAACGTTGCTACAACTGCACTGTATCTGGGCGTTTGACATGGTTCCAAAGAATGCAAAGATTGTGCAGCAATTCACAGCTTTAAAGTTGACTTACGCGGCAAAGAAAGTTTGCAATTCATGTTGATGATGTCATTGGATGGTGAGTTTTGATTTACATAAATCGATCATTTTATTCCCTCAATAAACGATACGCTCATTTGATGCCGCGTGACAAACCCTTTCATGCATGGAATTGAATCTCAAAAGAGAATATCAAGAGGAAATGAATTCGGCATTGAACTTTGTGCCCTTGGCCCAGATAAAACAATTACAGAGGCGGGGTTGGTTGAAGTCATCGCGAGGAAGAAGTGACATTCCAGACTCCAGAGTCACTCACCCTTCTACAAGCTAGGGTAGAAGGTGAGGTTGTTGGGTCCGGACTCAAGTTGGGATTGTTTATCAATGATAACACTGCTCCTAAGCGAGAACAGTGACAACCCATTCGAGTTGTTGGCATCAGAAGACCTTTATACTAGCACAGGATCCTCTATTCAAGGTTTGCCATCGAGCGCGGGGCAAGGCAACTCGGACCGAATGAATGATAAACCCCACTAGAAAACTAGGGTTAAAATTTTAGTTCTGTCCAATGTACCCAGACATCAAGGACATTTTCTTAAACAGGAGTCGAACCTAAGCTTCAGAGTCGGAACTGACTGAACTTCCTATAAACATAAAAAAATCAAGGCCCAGACCAAAAACTGAGATGTAACTCTGAGGGGGGATGTTGAGTTTGGCATACACAAAAAAAAGATCAAATCAAAAAGCACAAAAACGAGACACACCGAAGAACTGATTAATGTAGAATAGTGATGATTAAATAAAAAAGTATGATATACATTTAGGCGTGCTTATGAATATGTATATTTGCATTAGTTGAATGATAAATTCAAGTCGAGTTAGATTGAGTAGCTTGATGATGAATATGCAAGTTTCGATTGAGTGATAGGAGAAGGGTAGGCTAGATTCGGAACCCGTATTGTTCCATGCAAGCTCGATGAGCTGCGATCAGGTCTGCACACCTTCGACTCGATTCCTCTGAACGGAGTAAGAAAGCGATGAGAAGACATGAGTAATTCGTTTGTATTTAAAGGTTGAGGATAGATCAAAAGCTGACCAGATTCATCAGGAGGCCCATATCTAATGAAACAGTCGTCCCGCGATCGTTTGGTATCAGGACATGCACAGCATCTAAGGCATGAGTAATGAGTCAGTTAGCTAAGAATGATATGATCGATATCTTCAATAGTGCATACATTCACTTACGGTCTGATCCCTTCAGGGTTAAGTGGGTTTTTGATCGGGTCACTACTTCCACCTATCGACTGAGATTCAGTTTCTGGTCGAGATGTAAAGGTAGAAAAGAGTGATTGAAATGAATTTCCGAAAGAGAACATTTGAATTTGATTCTTCGATTATGCTATTGAGAGCAAGTTGAAGTTGATTGGTGTAAAAGTTGAGAATGTTATAAAGTATTTGATGATAATTTTTGAGATGGAGAAGTGATTGTAAAAAGTGGACTAAAATTGAGACCGATTGAGGTATTTTTGCTGTATTAAAACTCATTCCGAACCTTTCCACACATTCAGCAACGGGGCCGGGCGGCGGGACCGCCGGTGCAGGTACTGGAAAAGTCCGGGGATTCAGGTGGGGCGGGAGTCGAGGTGCGTCCGCACTGTGCGTCGCACCTGTTGCACCTTGCGGGCCAAAAATGGGGGGTGCAAGAGGTGCGAGGATATGAGGAAGCCATATCTCACCGGGGGGAGCAGAATCAGGTCAATAGCAGGGATTTGCTTGATGTTCAAAAAATTCATTGGTCCAACAAAAATCAGTACGTAAAGCACAATCACAGTCAAAATCCAGCATCCATTCATAATGGTGGAGCCCTCAAAATCAAAGTGGATTCATTCCAAGAGTTTGAGAAGAACAGGTTGGCTCCTCAAAAAGCCAATTTGGTTGTCATTCCAGACAGCCCCAGTCCATCCTGGAGTGCTGATAAATTATAATCTATTTACTTGATACTTTGATTGTAATCAACTTGTTGTTTTGTATAGAACTATTTAAAAAGTTATCAACTAAAAATATAAGAAGATTTCAAGAGGGGATGCAACACACCCCTTGCACAGGGGGTGTGAGCAACACACAAATCGCAACGAAACGCATTGAAATTTCGACTAATTTCGTTTCGTTGCGACACTATTGAAACGAAATGAGTCGAAATCGAAATGTGAACCGAAATGCTTAAATTGCCGCAGGGGTTGCGATGCGTTATGTAGACCGCATTAATTCGCAACATGAAATGAAACAAAACGCAACCGAAATAAATTTCGGAATTTTGTAGGTACAAAGAGACTCAAAGCAGCTATTGTTTAATTGACGGGCGCACACAAAGGAAAAGAAATAAAAGAAAGCAACAGACTAGGAATTAGTATATGTATTTAAGGATTATATATATTTGTCTTTGAATCCAAAAATCGAGCATTATTATAATATCTTGTATAGTATTTTGAAGTAATAAGTTTGAAAATCCATATTCTTAGGTCTTTTTGATTCACTTCGAGTTTTTTTTATCTTTTATCTTTTGTATTTCAGCTACGGCCTCATCATATTCAGCTGGAACCTTTATACCTTGATGAAGCCATTGATGGCACCCTACAGCACGCTCAATGGTTCGTGGGGCCAGTCCTCGGTCTGCGCTGGCGATCCTTCCAGCCGCAGAGAACGTACGTTCACACGCGCACGACGTAGCAGTACATGCCAGATAGTCACGAGCCACCCGACTCACCACAGGATACAATTTGTGATTCTCCTACGTGAAAAATTGAGATATCATAGAAGAGTTAGTTGAAATAAGAAAGGTTGGTGAAGTAAGCTATGTAGTACGTACTTTCCACCATGCAAGAGGAGAGACTCCTTTCGATGCAATAGTTTTTTTATCTAAGTATTGCTTGAGTTCCATGTTTGCATCAGATGAGTCGTCATCATCTGATTCATCGCTAAAGTCGTCAAGGATGTCCTCTGAAGTTGGTGGCATCGACATAACTGGTGGTGGATCTCGGTGGCTCTTGGTGCTGGGCCTAGAAGATATTTCGGCTGCAAAAGAAGCTTCGACCAGTCCTCGGACCCTTTCAACATGTTCGGGAAAATACTTCTGAAAGAACTGCAGTCGGGCTCGGGGGTGCATTGCGGTGGCAATTAGTATAGCGTCACATTCGAGAGCTTCGGCTTGATATGATTCTATTTGATGCTTCATAGCGTCGATGGCCTTGCCGAGTTCAGGATATAAACTTCCATGTTCCTTTTTTGAGTCTTTGAGACGTGCTAGGATGTTGATATATTCCGAAAGGACACGGTAAGCAGTGGGATGGTTACCTTCCATAGCTAAAGTAGTATCTTTGAATATCTGTTAACAAAAAGTCAGTCGCATTATCATAACGGTTTAGTGATTATAATTGACAAAGATGATATATGAAAACTTACTTTTAATACATCAAGTAATGCTTCAACACCACCCCATTCCTCATCAGAGATACGCATGCCATTGAAGTACTGAGCCTTCTTCTCCTTCTTTCGATCCTGGTTCAGGAACTTATTGATAACCTGAAAGAATTTCAAATCAATATCATCAAAAGGCAAAAGTCGTATGTATGAGTGGTGTACTTACATTTTGAGCGTCACAGGCCCGTTTCCAACTATCTAACTTAGAGTTCCATCAAACTCCATAACCATAGATAAGCATCATCCCCTTATATAGAACACTTGCTGCCACTGTTTCGTATTCCCCACGCTTCGCTGGAGACAATGCTACTGCTTGGCTGACTTGTTTGACCTGTACATTATTAAATAGAAATCAATACATCAGTGTCATCCTGTGTGCATCGAGGTAAAGAAAGATAATTGTACCTTTTTAACGCCACTTGTAACCAATCCCCACGTCGGTTTTGGGGTAAAACCTTGAGATGGTAAGTCATCCTCACTATTGGGGACATCGACTTTGGTCAAGTCGTTTTCAGCCTCTATCTCTGACTCGGAGGTGGCACCTTCATCACTTCCTTCATCCATCACAATACCATTAACTTTGACTATCGGAATCAGCATTTGGACATCGGGTTGAGTGGTGGGTTTTACATGACCGGCTTTCAGTTCGAGAGTTGCCAATCCGTGCTTGACTGCCAATGCCAGTTTGTGACAGAAGCAACGGATGTGGTTACCCTGAGAATGCCAAAATACCGGTTCGGTCTTGTCTTCTAAGAACATTCGCTCGAGTTCGCGAGCGAGAAAGTTATTACTTCCTGCTGAGTCCGTAGTTTGAGCTACCATGTAGATAAAACAATGTAAAACTCAGCTTGGATAAGTAAAACCAAAAAGACAGATTGATATGACAGATCAGAAAAGAAACAAATCTTTGAATGTAGCCCGTGACGCATGAGAAAGGTTCCAACCGGCCGAGCAAGTAATACTCCGTAATGATCCCATATAATTCGTTTGAGAGTGAGATGAATAGTTTTAAATTCCCAGTTATCATCGATGTAACAAGCCGAGACTCCAAGGAAAGCGTAACGGCTGCCCTTGGTAGTCCATCCATCATGGATGAGACAAAACCTACTCTGATTATTCTTAAGAGTAGAAATCGCCTCGTCTTGAAGAGATCAAGCCAGTGATTTGGCGGAACTAGCTATCCAAGTAGGTGATCGTAAGATAGCTTGAGGGTTGGCCCATACGAAGGCGGCACCAAGTTCGTTGTCATCAATTCGGAGCCATGGGAGTGCGTGAAGGAGGATCCACAAGACCATGATCTTGTTCAAGGTCTCGACGGTAAATTTGACAAATGAGGTAATCGAGGATTGTTTGGATTTTGAAGCTAACAGTGGTGGATTCTCCTCTTCCCAGGTGGGTGGACATGTAACACCGTTTTTGATGGCCACGTGGCGTCGAGGACATACCTTACGGGTTTTGCTGCCATCTCGATGGGTCCGTAAGTTGTAATGATTAGTCTCTCCATCTTTGTATTCGCCTCGACACCATTTGCACGTATACCAAAACACCTCTTTCTCAAGTTCAACCATTTCCCCAGTTTCCTACAACGAGCATCCTCATTCCCATCTTAGTTCTGTCCAAAGCCACAAAGAAGATACATAATGAATATGTCTTTTAATGTACTTACATCATTTTTAACCTTGTATTTTTCCATCGCTGATCGAGGATTGCTCTCAAAGAACTCGAACAGGTCCTTCACTTTGGCAGTGCGGGCCTTGGCGTTCGAGGCTTTCGTATCTTCTTTCGCCTTTGAAGCTGCATCTTCCTCATCAAAAGTCTGATTTAAGTTCATTCCTTCTGGAACAACAATTACCTATTATTTTTCATTTGATTCGATTAAAAAAAATTAGATAGTGTATTTATAGAGTTGTAGATGAATAAAAAAACACGATATTATACCTGCTGAAGTGCCGCCAATCGCTTCTTCCTCTTTGGAGGTGCAGCATTTTTGGTGCGTTTTTTCTTTTGAGCAGCTTGTGAATCTGCATGCCCTCCAGAAGAGCGGCGTTTCTTACGCTTCTGTGGTTGAGTCGACATTGAAGCTTCTTCTTCTTCGTCGTCAGATTCGATAATCATAGTTTTGGTCTTTGGATTCGAGATGATCTCGGGTTCGTCTCCGCTTCCTTCTTTGTCATCGTCCTCGTCTTGATTGTTGATGTTGGTTGCATTATTTGAAGCGGCATCTTCACCAATTGATTTAGGTGAAGTTGGATCAGGCCCGGGCCATCTCCAGGATCTTCGCCCATCTGGTGAGCCGATGACAAAGGTTCCGTCCTGCTTAGCAGGACTACGTGGCCGAAGGGTGCGCCCAGGGCCTGGAACTTGCAACATTGAAGGAGTGGAGGTAGGTACATCAAGATTGGAATTTTCGGGACCAGGGGGTGCAAGCGAGGAAGAGTCGTTGGCCATCTTTTCGCGGATGATGAGATATTCTCGTATACAAAAATTTCGGACTAGTGCCTTTCTTTTTGAGTGGATGGCACCCCTCAAAAATTTTCTGCTTATGTTTCATGTATTGAAAGCAGAAAATCCTTAAAACATCATCCGATTCCGAATCAAGAGTGGCTCCTTTTTCACATGGAATGGAAATATTTCACCCTCTCTCTACACTTGTAGAATACTCGCAACCAAACGAAACAAATTGCGGTTGGTTGCGAGTTGCGGTTCGCCTGTTCCTGTTTTGATTCGATTGAACCAAAACGGTGTTTTGTCACATCTGATTTTGGTGCGAGAGCACCGCAATGATACTGCGGTTGCGTTTTGGCACCTATAACGCAACAAAACTGCAACGAAACCAAAATATGTTTCGGTGCGATTTGTGTGTTGGTGTGAGGCAGAATTTTGGGTTAAATTTCCTAACACTGCTGCATCAGATTTTGAAAAGTCTGTGCCCACCACCTGAGCAGACATGCTTCTACAAGGGGAGAGGCAATATGTAGCATATGTAACAGTGCTGCAGATCATGTGAAAGTGTCCGCCAAGCCCAGCACTTGCCCTAAAACCTCAACTAAGAGACTCACACAGGACCCCAGAATGGCCCTATGATTGGTACATAATCATCAGAAAACATGACTTGTGAGCTCCTGTGGAATTACACTCCATGGGATCATAAAGCACTCTGTTGAATTTTGCTGGTTTCTGACTTTTGTTATTAGGCATTTCAGAGTTGCTAAAGGTTTGATACAGCTGGTTGGAAAGGTTAAACCTATCTTAAATCTATGGGTAAAGCCAGGGAGAAGTCTCCACACGAGGTCAAAAGTCATGTTTTCTGATGACAACCCTTTATAGGGGCATTCTGGGATCCTACTCACACATATAAACTCTGCATAGAGTTTCACAATCCTCCCAAAACTGTTGAATCTTCTTCCTGAGATGAGGGGTAGTTTGGCATGAGTGAATTTACAAGCAAAGTCAACATACAACAGTCAACGTACAAAAAGTAACGTAAAATATGGGATGTGAACAGACATTCTCTGGAGACAGAATGAGCCGTAAAGTAGTGAAGAAGAGTTGTCCTGGGAATATAGAGATATGGTAGCATATCAGAAGGTGAAATTTTGAAGGCAAGCACCATCATATTATGTGTGTCAGAATGACTTTTCAAGTATAAACCATTGAAGAGAATGTAAATGGTCTCTTTTCTGCAATATTTACTCAAGTAAGCATGTCTTGCCAAGAGCTGGGCTCATGAGATGGCCATCTATGAGCTGGATGTAGTATTTCTGGCTACTCAGAATTTATCTTCCACACTGTCACCTCACATCACAGTGTAAGTGTGTCTCATGTGGGACATGAAATGGTGTATCACTGCAACTGGATTAGTAAAATAGCAACTTTAAAATGCTGACAATGAATATGGAAGAACAATGGAAAGTTGTCCATTCTGCTGGGATCATGATTCTACATATTCTACATAGAGTACTCTAACTTACCTAAGTCCCTCCTATTACAGGGGACGTCTCTGTGGATGATGGGGCTTATGTTAAGCTAAGGAAGACTCCAACTTACAACTGTTTTCAAGAGATTTGGTTTTCTGGATATTTCAGTTTTCCAAGTTTTGTCCAAAACTCAAACAAAACCCTTTTGCAAACTTTGGGCTTTGGGGATATTATGACATTTCAACTCTTCTGTCTTGCTTTCCATATTATTGCATGCAAGAGGGAGCAAAATTGACATGTCTAAAAAGGGTTTTGGACACAGATTTGGACTTTTGCAAAAATGGTGGATGCTCAAAAAAAACCAAAGATCTTGAAAACAGCTGTAACAAAGTTGCTCTTGGACAAACAAGTACAGTTGTCTCTCTGTAAGGGCATACAAAAGGCAGAGCAATTTTGTATGCCCTAAGAGCATCCACTATGGTTGCATTAACAACATGATTTAGCGTCAGTTTAACGCTAAATTATATACAGGTCCACTACCCACTTGGTCAAATCTATGCAAGCCTACGACTTGATTTATCATAGACTGGTGCAAAAAATTGGTCAACAGCCATCCATCCGCATCCATCAAGCTCAGCACACATTGCTTTCACTTGACATCTTCTTTCTGGCCTTGAGGTTTCAGTATCTCAAGATTTGTTGCCTACTCATAACTTGCTAAACAGTGTTTTTTTGTAAAAAAAAGTGCCGCATGATGGATATTGCCAAGATAAAAAAGGTGTGAGAAAGCTTGCTGGCCATTGTCAACGCTTGAAGCCTTGAGTTTGATTCTGTATGGTCATCAAGGTGGTCATGAAGATACAAGTGAGTTGGATGTGGTTCAGTGAGATACTTTATTTTAGTTCTTGACTTTGCCATAGCATGTAAAGTGTTTTAAGAATGGATGATTGTTGGTAAATCAGACAGTAAATCATCCCATAGTGGATTTTATGCTCTTAACAACTTAGTTACTACATGCATGATCAAATTTTGCGGTCAGGCCCACAAAATTCATGTTCAAACAGTCCCACCATAGTGGATGCTCTAAGAGGCTTATGTCCTTATGGACTCTCTACATGGGCCTGACACTTTTTTGGTGGCAAAAGAAACTATGCCCGCCCATATGGGTGTATGCCCTTAAAGTTACAGGGGAGTTGACTGTAGTGGAGAGAGCGACTTATACCTTATACATCAAATTTGGTGTGTGAGCTGGAAAAGTTTGGCTGGGGACTTTTTTAACACTCCATATCTGTGTACCCTACAAACAAATATCCTTGGGACCAAAGAAAAGAGCTGTGTGCCTGATTATTAGCGGTACACAAAATTGAAAACCACATGAGAAAACCATGTGGTTCCATGCAGGTTTCTCATGTGTTTTTCATGTGGTTTTCAATTTTGTGTACCACTATTCTACACACATGTGTGTAGCCTACTCAAGATTTGATGCAGAACTCACTGATAAGCTGGGTTCATGTCTGATAGAAATAGTTAGCCAATATTGGAAAGGTAACTATTGCATTTAGTAAATTTACCTGATAGCAATAGTCAGACAATATTGGAAAGAAAAACCAATCAAACTAACAGTATAAATATAACTAATGCCAATATGTTTATAAGGATAATGTTACAGAGAGATGACTACCAAAACAACTATGATGTAGCAACATTCACAATCACATGTTTGACATCCATAACACTCACAAAACAATGTGAGTGTGAAGTTTGTAAAAAACACCAAAATCAGGGAGAAAGCTAACCAACCTGTCAAGAGCTCACACCAGATGCGCTGAAATGTTACACAAAAACCAGTTCTTCAAGTCTGTTTTTCAGTGCTTCATTAAGGGTACTCAAAGTAAAGTATGTAGCGCTACATACTTTTCGCTACATACTTTTTTTGGCGGGGACAAAGAAAAAAATATACTTTTGGCCTTGTCTTCCCCGCCAAAAAAAGTATATAGCAAAAAGTATGTACACGTACATACTTACTTTGAGTACCCTATTGAAGCCAAGAGAGACTTTATAACAACCAGTATGTGTAAGTTGCGCAGCCACACAACTCTTTTATTTGGTCCAAAGGACATTTGTCTGTAGGGTACGCGGGTACGGAGGAATAGTCCCCAGCCAAACTTTTCCAGCTCACAAGCCAGATTTTTTGTATGCATGAGATACAAGTCCCTCTCTCAACTACTTGTTTGTCCAAGAGGGACTTTAGGCAAAGACTTGGGTGTGAGGAATTGGAAAGTCATGCTGGCAGCTGGGGTGTCTCTTGATCTGTTTCATCACGTGCAACCTATGTAGAGGTCGTGATATGTGTGTCATGTGTTGTACATGTATTTGTTACAGTACCGACATTCGTCATCGAGTCAATTGCGTTGACCATCAATCAGTCAATCGAACAATAACCTTCATCCTTCAACCCTCAACTAAGAACATCGGATCATTCCCATTCTCACAATGTCAAGAAGCTCTTACGATCGGTAAGCGCGTATTCAGAATCACGAACCAATGTTGTACTGTGTTTTGGAAGCCTCTGACTGAATTTTAATCCACGATATCAGGTTCCTCACTATCTTTTCACCAGAGGGAAGGTTATATCAAGTTGAATATGCATTCAAGGCGATCTCAAATTCTGGTCAAACTTCAGTAGCGATCAGAGGTCCGGATTCTTGTGTTGTAGCTACACAGAAGAAAGTACCGGTGGGTGAGGGATGACAAGAAGAAATGACATCAAGAGCATTCCGATCAAGTTTCAGCTCATTCAGCCTTTTTAACGTGTGCTCATTGTTAGGATAAACTTTTGGATCCGAGTACTGTGACTCACTTATTCAGAATCACTCCTGGGATTGGATGTGTGATGACCGGTTTGATAGGTACAGTGCATTTACTCGATTTACCCATCATTCATGAGTGCTCATAAGAGAAAATCGTCGCCACATTTTCACAGCGGATGCTAGGGCACAGGTCGTTAGAGCTCAGTCAGAAGCTGCAGAATTTAGATATCAGTCAGTTAATCAATTTACGCGCTCATGTTTACAAGGAAAGTAAAACTCAGACTATCCTTTCACATGACCTTCAGGTATGGGTATGAAATCCCTCCCGATATGTTAGCCAAGCGATTGGCAAATATCAACCAGGTCTACACTCAACGAGCAGCCACGAGACCACTCGGAATCGGTGAGCATTAAACGCCTGCGTGCCAAAGTCTCTTTCTCTATCTTGACTAATCGACTATTTTGGAAATATTATGACAGTTATGATCATCATTGGAATTGACTCGGAACGTGGACCGCAATGCTTCAAGCTTGACCCTGCCGGATACTTTGTAGGCTACAAAGCCACCTCAGCTGGTACCAAACAGACTGAAGCAACAAACCATTTGGAAAAAGTGCTAAAGAAAGAAGGGGAAGGGGCCCTAAATTTGGCAGGTAACGGTGCCATTGAATTGGCTATCACTACACTCAGTACTGTTCTTGCCACTGATTTCAAAAGCCACGAGATCGAGATTGGCGTGGTTAGTACTGATAAGCCAGACTTCAAAGTGGTAAGTGTTTGGAATTATCTTTCGCTTTCAGCTTCTTTCTATCTGATGACCTTACCGACGGCCTTTCATCACTAAACAGCTCACGGCAGACGAGATCGATGTTCACCTTCAACGTATAGGAGACCAAGATTGAAATAAAAACTCAGTAGCTTTTCTACCTGTATTTGTGACACGAGGCCAAATATCTACACGAGGCCTTGACTTGACACCTCAGGCAAGGCAGCTTGCACTTGACTCACTTTCTGAGGTATGCTTGTCTTTCTTGTGACCTGTGCGCTTGATGAAGCCCAATCACAAAGTGAGAAGATGATGAGCAACTTCCTTCGGCAAAACTTTGGCGTGAGTGTTTGGAAAGCCTCAAGATGTGTTGTCCGGGTAATTGAGCCAATGAGCACTTGAACCCTTTCGTGTAGCATATAATAAATGCTTAGTTGAAGACGTGCTGTACAATACCTGAACGTGAGCTTGATATAAGAGAGACTGGACAATGGCAAATCCCCCAATGCGACAGTGATGTCTTCGGGTCAAGCAGGGGTAACTATCTTTCATTTCTTCCATGAGGTCTGGGGTGGTTTGCATGATTGGGCTATGACCGCTATAAGTCCAATGTTGCAAGCTGGAGTCCTTTGAAAGGTCATCTTTCTCCGATTGCGATGGATCAACTTACACCTTATTAACAGCCATTCAATGTACGTAGATAACCGGGATTCAAGTTCCTTTTCATGGGTCAGACTCACAGGCCTTTTGGTCATTTATTGGCTTAGACAAAGTATAGCAGTGGAAACTTCGCTTCAACTTTTCATGAACTTTGTGAAGCGCTTGCCGTACTAGATCAACCTGCTAGTGATTGGCTGTGACCCTTATACATCACCTTCCAAAAAAGTTTATATGAGTTTCCTGAGTTTGGTTCTTCGATCTCTAATAGTAGTGACAATGCGAGATTGATGCTGGAGTAAGCTACAATTACAATATAGGGATGAAGTGTCGTTCTTCGAGAGGTGATCTCAGCATGAAGACCGAAAACTTCACTTCATTCCATAAATCTTAATTCTGTTCAACTTGATCAAAAGGTGATCACGGTTCGCGGAGGTGGAGAAAGGAGTATTGAATGCTTGCTTTACTCTCATGTCTATGTATAGATAAAGCTTGCCATCAATCCCTCGGTCATGCGGTGTTGCTGATAATCCTCGTCACTCAATTTATTTAGGCGGAGTTTTGCCATGGTTTCCTACAGCAGGATGCAAGACGTGGGAGTTTGATCAAAAGTCAAATGACTCACTCATGAAGGGCGGTGCCAGTGGGTTAGAATATATCAGTTCCTGAACCCATTCTGCTCCGACTTTCATTTTGTCTTTTAGCATTACCTGACATACGAGTCATGCTTCACCCAAAGGACTCTCCCTCAGTGAAAATCAAACATTATAGACCGAAGAAAATGCATCTCCGTATTCTCACAGTTTTTTATGAAGCCTTCGTAATTCTACTTTTATCGCTTGCCGCGCCTGGTGTTTTCGGAATTGATAGATCACAAATCAAGATACTTCAAGGGAATGATGATGGATGTGAGTGTTGAACTATAGTAGCCGCATCTCCTCTGCAAGACTGTCAGATGGGACATATCTAACACTGTTTTGCTTTTCTTGCCAGGGGCAGAAGCGAATATTAGAGCTGCATATAAAGTTTTCACCCAAGCGGGATATCAAGTTAGTCCAATCATAACTTCTTCAGTGCACTTATTTGCTGCTCAACGACCTCTCAATCAATGAATCTCTTATATCTCAGTCAATAATATCAGCACCAACGGAGAACAAAAGTGGTTCTGGATCTTCTTCAGCACAACCAAAGAAATTGGAGAAAGTTGGACAGTATAGCTCAATTAAAAAGGGTTCTCCAGGAATTGGGAATGACGAAGCAGATGGTGCGTTCTCTTTGATGCCTTAGCCATCGTCTTATTTTCAAAGTATCTTGCGGCTCGTGGATTGTCGTCTGATGTAGTTGCGATTTAGATCATATTTGGTATGTCAACGCATTTCCGCTCGATGGCATACGATATGGCCTTGACACCCTGGTAGGGAAATATTTCGGAGGCGATCCACAATTGGTGGTCACTGGTCCAAACGTAGGAAGTTGAGTAAATTCGACAACCTGATGAAGATGAATTCCTAATCACGCGGTCTGATTTTGATCTTTTGCATTTTTCTTACACAGAGAATGTGAACCTCATGGATCTCTTTTCCGGCACATTAGGAGCAGCTTTATATGCTACCAGTCGAGGGATTCCAGCTATCGCGATCTCTGCAGCTGATGATTATCGGCACAGTTACCAAGATTCTATAGCTCATGATTCAAGTCAAATTTACGCTCAAGCTTCTTTAAGAATTATAGAAGCTTTAGTGCAAGGGCCTTCAGATTCTCCATATTTACCCGTTAACCTCACCTTGAATGTTAACCTTCAAGCAGCTGGCCCTGGTAAAAATTGTCAAACTGCGAATGATTATAAATTTGTACTCACAACTATTCATCGAGCTTATGTTGAACATGATCTTCAGCATTGTGGTTCGAAACGACTGGAGAGTGAAGCTAGTATAATCCGCAGGAAATCAGGTTGTTGGGCTAGTATTAGTGGGGTTCATAATCGATTTGGTGTTAGAGCCAACATCGCCGAACAAGAACATGTACGAAACCGGTTTGGAGACTTTCTCTCATGTCCCTGATTCAGTTTTTTTGTATGAAGGAGTTCTATATTTTAACTTTAATAATGTTGTTAGTTGACTGGTATGATCAATGTGCGAAGAAATTTATGAATCAGGTGTTTTTGATCTCATCTTCGCCGTAAATCATACGCATGAACAAGCAGATGTCACTTTGGGATCCACTTCAAGACTGCTGCAATTTCTGAGAATTGCACTTGAGGGTGAGCATAAGTCCAACTTGTTTGAGGAATCCCATGTTGCCACAAGATAACTTGCCATCTTGACCAAAATAACACATCATGTCAAGGCCCGTTAGTGTGAATCGTTGGGAGAGGAAAGATGCAGTTGCAATCTTGACATCCTTAATTCTCTTAAACATTGGCAAGATATACGAATGGATATGAACGATGGAAAGGGGGAAGCCGTTGGCTTTGTCATAGAAGAGCCTTGACCTAAGGTGAAAAATATCGAAAAACCACGCGTATGTGGAAGAAAACTTTGCATGTAACAAACTCAACACCGATTCTTAAAAGATGGTGGATCTCTAATCAAGATTTTTGGATCTGCTCTCGCAACAATACTTTGAAAAACATCAAAACCATGCTAAAATCGAAATCTACTAAACACTCTACATCAATCGCTATCAGAGTCAGAGTCACTACTACTCTCTTCACTACTTTCAGTTCCACTAGTATCATCACTATCACTACCATCCCGTTTCTTTTTGGTAGGTTGACCTCTCATGGCTGCCATTTGTCCAGCTAATGTATCTTCATCGGGTTCGGAGATATCGTCTTCTGCATTCGCATTTCCGTCATTCTCTAAAGCTTCTGGAGGTTCCACACGTAATTGCATACTGGCTTGAACATCGGTTCCAATGTAAGAATCGCTCTTGATATAAGCCTGAAAGGTATAAAGACCAGGACCTTGGGGTGCTTGGAATGAGGTTCGAAGCGTTCGTACTTTGGTGTAGCCTACATCGGAGAACTTGATAGGTTGAACGAACACTCGGTTGAGTTTGTGGTCACCAACGAGGAGGTAATAGCTCGGTACGCGGTCCTACAAAAACAAAGTAGTCTAATTGTATAAGCGGAACGGTAAATCAAGTTCACAAGGTGTGGTTGGACATGCCTTGGTGTAGTGCGGGGCATGTGCAAGGGGACTGGGCTCCTCGCCATCAGCCCCTGCCTTCTTGCGACCTAGTAATTCATCAATCTCCATTTCCTCTCCTTTCAAATCCTGTTCGGTTGGTTCCTCCGGCTTTTTCTCATCTTGTTGGTTGGGTCCGAGGGCTGCTTTGGGAGGAGAGATACGGACCTTGATCGTGAACTGGATCACACAGCCCGGTGTCACAATCTTCTCACCGACGACTACGATTGAAAATAATTGGAGTAGCACATATATGAAGCGCCCATTAGTATATTGGAGCGTCTCAGAGGTTACATTGTACAAAGTGTACAGACCTTTGAATTCCGAACTAATGAGTTCAAGCTTGGGCCATTTTTCAGAAACAGCTGCTAACCGTTTCTGTTCTACACCTTGAATATCGGGAAACAGTTTTCGCTTTTCTTCCTCCGGGAGAACAAAATATTGCTCGGGTGAGGTGATGGAATTTTCTTTGGCTAGCTTCTCTGCAAGTTTAGTTGAAACGTAAGGTAATTGCAGAAGAGGTGATAGTGCTGGATGAACAGCTTGAATCAGGCGTTGTTGAATGGTAGTGATCACAAGGAAAGTGCTGAGCCAATTGTAGCCTAATACGATCGATTGCATTCCTGTAGTGAGATGTCGAGCGTAGTTCACCGCGGTATGTTTGACTGGCTCAAGAGTCCGTAGTAAGTGATGCTGTTAATCGAAGAGGCAAGAAAGAGTGAACCGAAGACACACCTTTGAGTAAACCAGCATCGGTAATGGGGACACGAAGCATATGTGCATATAGCATAACGGCCGTTCTTCGGACATATTTTTCACCATTGTTGTACAGCTTTCCATCGAGTTTTTCCCCGGTCAGGTTGAACAACGCAGTCTTGACTTGGTCTTCTAGTCTTTGGAAATTTTTACTCTCATAGAGCTTTACATTGCGCTGATGTAGCAATTTGAGCTCTACTGACGCAGACAACACCTCTATGGCATGTGAGAATTGAGTCTCTTCTGTTAAATTCGTGAAGTACAGAGCAGCCGATTCATTGAGCACTTGATCCTTGGTAAATTTCCTAGATCCATGCCACCATTTTCCCTGCGGAGCGTATTCAGCAGTAGTTTGAGGATCAGCGGAAACTCTGTGATGCGCAAAGTTGACAGAAGGGCACTTACGACAAACCAAGGTAACAACAGACCAAAAACTAAGCCGTAAACCCCAATAACATAGACGTTGTTTTGACTTTCAACAATCCACTTTGGCAATGCGATACCCATAGATGAGTCTTGCTTCCCATCGGGGTGACCGTAAGTTTCGTAGTTTTTTCGTATCGTCTCGTCAGTGAGTCTAGACCGTCACAGAGTACCAAAAACAGATTTCAGTGGCTGGCTGCTTATGGATTCGAATTCTGTAACAAAACTGACGATTTGTATGCCTTGGTTATGTTGACGAAATGGGCGTTGACTTCTTCCATCGTTTGATTACCAGTGAGCTTCAGTTTATCGGGGTGACTATAGAGAGGTAGATACATCGCAAAGGTGATGAGTAGGGTATAGGCTAACAGGCAAATCTCATTGACATACAATTTGAGTGATAACCTCTTGTAATGACGTTTGATTTGCTTGTCGCTCAGTCCCTACAAAACCACCAGACATCAGCAATGGCAATGGCAATGGTAATAGCAATGACAATGGCATCGACCGTGAATGTAACAAAACTGACTGTGCTGATTCCAAGGATGGAGAATGGATCATAAGTGCCTGCGGAAGCTTCTACAAAGCTGGCTCGATAACCAACATATCCCAAGAGGGCCCAACCCAGAGCAAGTGCCACATGACTATAAGAGTAGTGGAAAGAAGGTGTCAATTTCGGGGAAAATCAAAATATGCCGACTGAACTGACTGACTTCAAATTGACGGCAGGTGCTGCACTTTTGGCTTTTCGCACTTGTTCATCCTTGAAATTCCATCCTGCGCATGGTGCTTTCGCTACTTTCTCTGTAAGATGACCGCACACAGAATCCAAGAGTCAGTCTTGAGGATTCATCGACAAGTTTATAAGCTAAACGTACTACGACTAGTTTGTAATGTCGAAATAGTCCACGGGATCAAAATCAACAGTAAGAATGTGAAGACGAAAAACCCAGATTGACCAGCTTTTAAATCAATCAAAAAAATACAAGGATTAGCTTCCGTTCAGCAGGTCCCCATTAATAGTAACAATCACTGACATTCATCATATTCGTAAGAAGCGGCCATCGGATGTACTCGAGGGTCTCAATGGAGATGATAGGGTTGATTCGAGAGGTCTTCAGATTGACTGGTAGTGACCTTTTAGCAATGCTAATCAGACTGTGGTGGATTGATCGATGAATGTTTCTTGAATACCACCTGGGTTTTCTTAAAATGCAATACAGTTCGACGTGGAGTAGCACTGAAACCTCAACTGTAACATCAAACACAGCATCGTAGATACCCGGCTTGAGACGAACCCGCAGCGTACGTGGCACCGGTCTACATGTCATGTACAATACATACACACTTAACTTAACCAACATTAGGGGTTCTCAAAGTTGGCCCGGTTTCAAGAAAACCCAGTTGACCCGGTTGCTTTTTGGCAGTAACCTTGTGTATCGAGTTGACATTTTTTGACAGATCACAGCCAAAAAGTCAACTGGGTCAACCGGGTTTTTACAAACCGGGCCTACTTTGAGAACCCCTATTGCAATCAGATACATGGATAATTTTATTTGTTCAACAGGCATGGATAGTTGAAACTGATGATGAGATTCCCACCATGTTATGTATGTATCCCTTCTTACTTACAGATCATCACCCACTTCAAGCCTGCCACCGGTACCATAAATTGTACATGTATTCAGACAGGAGAGATATTGGTTGCTGAACAAGGAATCTAGATCTGTAATACTTCAATGTCACAAGGTAGGAAAAGAATTATTGGTGTTGGTTGAAATTTGAAGGTATAAGGATTTGATACATTTGATACCATTTCCCTCTTTTCCCTGGGAAGTGCTCACAGGAGCCACTTGTTAATGGATGACTTGATGCGCTATTCACTGAATGTAGCATATATTTCACTGCACATTTTCAGTGAAATTTCCCAAAGCAGCATTTTCTCTTTATCTCATTTTTACATCTTGAATGAGAAAGGACTGAGGGACAGGTAGATAAGAGGTTGGAATATGAAAGGTGTGACTACCTTTGCAGTCAGTTTCCAGGGAAGGATTTCTGGGTGGATCCTGAACAGCAGTATGGATTGAATCAAACCAACTGGTGAGCTATCATCTGACATGATGAAAAATTTGGGATGTCTATTGCCTTGGGATGGCTGTAGTCATCAATTCTAAAAGAAAGCTGAGTTGTGGAAATTTATTTGGGAAAGCTGGCTTCATGATATCTTTTTCTTGCATATATCACAGGAAATTTTGGTTTTGAGGAGAATATAAATGATACCCCTGAGAATAGCTTCCAACAGGAATTGGGTAGCTGCACTTCAGAGTAAATATATACTCTTCTTTTAAATTAATCCAAAAGAACATATAAAAGCTTCCTATTGTGAAATCCTGTAGGATGTGAGGTATAATTGATTGTACTGAAGACAGCCACACAGAGCGCTCAAGGAAACCAACTTCCAAGTGCACATGGGAAAGGGTGGAGGAATCAAATGTCTCTCATTTCTTCAAATGATCAAACCTGATCCTGTCAAGCACGAATTATGACGTACTGATTGGCTAGGGCGGCCCCGTGGAGAGCACCCGACTCGAGAAATGGAACCCAGTCTGCTAGCTTAAGTGGCCTTAAGGTGTCCTAACAAATTTTGATCCTGAAACAAAAACTTGAGAAACCATCATTATCGCTCCCACCCACAACTCAACTCATAAATCATCTCAACTCAGTCAAAGAACGTCAAAGATGGGGAAGCGTAAAGCCTCAAAAATGAAAGGCTCTGTTGAAGCCAAACAGGCAAAGATCGAAGACCCTCGCTTCAATCTTGACCCTTCAAAGTCCTCCAACTCCCCTCTTGAGGGCAAGGAAGATTCGCCGAGCAAAACTTCTACAATTCTCAAAAGTCCTCGTGAAGAAACCTCTGGCCCAGCTGAAACCTCTCAGGAACTTCAAGAACCTCAATCGCTAGATGATGAGGCCATGACGTCCACAAAAACCGATCGTGAAACCTCACCGTCAAAAGATGATAATGATAATGATGAAGATGAAGATGTCGAAATGGATCGTCTAGAAGAGTCAAGCACGCAACAAAATCATAAAAAAGTCATCGACCTAGACAAACTCAGTCGGACAACACAAAAAGTGAATAAGACAGGCTTAATTTACCTTGCACGAATTCCAGTGGGGATGGGACCTGGAAAAGTGAAACATTTATTGTCTAAATGGGGTACTGTGAATCGAATTTATCTAGCACGACATGAAGAAGCAAAAACAATCAAGGTTAAGAAGGGTAAAGAAAAACACCAAAGTTATCAATTTAAGGAGGGATGGATTGAATTTGAAGATAAGAGGGTAGCTAGACGGGTAGCCGAACTTCTTAACACTCGCCCTATTGGTATGTTTCATTCATCATCATTCAACGATCCATCTACTTGTTCCTCTTACGATAGTTTTCCTTCTTTATCCTTGTATGCTACGTTGACCATATCAGGTGGTAAGGCTAGCGATCGATACTCGTCCGAGCTATGGTCACTCAAATATTTACCGAAATTTAAATGGTCAAATCTATCTGATCAAATGGCCGTCGAGCGTAGACTGCGTGAACAACTGCAACGCAACAGTCTTGAAGACAGTAAAAAGGATCAAGATTGGTACCTACGGATGGTGGAGAAGAACCGTGTGGGCAACAAGATTAAGGAGAAGGAAATCAGCAGGAAAGGCAAGGTGGTCAATTCGACTAGATGGGCACCAAAAGAACACAAGCAACGGAACATTCGAGCCTCAGATACACACGGAGAAACTAATCAACAAACCAGCACTGGAAGTAGATCCAACACTGATGGAATGAAGACTGTCTTATCAAACTTGTTATAACTATTTATCATGTGCTTTCCAGTCTTTGACTGTGCTGCATCTCTTCCATGCTTCTCAAACTCGAGCCTTTGCATCTCCAACAATATCAGGCTCTCCTTGACTAATGGACCTATATAACACTAGGGATGAACCTTGACGTTGTACGGAAGTAGTCGTCGATGTTCGGAGTGTGACTCAAAGTTTTGCTTCATCTTACACACCCTTGTTCCAAAAGATGATCCGTGTGAACACCACTGATTTGTGAACGTATAACACTGCCTATTGCCCCAGTGATCCTGAGCATCTATGAGTCGGTCCGGTTTCGGTGCATCTTCCCAAAATTTTAGTTTAAGAGGCGCTGGCATATGTGGATCAGCTGTGTACGATTGTGGACAATTGCAACGTAACAAATGTACGAAGAAGTCACACACTTGGACTGCTCTCATGAGCAAAGAATTCTGATTAAATATAAGGGTTGAGCCAAATGAAATATGTTTTCATGTAACCCAAAATTTACAAGTTGCTTTTTTACCGATACATCGACCCACTTTTCATATGAGGTCCTCACAAAAACACAAAGCTTGAATGCATAAATTATTCTACATTTTTATTGTCCATGAGTATCTCTGAGATCTGTTTTTTTTTCAGGCAACCCCGCACCTTGAGCTTAAAAATGACTGATGAAATCATCAAAGAAATATAGCAAAAGGTAAAAAGGTGATAAACGTCCACGATACCATAGGTTTGTAAGCGCTTGAAAAAACTTGAGTACTTTGTTGACCTCTCGGTGATATAGTACTATTCGATGCAACGATAGGATCAGTCACTGGAATTGGAGGAGTTTTCGGAGTATCCGCGATGGGGTGAGAAGTAGAATTACTGCATAACAAAAGAAAAAAGCAGAAAGGAAAAAAGTATCAGATCAGTCATTTGTTTCTATTCTTCTGGAGTGCTAAATAATCAGGCAAGGATTTTCTGGAGGTTCGACTTTGTTTGCTGTTTATCATCATCTCTACTAAAGTCACACACTGAAGTTCGTGATGAAGTTTGACCCTCTTATCAACCCAACAGACTGGATATATATTAGGTGTAGCGAATGATAAGAGATAGCGGTCTTCGTTTAAGCTTCGGAGTATTATGGTAACGTTTGCCGTGAAGAAAAGCGGCCTATGCATGCTTGCTATATCTGCAAACGTATTTCTATCATCCGCAAGCTATCGGAAGATTATAAATACCCATAGGACAGTTCATTCGGATTCTCTTCGATTCCCAAACCGAATATATTTCCTTCAGAAATTTCTGATTACCATGGAAATATAGATTCTGTGTCTGACTTCCAGAATAAAACGTAAACATCATCAAATAATTTCATATATTGCTTTTCATCATACACATAAAAACATAGTCTGACTGAAGTTATCTCTAACCACGTAACTGAAAAGGACCTGAAAAAATGTACAATGAAATGGGAAAATATGCTACTTGGGATTATGAAGACAGAACCAGATAATTTTCTTACTTGGAATTTGAACTATATGAATCAGTCATGTTGCTATCGACCACATTCACTGGAATCTCAAACGCTTGAGTAAAATTGGCCGGGTGTATTTGAGAATTTTCTTCAATCACCAAGTCTGAGGTAGATATGGTAAACAAATTCGATTCGTCAGTCAAGAAATTCCTTTCCAATGAGAAAAGTAGATATTCTTCTTACTATATTCGCCTGGTGGTAAGTCTGGACAAGGAAATGCAGCTCGAGCTTCGTATCTCGCAAAACTAGTCTGCCCTAAAAGTGTTTCGTTACCGGAGCTACTTTTGATCAGAAACTTCACCAATGTAGCGGTTGTTTCCTACAGGATTATCCAAGACAAGAAGGCCACGTCAGCTAGAGAAACATAGCTAAAAGCATCAATCTCAGGTTACGTCTCACCCCATCTCTATAATGGACATCAACTGGGGTCCCGGGAGTGATATTTTGAGACGTCACAGGGGTTATGAGTTGAGGAAAATGAGGTGATCTGATTCGGAGTGTGGCGCCATCTCTGCCGGGTGTGGTTTCCCTCTTAATTTTTTTACTCGAGTGATCGACCACATTCACCGGGATCTTGATCACCTCCGTAAAATTGTCTGGATCTGACTGGGTATTTTCTCGCACAACCAACGCTGAAAAGAATTGAAAAGAGAATTTCTCAGTGAAGACGCTCGATCTAATTTAACAAAGTCCAGACTAGCTTCTTACTATAAGGATTCGGTGATAAATCTTCTGGGCATGTGAATGTGTCTTGAGCCTCAAAATTCGTGAACTCGGCCTCTCCGAGAGGTGTTTCGTGACCGAAGCTATCTATGAGTAGAACCTCTACCGTCGTAGGAAAAGGTGCTATCTAGAGAAATTAGACAACAAGAACGCTTCAGGATGAGACCAACACCCAAAAACAACAAGATCAGACTGGATCCTACCCCACTTCGATACAGAAATTCAAATTCCATCCCAGGATCCAATTTCTGTGACGGCAGGGGTGATATGAGCTTGGGGAAATGAGGCGCTCTGGTACTAAGCTGCACACGGCTTCTTTCTTTCTGGCCATCTTTGACACGTCTTGTGTTTGCAACTGATATCCAAGTAGTGCCAACTTGTTCATAACCTCCATCGAGTTGCATTCGGACAACGAGTTCTGAATAAATGTTACGGATGCAGGTAAGTATCAAGCATGTTAGTATCACGAACTGCTGAAGGCTGACCATATGATCCCGATTGCATATTATCAGGAAGGCGACAAGATGTATATCCAACTTTGTCCCATAAGGTCGTCTCTCCAACGACCTGTGACATGTCTTCGCAAGAATCACGGATGACGAATTGAACATTTGTCTCTCGATTTCTCTAATATCAATATCAATGATAGATTGGTGAAAGTATTAGTAATCAAACCATCAGGTCATAAGAGCAAAAAACAGAATGAGGTACAAACTTTGTCTGTGATCTCGCAATCAAAATCGGAACCGACGTGAACAATTTGGTGCGGATAGGGTTTGTGTAGCAAGACAGCCGTAAGGTTGACTGGGCCAATATGATCTTGCTCAGAGTCTTTCACTCCCGCATCATATGCAGCCACTTCATTAGCATCAAAGTCATCCGCAAGCACCAAGGAAATCGTCCCTGAGTTGCCAGAGACAATCACAGTCGTGGATACGACATCAAGGAAACGCTCCGGTCTCGCTATAGAGTTCTGTTTGGCCACCAAGCCTGTATCAGTGATAAGGAGGAAATCACCATTAGCGCATATAGTTCATAACGTTCGAAGGTGACTGATCATGAATTTCAATAAATTGTGACTCAAACTGTAATTGTCAAGTGGAATGTCGGCAGGACATTCAAATTGGCCAGTGGCCATGTGGTCTGAAAAATTAACTTGTCCAAGGTAGTAATCTCGTCCGTTGCGATCTCTAAGGACAAATTGGACATTTTCGGTAGTAGCCATCTATAAATCAAGAAAAAAAGTACATGAATCACGTCAGCTATTAAACAAGTCTTGATACACTTGTGCCAAACTCTGAGGGATCATTGATATCAATTGAGAAAATCTGACCTGATCATGAATCTTACATTCAAAGGTAGCTCCGAGAGGAAGAACCTGAGCAACTTCGGGAAGAAGTATAGATGGTAACTCGGTTCTTCGTCGAGTTCTGCGTTCAAGACCCTTTGCGTCTCTCTTCATGATCGGATGTGATTCATCGTACTCAGTGAGATCTACACGTCTACGTAGATCACTGACAACCTGAATTTCGACTGAAGATGCCTCCGAAAACGTGTTTTGCCGTACGGAGGAGTTTTCTTGAGCCACAATCTCTGTTTGTTTTCCATAGTAACACCAAAACAAAACGCAAAAATGAAACCCAAACTCAGTGATATGAATTTACATCAATTCATGAATGATGATCAAATTACGCAACTGTAGACCCCGTTAGGCAAATCAGCCGGAAGTTTTACAGTAGCTTTAGCCTTGAAACTCTCAAATAAGAAATCCCCTAGTGGATAGTCCATTGATTGACCACGAAGGATAAATTTCACCTTGTCTGCCGTTGTTTCCTAGCGAATGCAAAGTCTTCAGGTTCAGCGGATGTGTCCATATGCCGTACCACAAAAATGAGACTCACTCCATCGGTATATTCTATGGTCATGTTCATTGCAGCTGTGAACTTCTGTGAGCTTTGAGGCTGTAAAAATCCGGAAGGATGTGGGGCACGTCGTGAAAGCTGCTTATATCGATAAGCTTCGTCTGTCTCTCCTGTTCCGTCGTCTGTTTCTCCTCCATCTCCGTCGTCTGACTCTCCTGAATTGATGCCAGTGGGGGGACGTTGACCAACATAGACGGTAAAAGAGACTACGTCATTATACTCTGTACTACCTTGACCATCATTTTCGGAAACAACAAAGTCTTTACAAAGAATCAAGGATTTCGATATCGTATGGGTACAAAGTTAGTCCCACTAGCAACTGAAACACATGAAGCTATAACGGCAAATCGACAAGTTTTTTGCACGTACCATAAGTGCCATTGGCGACCCAAGAGGGCGTCACGACCTTGGTGTCGGTTTTGTGATCTCGACAGTCTAAGTCAGTTTGAACGATGAAGAGGCCAGTACCGTTGAAAAGGGAAATCTGGATTCTCGACGCGAAAGTATCCTAAATGAGGAGCAGCATTTTCAGATTTTTGCTACACTCTCACACCTCCAAACGATTGATAGATTGAACTTGGCCTACCTCATTGACGTATTTGACTTTAAAAGGTTGGCCAGGATATAAGACCTGACCCGGAAGTGGAGAAGACATCATCGCATAGTCAAGTGGATCGTTTGGCAATTCGCCAAGAGCTAATGTTTGAGTGGGTTCTTCTGATATCGTGATGGGCCATGATAGTATAGACACAACGAAAAGTGAAAGGATTAAGAGCGGGTAGCGATTCGACATCTCGAGCACAATACGTCACTGGTCTTGGAGTAGCTCGAGGTGGAAAAGAGAAGAGAACTTGAAGAATGTGTTTAAAAAAAGCGAGGTGTGAGAGACTTGTTTGCGGAGGTGATCACCCCAACAGCGCGAGGGAAGATCGGTGGACTTGGAGCAGTGAGCACTTGTTTGGTTCGTAGACGATGGTAAGATTGATATCAGTCTTCAAGCTAGAAGACTCTATAGGATGGGTCGTTCAACCGCTCAACAGTCCTCGGCAATCCTACTTTTAGTAAGACTCCGTTGAGAGGGCACAAACCAACGCAGAATCTACGCTACCTTAGGAATCTATGGTACCCCGGATGAAGCAAATGAAGATGGAAAGAGTTTTGTGCAAAAAGGCTGATTGATAATCTCGCAAGTGTAGTTAGAAGAGCTGTACGTGTGAGTAAAAAACGTTCTACGCCTGAGTGGGAAATAAAGTACACTTTGACGGATCAAGAGAGGGTCTTTATTTTGAAAATGAAGTCTTGAGTTACAAGCTTGACTGCACGGTCTCATGAAATGGCATGGTTAATGAAAGCAAGCTGTCCAAATGGTCGATTGCAGAGTGCGGTTTACATGAAAAGACATCAGGGACTGTGAAATCCAGTCGATGAAGTTCCTAGAGGTGACTTTTCGCAGGAAATACTTGCCTCAATTATCAATATACCAAAGCGATAAAATCGGCAAAAAGCAAGGCGAATCAATCAGTCCACATGTCAAGGAGGGATCGTTGAAAAGGAGGGTAAATGGATTTAATCAGACAGATGACAATCAAAGCGATTCATGCTCAGAAAACTCATGACATGATATAGCATGATAGCGATGGAGACTGCTCAGCTGTTCTGATTTCGTAACTTGAATATTGAAATCCTTTTGTAACTTGTCAATCTGTTGAACCAGCTCTCCAGAAACTGGAGTGAAAATAGCAGGATTGGGGCTCAACAATGGTCATCATTCAAAGAATTAAACTTGAACCTCAGCTCACAAAGAATCGTGCCATTGACCCAAACACATCAGATAAATCACATCAACTCGGATAGACTCGCGGTGAGGAAACATCATCGAAAGTCTAAATCAAACTCAAGTGAGTGCAAGACTAACGCAGTCAAGGTACAACCTCACTCATCCAGTCAAAAGATGGATGATTGGAAGCAGACTGGGATTATGTCATATTTTTGTTTTCAAACGCAAAGCCTTCAATCACTGCAGCTCTACTCACTTGGAAAATACTTCTGTCTATCACATATTTTTTGCACCTTCCAGAGTGTCTATTAATGATTCAGTATTAAAAACAGAGTACTGAAAGGAAGTCTAATATCAAGTAGTCATTCAGTAGAATTCTTATTGAGGATCTTGGTGAAGTCCAATCAGCACTCTAGGCAGTGACAATTATGCTTGATCATGCGCCCTGTTTAATCGAGTTTGGCGTATGACGCTCGCTCAAGTTCAGCTGTTCGGCGAGCATTGACTTCGAAAAACTAAAGAAATGTATGATCAGCTTCTTTCACTTAGAACACGCTGTTACTTGCACAAAAAAACCCTCTAGAGCTTACTTGATAAATGATGATGAAGACTGCTGCAAGTACTCCGAGTGAGTTGGAGATAGTCATGAGGGTATTGTCGCTAATCATCGTATGGTTGGAAGATGATCTAGTTTGTTTTGAGTTGCTGTTACCACCTCTTCTCTCGCTTTTGAAAAACGATCGCTCGAGTTCTTGTGATGTAGATCTGTTGCAAAAGTTGAGATCAAGTTGAGGTTAGAGTTGGATTGGTACGAATCAGTTGAAGGGTTTGAAGAAATCACATGTTCGGGTGAATGTTGAAGTTCGATTTGATGACTTTGAGAAACTGAATGAATGTGATTTGGGACGGCGTCCAAGACACGTTGAACATAGCTACGTCATAGGTAGGTTACCTTAAGGCTTAAGTCTTCCCTTCTTTTCCACATAAAAAAAATATGAAGTGCAACGAGGATATCTTTCAGAAATCAGAATGAGTGGCTCAGTCTGAGATGGGAATGCAACTTTCCCTGACTTAGCGCAACTTGTAGAAGACACAGGCAGATTCACCCATTTAAAAACATACATAGAGTAAAAATCATTACCTCTCTTGAGTCTCAACTCAAACACCTATGCCAAACATTTCTCTTTATTTCTATTTCTCTATATCTTTTCCTTTCGTGTGGATAATATCTGGGCGCGTGAAAAATTGTTCAAGAAACCTGAAAAACATATCACAGAAGTTGTACTCTAGTAACTATTAAAATCACAAAGATAGATACTACAGCAAGTGAAATCAAAAGCACTTGAAAAAAATGGGCATGCAACTGCTATCTCTTGTTGCTTTGATACCATGAGAGTATTTATAGTCAAACATCACACTGCATATTGAATACTCCAGCTCAAAGCTAGCACTGAACTTTCCCGTGGCTTAAATACCTGGTAGTACTAGTCCTCAGCAGTCTTTTTGTATCCTGAGTTCTTCACCAATAATAAGTGACAAGGTTGAAATCTACCTTGAAATGATGGTATAGTAAGAATATCACTTCTTGAGCATACCTCCGGATCAATCACAATGAAGACTTGTAGACATTTTATTTTCCTTGAAAATTGGTCCATGACTTGACATTGAGATGAAAATCTTAGTATGCCTACACGTATCAGAGTTTGCTCTTCACCCAGGACAAATCAAGTTGTGTTCTAGCTGAACAATTTAAGGTATTTTCTGTTTCTTTACTATAGATATATTGGATTTCAAACATATAATAACAATGATCCCATCATTGTGATTCTATATTTTATTTATTGACACAAATGACCACACTGAATGCATCTCAAGATGACTAAAAGGCTGACCATAACTCTAGTGAACTTGAAGCAATATCTTTCCAGATGTATTCTTCATTCACTACATGCATTTGATAGTATATAAAGTGTCAACAAAAAAAATATCAGTCATCTAGGATGTTGAGATTCTATCTCTGCTTGTATGCTATATAGAATGGACACTGTGGCCTTTTGTTCCTTTCTATTGATCCCTTTTGACTAGCATTTGAGTTTGAGTGGATGTTATATTTATGTCAACATCTTTGAAATATGGGTCACAAATTCAAGATGATCAATCCTTGGGCTCTGGGTGAATTAGTAAATAGAGACTCAATCCCAACAAAGTAAACAATTTTAGAGACCTTGGATCACACACGGGGTAAGTCCAAAATTTTTTGAGACAAGATAAAAAGAAGGAATATCAACCTACCAAGAAGATCTTGAATGGTAAGAGTAAAAAAGTGGAGCCGGATGTGTGCTATATGGCCGATGGAACTCACTCATGGACATTCAAAGAGTGCATTGCACTAAGTTAAAAAAATATGTGGAAGCAGATCGGTCCAGAGGGCTCCACTTGGTTCCTTCCAAAAACTCTTTTCTATGCCAGACACCACAATTCATCAGATTTATGATGTCAGTTGAGCTGGCTCAATCCCCACACTAACCCTCAACCACACCTGATTTGAAGGTGTTTCCTGTCTTTTTTTGTAAGTCCATATACCTCGGTACAACCTTGAAAAACAGATGCTAAGGAGAAGCTCTAGCATAAATAGCATCGCGGTAGACTCCATCCCATGAGGCTTTGGAATGCCTAGTCACTGAGACATACCAGCTTCCTTGGTGGCTGGTTACTCCAAGAGTTTTCCAGGAATGCTTGTATGTGGTGCAAATTGGTACACCACGGGGGTACTTTGAGTCCCGACCTTGGTCTGCACATGGTCGGGTCAAGTGCTGGCCCTACTCTCGCCTGCTGGCCAGGCAGTGGTCGCCCCAGGCATGCCCTGGCACGGTCGGCCCCTCCGATGCCCCCCTGGCCAAAATGCAGCGTGGCGCCTCGCCGGGGGCCGCCCATGGGTCGCCCCGCATCCACCTGCTGCCCCAATGTTCGCGATCCAGCCCACCGGCCGCCTTCTGGCCGAGGGGGGGGGCCTTGGCGATAGATCCCAAACACCAGAGGAAGGAATCTCAGGGTGGGTGTTTGTTCTTTCCAAACATCGTGTTTGTATTATACAAAAAGTAGTTTCCTTTGGGTTTCCTCCCACTGCGCGCAAGGAGTCAGTGTGTGGGAAGTTGTTGAGTATACCAAACAACAAGGTGTTGAGATCAACACGCACACCCTGAGACATCTCTCAAAACAAAACGCATGTCAAGGTCACATCGCAGAAGAAAGCATGAGATCACGTCCAAACAATCACATCGTGATCAGCCACGCATGAAAGATGCGTTTGGAGCATGATGCAGCCAGATGAAACGGCTGAAACGCCTCAGCACGAAAGCCTTCTATTACAACCTTGACACGCACCTCGAGTCAGAGTAACACAGCCTCTCGGCAGCAGAGTGGACCTCACCGGTTTCTCCTTGGGGTTCGATGGCATTTCTCATCCAGTCAAGCAACTGACCCCGGGCGGTAAGATCATTGTTGTTTTTCTTAAACCGTGTCCGTTTGATTTTTGAAACACGCACGCACTCAATTCCACCGAAATTTCCTGCACCATTTCCTCTCTTCTGGCCAATTGCGTTCGTTCATCGACTATTTTTCTCAACATAATCCATGTTGATATGCCCTGACCCACGTTTGTTTGTCGTCAGCCAAGAATCCCAACTTCCCACCCAAATCAACTCACACAAGCAACCTCACGTGACCGCGCCTCTGAAATGGCTCACAATCATCCTCCTAACCCATGTATGTTTTTGTTGATTCGAACTGCTTTTGAGTGTGTGGGGTGGTGACATCTCTCAAAAAATGGCAGATTTCCAACAGCTCTCAAAAGTGCCCTCTGTGTCCAACTGGAAGTGTTTAGTGTGCGGACGGAAGGGCATGGAAGACTATGGCCCCCACTCACACTCGGCGAAACACCTGGAAGCTGTGGCGCGCTACAACGCTTGTCAAGCTGCTGAAAACATGATGATGCCTGGCCTCCAAGAGCCAGACCCACCCGGTGCCATCTCGCCCGCTCCTGTCCAAGATAACATCTTTGATGAAATCACCTCTCGCTCCGATACTCCAGAAAGGGCTCCCTCTCCTTTCACTGCGCTTCACGCTCTCGCAATGGCGGAGGAGCGTCAGATTTCCGATTCAGATGACTCCGATGGAGAAGTTGACCTTCAAAAGCTTGCTGAGGCTTTTAGGGTCATGGAAGAAGATATGTGGGGTGAAGAGGGCGACGAGGCAATTGATGCGGCCGCCCTGGAAGCGGATTTGTGCACGTCCACGATGCCTGTGGAAGAGGCTTCCCAATGGTACCCGTTTAAGAAGAAAGAGGTCAGCTAGCTCGCAATTCTTTATCCTGATGTCTTCGTGTTCGACAAAATAATTCCGTATATAACACGTTCATCCAATTATTCATTCTCCACCAAAGCACCTCGTAGGGTTATTGATTATTGGATCTACTCGAAACATCCCATCACGCTCCCAATACCACCGAATCCGTTCAATTCTCCAGATATGCCTTGTTCGTCTTCCTGAATGGGGGGCATTACGTGCTTTAAGTAAAAAGCTAAAGAACAATCTTGGTCTGCGGGTCTCCGAGCGGATCAGTCCTCACGGCACCCCGGTATTTGGGTTGAAAGTTCAGACAATTGTCAGTAATGTGGGTCCTCCGTCCGTTTACTCTTCTTCATGAGCGTTGATGGTCACATTGACACCCAACGCTTTGGTGTTGCAGGAACTTGCCAATCCTTTGGTAAGCCCGCACCTGGTTGTTCTGCCCGAGTTGCCGACAAACACCACGCTAGATCCCATCAACCGGTTGTCTCAGTCGCAAAAATGGCGCGAAGGGTTCTCCCGAGACATGCGGGTGCCAATGGTGGTATCACGTGGCAAACACTGGTTCATATATGAACCAGTGCAAACCGTTTCGCAAGCGGTTGTAGTGCCGGCGTTTTTTTATCAGCAACATGGAAAGACCCTGGCCAAATGCCTCCCGGCGAGCGTTCAAGAGGATCCAGAACACCCATTACTGCTCAAGTTGTGCATCCCGGCCGAACCTTGTTTTGACTCGATGGATTTCCAAACAATTGATGTGAAGGATTTCTGGCGAGGAACCGCCAACATCATCTTAGAAGACGGCACGGCCCTTGCTGATCGCTGTGGGGGTCATATATCTCGTGGGCCCTTTTTTAACCATGTTATGTTATGTTTGTGTGGTGGCCTTTAACGTCCGGCCTGATGATGTCTTTCATTTAGAAGACTCGCCAATCGGGCATCGGCCTTTACCGATGACCAATCCTTGGCGTGAGCGAGCCCAAGGTCGCGTCATCAAGCACATCCCAATCAGCTTGTACTCTGACGATACTTCCGGGAATGTCGGGAAGAAATGGAATAAACACATGAGTGTTTTTTTTACCCTCGCCGGCCTACCTCCAAGGATGACCAACCAGGAGTACAATATCCATTTCCTGGCCACTTCGAACTGTGCCTCCGCGCTGGAACTACTGGACGAGGCTGTTGATGATATCAAGTAAGCATTACTTGAATTACCTCTTCAAACAGTGGATTCATAAACAAGTTTGACCTCTGGCTCTTTCTTGGCCCAGTGACCACAGTGCCAACGGTTTTTTTGCTTACGACCACGTCAGTGGTAGTGAAGTCCTGGTTATGGTCGTGGTTCTATTCCACTTGGGCAATTCCCCGATGCACGCTGAAATCAGCAATACAACCAATCCAGCTAATACTTTAACGCCGTGTCGCATATGTGACTTGCAAGTTGGCCAGATGATTGAGAAGAAAACAGAACAGTACGTTTCTGATTTCATCGGTGTCGATTTAGATGGCGAACAGGTTGGTCATTTCGCTGGTTCTCTATGTCACCCTGCTTCTTACACACACATGTGACTGACAAATCAGTCGCGGCAACTGCAGTTCTCTTTGCCCCAAAGGGATTGGGAGGTCACTCGCGCTCGCGCTCACGACATCTGGGCAATGGCACAGATGCCGCACAGCAAAACCGCGGTTGAGAGTGAAGCTCGAAAGTACGGATTTCGCGATTCGGTGCTCGATTACTTCATCAAAAAGGTTCACCTGGCTTACGACTCGCCTGAGACCTGTGATGTGCACCAGCTTTGTGAAGGTTTGAATGACCAACTGGGCGAGCGGTTGTTTAACCCCATGTTGAGGTTAAAAGGTTTGTTCACGGTGTTCAATATCTTCCATGCGTACGAACATCCTGTCTGACCGAGTCATCACAGGTTTCAATGGGCATCAGGATACTCCCATTGAGACTTTGCATGTTCTTCTACTGGGTATTGCAAAATACCTCTTCAGAGATACTATGAAGTCGCTCGGAATTCTGAAACCCGGCTCATCACGTTACCGCGAACTCTCGGCGCGGTGGAGGGATTTCAACACGAAGGGTTTGAAGATCCCGCCTATACAGCCAACTACTCTCATTAATTTTTACCAGAGCCTCGTCGGAAAGGAGTTCCGGACGGTCCTTCAAACAGTCCCCTTTGTATTATTTGACCATATCCCCAGCAACAAACGGCACCTTTGGACATCGTTGTTGTAAGACCTACGGTCATTACACAACCACATAAGCCTTACTTCTAATAATTACTACTTATAACTTAAGACACTTAAGACATATATATCTTGTTCTCAATTCCTTTCTCGATTCTGGTTCCTTAGAGATACCGGGACTACCTCTTCAGAGATACTATGAAGTCGCTCGGAATTCTGAAACCCGGCTCATCACGTTACCGCGAACTCTCGGCGCGGTGGAGGGATTTCAACACGAAGGGTTTGAAGATCCCGCCTATACAGCCAACTACTCTCATTAATTTTTACCAGAGCCTCGTCGGAAAGGAGTTCCGGACGGTCCTTCAAACAGTCCCCTTTGTATTATTTGACCATATCCCCAGCAACAAACGGCACCTTTGGACATCGTTGTGCCTTCTAGGATCTCATGTTTTCCAGACCGAAATTGTGCATATGGATAATTACCTGCAAGACATGGAAGAGGCGATTCTAGTTTTTTACTATCAGCTTATTATGACTTCGGCTCAGTGGGTTAACAAGCCCAAGTTCCATATGTTGACGCACTTGAAAGACTCCATCGCACGATTTGGACCGCCGTCATTATTCATGACCGAGAAATTCGAGAGTTACAATGCGGTTCTACGTGCCGCTTCAGTCCATTCAAACCGCATGAGCCCCGGTCGAGATATCGCAAACACCTTCAATAATTATCAACTCATGCAAGCTCTCCTTTCAGGGAACAGCTTTGTCGACAAAGAGCTCCAAGCTCGGGTTTCAGCAGGTCCCAAAGTGCAAGGACTTCTGAAGACCATGCCGGAAGTATCTCAGGCGTTTGGACTCAATCCCAAACTCGATCGGGTGTCTGTGTTCGCGGTGGGACGTAAGTATGGAGTCTTTCACTTACATCGGCTGCCACTGACCTTGAATCTCTTGCAGCGCGTCATGAAAGGGCAGAACACGAGCAAGTGCCTGTGTATCTGCTTAGCGAAGCGCCCGGGGTGGTGTGGCTACAACACTCATCTGTCACATTGCGCAACGGACAAGTGGTCGAGAAGACAGACTTTGTTAAGGTTAGATAGTCTTCCTTCTCGCCACCTGTTTCAACAACACACTAACAGGGACACTGTCCAAAGAATGCGCGAGGTCACTCCGTGGGGCAAGTCGTGGCCATGTGGAAACCGGAAGGAGTAAGCGCCAGCTCAACCGTCATTCTCCTGCAAGACATTCAAAAGGGACCGATATCGCCTTTTTATGGGATGCGCGAACTTGTCAGGACACAACATCAAGTATGGGTGAAATTATCAGTCAGTCTTTGGGTCTCCATCCTGCCAGTGTTTTGGGAGTTCTCACTGACCGTGTGTCCGCAGGACATTGCCTGTCTGTTAAACGTACAACATAACTGCCATCGCTCGTTGTGCTCAGTAATTGATGGACGCAAACAAAGGCTCGAAAGGAAAGATACCACTACCTCAGTCAGTAGTGTCAGCCATCAACAAACGGACCACTATATCCTCAACAGTGCGAGCCATTACTCGGCTGAGGTACATCGCGAGGTGGCGAACTTGGGCACTCGAAGGCAGACTGCTGCTGAGTGGTTGGAAGCCCTGAAACAAGGTTTACACATTTGGCGATCTGTCCCGGTGAAACCACGGAAAAAGAGGGTACCTAAAGGGAAGGGAAAACAGACACCGGCTGAATTAGACTCAGAATCAGCATCCGATTGATCGGTTTGCTCTTGAAAAGTTCCAACTTGCAATGCAATCTTGTTCTTCCGCGTGCCAATGCCACTGAGCACTTTGCAAAACATTGTGTTTGAATGTTTTTGCAAAATTCCTTTGGTCTGCTCCAAGATTATTTCCTTTCAAGGAAATAATCTTGGAGCAGGCTCGCGTGTGGACCAGCGCGAGGGCCCCCTGGGCCGTCGACCAATCAGCTTCAAGCCGGGGTCTTCACCCCTGGTTTGACGCGTGAGCCAGGTGCCGCGCCGTTGTCCTTCTTAGACAGCTTCACCTTTAATTCTCCTTTAAAACACCTCATTGATTTTTGAGCGAGTTCAACAATTGCACTCGCCTCGACTGCTCTCTCTTCCTCTGTATTTCGAAAGTCATCTAAGACTCACTTTCAAATTATCCACTTTCTACGGCTCCATAATCGAACATCGTTTAGTTTGCAGCATGTCTTCTCAAACATCCCGTGCCCAACCGTACTCCCTATCGACCCCAAGGGTTCCCAGTAAGCCTTCCGTAACCATTCCTTTCCGTTCTTGATTGTTTTGGAAATGACCCGTGCCTCAAGGAACTCCCTCTTTAGGCGCTACGGCACTCGCGCGTGCCCAACATGGCCTCAATGGGGGGACCAATGAGGGTGTAAGTCTCAACCGATCTCGCCCTCAAACCAATGTCGTGTGCCGCCCCATCGGCTGCTTCTACTGATATCCGTACTCCCGTTAACAGCTTGGAAACGACGCCGGTTCCCGTGATGGGGCAGCTACCGATCAAATCTTGGCAGCGATCTCGAAAGTCGAGCGCGAGATGATAGTGCTGTCTGACCACATCCACCAGGAGCTCTCGACTATGGCTCTCCGCGTCGAGGAAGAGATCGCAACCCTCACCAATAAGGTTGATGAGGATCTCGCGTCTGTGTCAGACAAGCTTGACCAAAAGTTTATCACTGTGTCAAATAAGCTTGACCAAGCCACTGATGCGGTGGATGCACTACGGGCAAATGGCCCAGTGGTTGTTCAGCCACCTGCGGCATCAAACACCTTGCCTGGCCCACCAAGCGCGCCGGAACCTTGGAATTACTCCAACGAGGTCAAAGTAAGCTTACCCCTTCTCAATTGATTACCGTTTTGTGTGTCATTGATGGTGATGCCTATCTTTCAAAACAGGATCGGGTGTATCATTTCGCCTATGACTGTGTGTCACTGGCCGAGATTGCCAGTTATACGGCACTCGAGTCACCAAATGGTGACGTGATAGTTCACTCCCTCTTTAACACCATCAAGGTAAGCAAACTACTATCACTCTTTGGCCCTACTCTCGCGCTCTGACATCACACCTACAGAGAAAGATTAGAGAGATTCCTGGCGATTGGGCGACTCCTCAACTGCCCCCGGTGGTCAATGGCATTCAAGATGTTGCGGCCACCCAACGGTACACGACACTGGTGAAGGACGCGGGTAAACACGCCCGTGAACGTCTCCACAAAGAAGTGAGTCCTCTCACTCTTCCTGTCTCATTGTCCTGTCGAAGTTACTGACAGATGTTATGCAACAGGTGTTGCATAACATTCGCAAAAACGAGGGCAGCACGGTCCCCAGCTTGAAGAGGCTTGCTCATCGAGTAAGTGACTGGGGTGTTTCCAATTGGGTGCTTTGTTTTTATCATTTTTCTTTCAACACACTACTGACGCAAGCACCCCTTGTTCAGATTGCGAAACATTGCAATAGGACCGAAGAACATCGCGATGTGGATACCTTGTGGGCTCAAACGGCGTGGACTCAACGAGTCCGTATCGCGTACCTCGTAAGCACCTTTTGTTTTCCGCGGCGATCATCTCGTTGTCATCACTGACGACAATTTGATGGTTCTGACACTGGCGACGTGAGGCGATTCGCATCTTTCAATCAGTTCGAGCCGGCGGGGGCACAGCCAATATCTGGCACCGAGTGGACAGCCAGCTGCACCTATTGGCACAGGAGGAGCCTTTGTATGCTTCCGCGTAAGTTTTTTATATGCGGACTGATGCGCAAGATGCACGCTGATCAAAACTTGGAGGTGTATATTGTTTATCCAGGTTCTACAAGATCATTTACGACGAAGATCGCGCCACTTTCGATGGGAAAGGGTACTTTGTAGACATTGACGTAGGGGTCACTTTTGACTTACCGTCTGATGAGGAGATCAGGGAAAAAATGCAGGTTTTGGAAGGAGCGGGCCCTATGGCTCTGGACGATTGACCGAGTACTTCATAGCCATAGCGAGAGGATGCACTTGTTTTCCGCGTTTTCATTTCATTATTTCACTCTTGTTGATAGGAAACGAGCTCGCTTCAACAAAATTTCTACTTCCATTATATGATATATTACAACTTGTCTGTACATCCCGTACGTGTTTGGGAACAAAATCTGCGGAATGCACAGGCTTTCATGCCTCCAGCCAGCGTAACTCTCATCATTGCGAACCACCCAGTACCCCAGTCCGTCTGCCCCCAATGCGAGAATTGAATCCTGTCGGCTGCATTGGGAAACACCCTTGGCGGCCTGACGCCGGCCGAACGAGCACCCCGACGGCCTTCTACCGGGGAGCACACAATCAATGGGCGGTGGCACGCTGGGTATCGCTCAAGTGGCTGGCGCGCCTGGAGGTCACCCATGGGCGGTCAACTCACTGACCACCCGATGACCGCCCTGCTTCGCGGAGGGGGTGACCGCCTGGGGGCGGGCGTCCGTGACCGCCTCTGGACAGTCACGAGCCCCCGGTGGTGTACACAGGCGGTTTGGGGTCCCGACCGCAGGATACTCCCCGGTACCGCTTTGCCCCCGAAGCAATCGATCGGCGGAGGCTGAAGGGTAAATGTGAAACCAAAAGGGTAAATATGCATCAATCGCTTGTCTTTGATTTTTGGTCGCATACGCTTCGAACTTTCTTCGTTACATTCCTTATCAGAAAACCACCTTGGCTTTCTTCCCTCAACAAACCGAAACCGATATCCACTTATGAGTGCACGTATCGCATCACCTGATTTGTCCGATCATGAGGCAACCGCCCCAGAAGCCGCCTCTTCGGACAAGGAGCTTGTCTGGGCTACAGAGAATGAAGGTGGGTTATATTCGTATGCAAAGGGCAATCAAAGAAAAAGATTTGGTGGTCATCTGAAGTTCTCTGTTTGTACGCCGCTCCTTAGAATTATTGGAAGAATTTAAGCTTGGGACGGAGGTCAGTGGCCTTGCGAAGGGGTTGGCGAACCACAGGCTGAAGAAGTCTTTGTCGTGGATTAGGAGCTAGAGCTATCGCATGCCAGGATCCGTACTTTACGTGGATTCGACCGACACTTGGCTCGGCTCTCTCCCTCTCTCAAAAAAGTCAACTTGAGGCAAAACCTGATCAACGCACTCTGTGTACAATCTCGGTTGGAAGCCAAGATCATAGAGCTACCTGATGGAGATGAAACGACTACCAAGGCTGAAGAAGCTACAACTGAACCAGAATTTATATGTCCCTTGGAGCGATTAACAGCCCTCGAAGAACTTGATCTATATGACAATCAGTTGAGCAAAATTGAAGGACTCACGGGACTCAGTGCGCTCCAGTAGGCACTTCTATTCTCACATGTAGCATTCAATCTTTCTCATCGACGATCATCACATCTACACTTATACCAAATTTCATGCGAACCTTTTCATTATTTGTCTAGGTCCTTGGATCTGAGTTTTAACCTTCTGCGGAAGATCACCAACTTGGAAAGCTTAACCTCATTGAAGATCCTTTATCTCATACAAAACAAGGTGAGCTGCCTCTGGGTTTCGATCTTTCCATGCTGCGAGACTTTATATTGATTGAAGCGCGACTATGAAAGATCTCCACCATCGAAGGACTCGAGCACCTATCGTCGACCTTGACAAGTGTTGAGCTGGGCAGCAACCGAATTCGGGTGTGCCTTCAGTTGTTTCGGATAATGTATTCCTCTAAATGTGCTAATAGGGATGTCCATGATGCTGTAGCGCATCTCTAACCTCGCTGCTTTAACCAACTTGACAGAGCTCTGGCTTGGTAAGAATAAGATCACGAAGCTTGAAGGCTTATCCACGCTGGTCAATTTGAAAACGGTATGGGTCGGTTTTCTACTCTACAATGAGCATTTTAGCTGATACGCATCTCTCTCATATAGCTGTCAATACAATCAAATCGTATCGTTCAGCTGGAAGGGCTCGAAGAGTTGTCGAACCTAGAGGAGCTGTATATCAGTCACAATGGCTTGACAAAAATTGGAGATGGATTAGCGAAGAATGTAAGCAATGTTTCTCATCACAAACCTGATTGATGCCGCATATAGCCGATTGCATTTCGCACCTGATTCATTGCCATGGTGTGCACGCTCGCAGATAAATCTACGAGTCTTGGACATTGCAGCTAATCGCATTGACGATTTACATGGAATCGAATGTTTGACTAAACTTGAAGAATTATGGGTAAGTACGAGCCCAAAAATGTCTTTCAGGCTTTGATTTTGAAGCCTGTGCTTCCTATAGCGATAATGCTGAAATGTTTGACCCGTCATCTATACCAGGCAAACAATAACCAATTGACAGTTTTGGCTTTCAATACCATCTCGCCCTCATTATCTGAATCTTGTATGCCGAATTTGACAACGGTGTATCTTGAAGGTAACCCCCTACAAGCCGACATGGGTGCCAATTATCGTCGGAAGATCAAGCTGGCATGTCCGCAAATCAGCCAAATCGATGCAACGTTGAGTTTTCCATTTTTGTCTCGGGTGGTGTCCTATCAATCATACTCCCTTTGTTTTACTCAGCTGACTTTATGGTGATTGATGCATGTGCACTTCTCAATGATGCACAGATTTGCCAAGTAAATAAATGACGATAAGACTTGTATCACTATTTCGTAAAAAAATAACACCATCACAACCTGATGGAACTTTTGTTTGAGCCTTGCGAGTAAAAAGCGTTCATTTCACCTTCTCTCTAATGCCTTCTTTGTGTTCATGTCCAAGTCTGGATTCACGTTGCTTGACACGTCTGGTCGGAGGCTTGAAATAAGCCTCCAAATCTGTAGCATGGTTCTTGGCACTTCCATCGCGCATATGTTGCAGGGTGAAGTCAGCATACAAGTGAAATGTCCTTGAATTTGAATGGTGTATCCAATAAAATCAAACAACTGCTAAATGGTGCTGTGGACTGTATACATATAGCTTGAGTTCACTTTAGTCTGGCTTCATAAGTTGAGTGCAGGCACCTCTTTTGCCTCCAAGCAGCCCATACGGCAAATACATCGCTTGCAACATCTTTACCGCATGAAAGAGAGTGTTTTGACAAGCTTTTCGGTACAAAACTGTAGAGCAAGGGGAGAGTATTCACTTGGTAGGTCTTGGGCTCTTTTCAGTGTACTTCTTCATAGATATGAGGAATTATTTATACACTGCTTCCACTTGTACTTGCTTAGATCCTTGTGAACATTCTGTGACAGCATAATCCCTTCAATTTGATGCTTGTGGGTAGTGCCTATACCAGTTTTTTATTCAAAACTCAATCATCCAGGAGCAAAAAGCGAAACAGAGTTTAGGTACCAGGTCTTGGGGTCCCACAGTGATTGTCATGAATTTCTAGCTGATAAGACCTAGACGCCTTTGACCTGGTTGCATATATTTCGAAACTCCTCAGATATCAAAACTTGAGCAATTCAATTCGTCTTGGAGGTTTCGATGACCGTCAGTCGCTTAGAAGTGATACCAGATGGAGCGATGATCAAAGTAGGATGTATTCAAGAATCTGACGCTGTAGAACCACAAAGCGAAGTCTATGTAGAACGTGCTCTAGAAGGTCTAGGATTGTGAGTTGAATCACAATTCTTTAACTTTATAGCTTTTTTTTTCTGAGAGGTGAAATCTTAGATTCATTCATTAAAAAATGATCGAAATTTTAACCTGATTGCATTGTTCTCTTTGTTTTTTAGAGCTGGGAATAATAAAAATACGAAATCATTCGAAGGCATGATGAAAAAAGAAGTTTGAGTAAAGAACTCATTCCTGCACATTTCTTTTTTTTTTGGCTTTTTTACACATTATTATTTTGTTTTCAAATCCAACATATAAACTATTAATCTTTGTATGAATCTCATGAAAACGAGAAATAAAACATTACAATACATTTCAAATACAATCATCCTAAGTATCTGATAAAATTTCTTGTAAATGTCACGTGTGGATCAGCTTCAAAGCTGTATGTATAGGATATAAATATCTTACCTTTTGCTGATCGCCGTTCCTCTTCATCCTGACTCTCTACCACCACCACACCAACCACCACACCAGCATACCATTTCATAAAAACCTTTACTATTTCCTGAATTCTTCCCACTTCTCTTCCATTTCTCTTTCATCATGAATCTCCCCAAGTTAACTTTTAAAAAGATCTTTGGTCCTCGTTTTCAAAAAACCCTCTTTGTTTACTTCCCGTTGAACTTCTTCTTTGTTATCTTTTTGATTTGTGGCGCTCACAAGATCTCTCGTTTCAAAGTTCCAGAGTCGTTCATCCTTAAACTCATCGCTAAAAAGTTGTACATCATTCTTCCTTGGGCTTATTTCTATTCTCATATTCTTTACTCTCGCCACGACACTCTTCCAAAGAAGCGTTCGACTATTCCTGAGAAAGATATCGAACTCGGTCCAGTAGCTCCTCTTCCAAAACCTCTCGATGCTCCAATCCCCCTTCCAGACGAATTTGTTGAAATTGATCTAGGTATGTTATCTTTCCTACAGTTCTTCTTTCTCATGATTTTATAAACCAGTCTAACAAACTCTTCCTGATTTTACATTTGCTTCTAGGTGAAGGTCCCTCGAACTGCGGTCTTCCTGGTCCTCCTCGACCTTTTTTAACATGTGAAGTTTGAAGAACTCGACTCGATTTCATCTTGGTATGTTATCTCTGCCTTCATTTCCCATCGATTCATCTTTTCTGAGCGCAAATTCATTATGTATTTTGAGTGATCTAATCCTTTTGACTCTTCCCAAACCTCTTGTGACTTGGCAGGCGACGTGTTCCTCGATCTATTTCCTTATCTCAATGTCTTGTTTGGTGACCATTCCATTCTCTCGTTTGAAATGTGTTCTTGTTGTTTTTGTTTTGCGATGATGAGCAGGAGTTTACTTTTTGAATATTCGTATCGAGTCGTTGCCGATATTTGAATCAATTAGTACTTTCAATACCCTCACTCTGAGCTCCTTTACTTCTATTCTTCAATCTAATTTGTAATCAAAAGATATATCAACATCTCCTTTCAAATGTTTCGTAGTGGCCGAATGGATAAGATACCAAATTAGCAGAACAGAAGATGAGAGGATTATAAATATCCCAGCTTGAATCATATTGGTATCAGAGTCCTCGAGTGCTTCTATTAAAACTTCTTCATCAATGTGAATTAAAGAATCGATTGATCCAGTCTCCTCCCATTGATTAAATTGATTCATCGCATAGATCAAAAACCGACTCGATCTGAGTATCTTCTTCAATTCTTCTTCATCACCGAAATGATCAGTCAAAAGCTCTTTTGTAACTTCTATTTCCTTCTCGAGTTCACCTGACTCAAAAACTTGATCAAAACCAAAGTTCAAAGCAAATTCTCCTAATGAATCACAAATCATCTTAGACTCTTGTTCATCTATGATTTCAATCTTTTGCATTTTTTCATTATCTAAATTTACGATTCTTTCTAAACTACTATTCCAACCCGAATACTTTTTCATAAAACATATTCTACCTGATGAAATTATCTTTTTATCGCATATAACTGAATGAATAGAATAGAGTATAAAAGTTATAATGTGTAATTTGAGTGATGGATTCGAGTCGTAGATTAATAAAGATTGATCGAGTAATAATTTCAAGTGTTGATAAGGTGATGAACAAGTTGGAAAGTTCTTGAGTAGTTCGATTGTAGTTTTCGAATACGTTTGAAAAAAAGATATCGGCTTTTTAGAGGTTTTGAGGATCCGAATAAGGACTATCGATTCGAACAACAAGAAAACATCAATATGTGCGTTGGATTGAAATGAGAGTAAGAAAACTTATAAACTGACCAATCGAAAGGATTTCAACCATAACCAGTATAAATCCAGAACCGATCAAAGGTTGTGAGAATCCTTGAATACTATCATCATCTTCTTCTGAAAATGTATTGCAACGACAAATAGTAGAGATCGTTCCAGTAATACTCAAAAACACTTCACGTGAATTTTCAAATCTTGAGAAAGTTTTCAATAATCCTATGATAGGGTCAGAATTTGATTCGTTTACACCATCTTCTGTAGGGTTTGGTGTATTCCTACTATAAACTAAATGAATCAGTTTATCAGGTAGATCGAGTGAAAGTTGGTCCTAGAAATCAAGAATTGAAGGTTTTCAGAGAGCGGTCAATAACGTGTTAGAGAACAAAGCATTGAGTGATGAAAGATAAACTCACGAAGAAATTCACAATAGATGTTTCCTCTGATCAATGTTTGAGTTCTTGTATTAATGATTGAAGTAGTTTAGGATTCGATATCAATAAGTCTTCCAATTGGTTCAATAGGCCCAGTGGTTCTTGCAATATTTTCGAAATGTCCTTCTGTACTTCTATTGTAGTGTTCGAACAGGTTGATGGTGTTGGCTCGGTTTCGGATGTTGATTGTGATGGTACTCTTGATGATCCCATAATCCTGGATCGAAACCTCAAACAGCGAGTTTAGCGGAAGCTTTCGGGCAAACCTCAGCTGGGCTATATGCTCTGCGCTCTCAGTGAGAAGTGTTCGCCAAATGTATGTTTTTGATGATAGATTTCATGAGACCGATCCATACTCCCATACAACTTGTACATTTTTGAATCATGAATTTCATTCAGTGCTGATCCTACATCTAATTCATGTACAAACAGATTACTGATAAGGATTCTTTAAATTCGTTCAAGCAACTTTGATTCAAACATGATCCCATTCAGTGGATTTGTACCTAAAGTACAAAGAAGCATCAAGACCGTAGAAAGATTCTTCAAATTCCTTTTCATGCCTTTGTAGTATCCTTTCTTCCGTTGACATCGAAGTTGAGATTGTGCATAGGAATCAATCATATGTTCAGTCATTTGTGCTTTGGGATTCCAAAATCAAATTGGTCCACTGGAAGCATGCCACAGCACGAAGAACCTGTAGAATCTGATTTGAGGACTTGCGCAATTCGATAATGATTTCCTCTCGTACAAGGAACCATCGATATGCCCGTAAGCTTTTTAAAATTCCTGTGTGTGCCTCCTTCGCAATCTTTTGTTCCGTTGTGGACGTCGTTGAGAGTTTGGATAATAAAAATAGGTTCAGTCATCTTTGAATTTAAATTCCATAACCGAATCGATGCGTGCAGCGTGTCGCTCAGCAAAAAACGTTTCACGCTGTGAGTTGAGGAAAACCTCCCAACTCTTCCAGCTTCAATCGACATCAGAGATGTTCAGGCGTTCAAAGCATGCGCTTCCCTTTGAGAAATATTGCTGATATTGGTATTGAAACCGCCCGTTAAATGAGCCAGATGAGGAGAATGAAAGAAAACTTTCGATTGATCGAGAACCAAAATTTGCCTTTGGGTATTTAGCCATAGGTGAGATGTGTAAGGTATGGGTTTAAACAAGTCATTGCACCAAATCACACACCCCATCCGAGTCTTTCCTTTTGAGACACACCACACACCATCATCAAGCTAGTTTGTAAAGTTGTCGTTCGAAACAGCTCGTGAGCAACGTGGCTTTGCCAATAATAAGGAAGGTACCTGGGGTAATCAGGTAGTATGAAAGTCAATCGGCAGAATCCTCTAAGCTATAAAGAGCTTCAGAACAGGACAAACCTGGGGTAATCAGGTAGTATGTAAGTCAATCGGCACAAGCCTCCAAGCTATAAAGAGCTTCAGAACAGGACAAACCTGGGGTAATCAGGTAGTATGTAAGTCAATCGGCACAAGCCTCTAAGCTATAAAGAGCTTCAGAACAGGACAAACCTGTGCAAAGGCAACAGGGATCAAAATAAGATCAAATGAGAAACATGAGTAATAGTATATAATCTAAAATAAAGAGGAATGTACAAGACATTAGAGAAATGTTGATAATTTGTGTAAGTATTTAGTAAAACAACGTACAGATTCTTTTCAATGAGAGAAAAGAATCTGGGTCGAACATCACATGAGTTTAAATAAGAAAGTAAACACCGGACATGCGGACACAGCACAGAAGAGAAAATGGTCAAAGCTCAAGTTGCAAAACAACTTATTCCCAAAAGAAAAACATTAACAATCCTCATTTCAATTCTTACATATCCTACTAGCCATCCATTACTTCATATTTCAATTCTTACATAACCTTCACTTTATTAATCAACTCCTGACTCCTTATTTATTAGTCTTAAATCATACTGTCATACACATGTTACAAATGAATTTAACCGTATTTGGTAAAGTCTTGTGTAAAGGATTCTCAGAATCCTGAACAGAAACAACAACACACTTATCAGTATAACAGGAATGAAGAACTATGAGTCCGGAGAGAGTGTTAGAATGATAAGATGGTTGTTTATGGAAAAACTTTCTAAAGAGATAATTTTATTACTTTAGAAAACATGAGCATTATTATCATACCTGAACAGAAACAACAACACGCTCATCAGTAAAACAGGAATGAAGAACTATGAGTCCGGAGAGAGTCTTAGAATGATAAGATGGTTGTTTATGCAAAAACTTTCTAAAGTGATGAGGAAAAGAAGAAGAAAGTTTTCACAGCCAACAAGATATGATATACTAGATCATGTGATACAAAACAAGGTTAGGTTTATGATCTGGGACAAAAGGTATTGAGTATTAGTCATACATGTTGTTGTTAACACTTTTGAATGTAATGTTATGAAATGAAATAAGCTGTTACATGTATCAATGATTTATTCCAACATTGTGAAGTACCGTTCTTGACATGAGAGGAAAAGAAAGGTAATAGAGAAACTGAAGTCCTTGACATAAGATATCACAACATAGTTGAATTCCACTTTCACACTTGCCCACCTCATCATCACCAATCCCAAAGCATCCTCAAAATCCAGCGCTCAAGTTACCTCTATTAGGGGATACAAAGTTAAAACTGGGAGTATTTTCCCAGTTTCCCAGTTTCCCAAATACAGCCAAAAACTCAAACTGGGAAACTGGGAGAACGTGGGAAAGTTCCAAACACAGCCAATGACAATGCCTGGGAAACTGGGAAAAAAATCCCAGTTTTAACTTTGTATCCCCTATGTAGATGGAAATGCTAGGCAGCCAAAGGAAGAAGAAACAACAGACAAAGAAGGAAGTGAAGGATAATAAGTATGGCCAAGATATAAAGTGTGGCCTAACTATGATGTGTGGCCTAGATACAAAGTGTGGCCAAGAAGGCAGATATAGCCCAACATATGACTGTGCTGACATGAAAACAGTGGCCATGATGTTTTCCTGAAAAATTGAACCCTTTAAAAACTTTTTTTCTCAGAATATAATTAATAAAAAGAGTTAGAGATGATGATAGAATGATACTGACTAGAGTCAATGACTCCCACACCTGCTTGTGACACCAGATGACAAAGCAGACTTCACCAACACAGATGGTCACCTCAAAAGAGAACATGCACAATATGCACAACAATTGTTAAGACTCTATATCAATATTGTCTGCCTTCTGGGGTGAAAAAGGCATTCTTGGGATATAGCCCCTTAAGTTTGACGGTCTTGTATATGACTTGGCTACTAGCAGACAAGGCCCATATGACAACTAGATCAACACCAGAAAAACCTTGTACAGACATGATTTGGTATACAGGAATGAAAGTGCCAAATGACTGGCAACAATTACTTACAGTGGCCAGACTCCTTTGACTGATGTGTGCAATACTGGGGACAATTATACAACTGAGAAGACATTGCAACAAGACTAGAGGCACACAAAAAGATCCTACTAAGTCTCAAATCAAAAGTTCACCAAGCCTGGGCTCCAGTTGGGAACAATAGGGGGTTTCAAGTTGGCCAAAAATTGCCTAAAAATGTTTGTACTTTTGCCTCCCAACCCTTGAATTTTCATTCAGTTTTTATAGAATAAACACTAGAATGTGCTTCTTGGGAAGGGCATTCTAGAAATTTTTTGAAAATTTGAAAATTACAAGCAATGTTTTTATGTAGGGACATTTGAATTTTAGGCATTTTTTTAACTTGAAACCCCCTAATATTACTCACCGGCCTAACATGTGGGGCCACTTGATTTAAGATAAAATTTTATCAGATGTTGGAACCAAGAACAAGGAATTATGGGAGCAAGCTCTGACTCAAAGGCAAATGGTGATCACATGTGGCCAGATAAACCATACCAGATTGGAGGTGCAATGAGATACATATTTCCATGGACAGGAATTTACCACATGGGGTGGGATCTGGCAGCAAATCATTCAGATTCCCCATTCAAGTGGTGACCTGTGAAAGATTGATCTCCAATATGCCTAGTGGAAGTAATCAAAACACTCATGGCAGAGACAGTTTAACAGTTGAAGTGGTGGACACAGAAGCTTTGGAGGAAGGAGAGGTTGTGGAAGAGGAGATAACCAGAGCTTTGGTCTTGGTAGAGGTGGTGGTCAGGCTCCAACATGGAGAGGATTGTGCAGGGGGTCAGGTGGTTTGAGCAACACGCAGACCCCGCCGTGTCCCGCCGCATTTTGGGTCCATGGGGAGCGCGCTGGGATTTGTTGCAGTGGCTACGTAGCACACCGCAGCACTATTGCAGGCAAAAAAGATCCCCCTGGGACAGCGGCGAGCTAAAATGGTGCTCAGCGCGCCGCAGTCCGCCTGACGGCGGCCTATCTTGCAGGTAAAGGTGGGAATATGAACAAAAGGATTTCATAGACAACATTCAGAGTAAGACAAATAAGAACAGTATTTTAAAATAGTATTTGAAAGTGAATTACAAAAGGAATATCAATCCACAACCTCAATTACTCGCCTCTTTTGACTTTTAGCTTGCTCAGAGGAGTATTTGTTGACAACCTTGATTGCTTCACCAAAGTCACCACCTGGGTCTACACCATCTTTAGTCCACTTGCGTGAGCAGACTGACCGGGTAATGTTAGCAGGCACAAGGCCTGCACGATCCTGTGAGCACACATCCGTTGCACAGGAGAAAACTCGCTCGGCTGCGCAAGTAGTGCCTGAAACTGCCAGTTAGTCCCTTGCCAACTCGGCAAGTACAGGGAAGAATGCTTTGTTTGCCTGATGTGATGTAACAAATAGTTAGCTCTGAGTAGATCAACGATTGTGAAAAATTCAACTTACTGCCCACCAATCAAGTGCAGATTTTGTTTTGTCAAATTCTCGCTGACCAGCAAGGTAAGAGTCAATCTCTCCTTCACGCACCATTTGCACTGGATTGGAGTTAGTAAACTCATTGAAATCACCATCATCTTCAGGAATAGGCACCACCGGAGTATTTGCTGGTGAAGTCACAGGTTGTTGTCGTTGATTGGCATTTTCCAATGCAGAAGTAAATTCGGTGGTGATTAGTGTCTTGGCGTTATTGTATTGATCCAAATAGAACTTTTGAAAAAATGCAAGGCTGTTGCAAGTATCAACGCCTTGCATTCCAGAGCCTCATCCAGATAAAGGTTTAATTGATCCAACATAACCCCAATCATGTCTTTCAGAGGGATCATATTTGTTTTTGAGCGAGCTTCGGTGAGGGCTAATTTGATTTGATTGTATTCGACAAGCACCATCACTCCAGAGGGGAAGTCCCCCTCTATATGTTTCCTGCCAATGGAGAACAACTGAAAAATTGTAAGGTCATTTAGTTTTGAAACAAGAGGGAAAGAAGATCATGACACACCTCTAAGACATTGTTCAGGGCCTCAACCGCCTCCCATTCATCAGCATGAATGAGAGTTCCTTTGAAAAACTGCTGAGTCTTCTTCCGATTGGCCGTAAGCATCTTGTTAACTACCTGTCAAAGTAAACAAGAATTAGTATCATTTAAGGAATCATTAATGAAATAGAAAGAAAACTGACATCTTGTGCAGCACACATGCGAGTCCGTGAGTTGTAGATTACATTCCAGCAGATTCCATACCCAGCAATAGGAGTCTGGTGGTTCAATCCGGCTTGCTTGCAAAGTCCTTTGAATTCCTGATGGCGCGAGTGAGAACCAGTGATCTTCTTGCTGACAAAATCGACCTAATGAAAGCCCTTAGTCATTTATTGAAAGAGATGAATTACAATGAATTGAACAAATTACAGCTACTAAAAAATTTATCGGCAAAATTGCCTGTTTGTGTTGCACCAGGTTTTTACTCCAAACCGGTTAAAACCCCCCTAGGACCGTGAGATACCTGTAGACTCCCCTCTCTCCTTGTCGTGTAGTTTGAGCTTCCATAGCTGTCAACCTGCCATTCTCCATATGACGACAGTCTATGGAACGAGGGTCTCGCCTGGCCTTGCTCCCTTCCTTTGACTTTGATCCTTCCTATTACAGCTTCCTCTCATTTCCTCCCTCTTTCTTGATCCCCCCCCCTTTGTCCAACTCGGTCTCATTTGCCAACTTTTATCGGCTTTCATTGACTTCGATCCTTCCCCTTACAGCTTCCGTTCTCTCTCATTTCCTCTTTCCTTGACCTGTGTCTCATTTTCCAATTTTGATCGGGTGGGTCTTTTTCGCAATCTTTGCTCTATGAAAGACTCACTTGCCATCCTTTCTCACTTTTGATCCTTTTTCTATTTGATTCCCTATTTAGCCTTGCCTCCTCCTTATTTCGTCATTCGATTACACTCGATTTGATTTCGATTTCCGATTTTGTTTGGTTTCATCATTTGAAGGATCTAGCTCTAGTATAGTACATCATTGTATGTCCTTTCCTTCCTTATCATCAAGCTTTCATTAGGATATCAAACTCACAATGCTTCTTCAATTTTTTTTGACTTTCTTGGTTTCAGATGCCAACAAACCTTTACAGTGCCAATATCAAATTTGTCGTGGTCCGGATGGCCCTTTGTGGAATGGCATATCACAATATCATCACAACTCTGGGTGTGGGAATCTCCCTGACTTTGGTTCGACGGTGGTTTGATCTATACCAGAGGACTCGAGCTGTCGTCACCAACCCTGCCGATTACATGGAACGAGGACCTCCTACGACTCTAGGAGCTGCTGAGAAAGACTTTATCCTTGAAGCTCTCTGACTCAATCCCACTCTCTACCTAGATGAATTACAAACCAAGATTCAAGATCAATTTGACCTTCACGTTTCAACAATGACCCTCTCCAATGAATTGCAAAATTGATTGAAGTGGACCAGAAAGAAGGCCCGAACTGTACACCCCAACCAATCCCTGCTTGCCCGAGGAGCTTACATTGCGGTGGTTCATGGAATTGACCGTAGATGTTTGGTCTTTACAGGTGCGTTCTTGCCTTATTCTTTCACATATTTATTCGATTATTGACACTTCTTTGCTCATTCTATTACAGACAAAAGCGCAATCACCAAGCGCAGATTGTATCGGGATTACGCCCAAGCACCAGTTGGCCAACGGTCTACCCGTCTCGAGAGACCTACAGCTGCGGTTCGATGGTTGGTCTTACCTGCAATTTCCATGGATGGAATCATTGCTTGTAAGATTCAGCTGGGAGGTTATTCACGTATAGATTTTGAATCCTATTTAGAGAATGATGTTGTAAGTTTTTACTTAGTCATGTATATGTTTTTCTCAAAGCTGACATCATTATATTTGGTCTTGGTCTAGTTACCTGCTATGAACGCTTGGCCGGCAAGGAATTCAGTCTTGGTGATGGATAATGCCCCTATCCATCACGGCGGTAGGGTTGCGGAGCTATGTGAAGCTCGTGGGGTGCGACTTTTGTATCTTCCCACTTACAGTCCCGACTTTAACCCTATCAAAAAAGGGTTTTTGGTTCTGAAGGCGCGGTTGAGAAGATCACAAGCACTCCAAGGTGCCATGACCTTGGAAGAAGAAAAGGCAGCAATTTTTGTAACCGTGATGGATGTTCTCACACCGAGCCTCTGTGAGAGCCTCTTTAGAGGCTGTGGCTATCTCTAATAAGCAAAACTCATCTGATTATTCAAGATACAAAGTTCTATTACATTTCAAAAGATTATATTCAGGTATTGTATAATCAGGTATTGTGTCTGGGATTATGGTAAATTGGACTCCCTTTGCACCTCATTATTTTATTGATTTCAGTTATGTTATTTGAAATCAACAAGTTTGATTTGAAATGCCTATCTCTTTTTTTTATTTTTCATATTCTGTTCGACAAATACAAATACAAAAAAAAATGTGACTGTTATCCAAAACCAAGAAGTCCTGTTCCTTTCCAAAAGGCTATCTCTAATGTGGTGATCTTTCATTGGTTTTTCTTTGTTTTACAATACATACATGATTTGTTTTTTGCTCTTATGATATCGATGGTGTTCTGAAAGAAAGGGATCATTGCCCAAAGTTGCCTAATTAATCAATTGACTCATATTGGTTTCATTAATCAAATACAATGAGAAGACTTGAGTTATCATGATACATCATGATAACTCATATTTGTTTCATTAAGCAATCGAAACTTTGTTAAAAAAAAGTGAAGCCAGTTTGAGACCGGACATAATTTTTTTGAAGCATTAAATTGCTAAATTGGTATAAAAAAAAATTTTGCATGTCAAGTCATGATTAAAGTTGCTTATTTTGTTTCAATTTGCGTATCAAAGTGAAAATTGATATTCGCAAATGTTAGAACTTCAAACTGTTGCCCAATTATCACATTCACATAGGTAATAATTGGGCAATTGGAGCGTATTCTCTATTCTCTGGCCAGAAGGCGTGGTATATTCACAATTTTTTTTCATCATAAACATAGAAATAATATGGACAAAAAAAAGTCATAACATAAAAACAAGTCATACTAAGGAACAAAATCACAACGAAAAATATAAAATTGAGTGATTCAAGGAACAATTTAACTAAAACAAGTGACAGTAATAAAATTTAGATCAAATGAAATTGAGCAGAAGGAGAAGGAAGATAAACATATTTCAATCATCAAATCTTCAAACAGAAACAGAAGTAAACATTTCGAGCACTTTAGTTATGTTCATCGGACATAAAGTTGAACATAACGAAGAAAAGATAAAGAAAGGAAAAGAAAACCCAAGTCTTGATAAAGACTGACATAACCAATACTAATTCTCGGGCACATTTAGAAGCCTTCATTGGACCACAAATTGAACATAAGCAACTATTTGAGATAAAGATAAAGAGGAAGTAAAGATAACCTAAAACTTGATAAAGATAAACATAACCGAAACTTGAACGAGTGACTAGAAAATTTAAAGAAATAATGGAAATGTTTATAAAGGTTGGGAAACAGATACTGATCAATCTAGATCAAGGCAACACGTGTTCTTGGTGTCTTCATCTTGAGGTGTGGAACCAAGGAATGGAGCTGTGGAGGTATGATCGGTGAAAGTTTGTTAGTGAGCCCACACATCCAAACAGAGAAGAATGAGGAACCTAGTCACTTACGATTCAAACGGTCATTACGTGCTTGGGCTGCTGCAAGGAGACGAGCTGCCATGTTGGCATCAATTCCTTGGTTGATCAAGGAGGCCTCGGTCATATTGACCGAGGGAATTAAGTCCATCCAAGACTCGATACCAGCGTTGGACAGGGCCATTTGGGTATTGATGTCTTCTGGAGGTATACCAACCAAGTAAACAAAGTTTTCCAGGGGGGCTTCATGAGAAGCCATGACATCAAGGCCATCAGATGAGTCAGACAAATCGGCTTTGTCATCAATGGGGGCATCAAACCATATTGAATGACGAGTTGACCGACCGGTGGCTTGAATGAATAGATGAACAATAGAACAAAAAGTTAATATATTAAATTGTACGGTGAGAAAGGAGGAAACTAGGATACTTACCAAATTGTGGGCGGCTGGGTTTCTTCGGACTCATCACGGGAGGACTCAAAGGGGGCCAGTTCTCATAGTCACTCAAGTTGAAGTCAGGCAAAGGTGAAGAAGATGCCAAGTTGGTGGCCACGCCTCCAGTTCGAGTCGGAGTGGTATGAAGAGGTGGGGACTCCTGTTTGACAGTTGGAAGGGGTCCAAAAAAAGGCTTAGGCTTCTCGTCAGGAGAGGAGGTACATAAATTGATGATATCCTTTCCAAAAAGTTTGGAAGTGGAAGTAGACTCTTGTTTGATGTATGCCCAACTGTGAAGACCACAAGTTGAACGGCTTGATCGGGCGGCATCGCGGCAAGCTGAAGGGTTGAGGCCACGTTGAAGGACGCGGTTGTGAACATCCATGTCCTTATGAAAGACACGAGATTTCATCATCTCGGCCTTGTATTCAGCCGTGTTGGGACAAATATGCAACGTAGCCATTCCTTGAGCCTAGGTAAAGATATTACATACTTCGTCAGCTCAGATAAAGGTTTAATAAAAAGAACATATGACTCACTTTGGCCTTTGCCCAGATGAAGGCGGCCCGGAGCGTAAATCGGTAATGGAAGTGAGGATCCCAAGGAGCCACCAGAATGGCTCCATCGCCACCGGCACTGCCCTCTTCAGTGTGCTTGTGATAAATCGCAGCACAGTCCTCGTGCAAAGCTACAAGTTTTTCGGAAGCCTGTGGTGAAACACATCAGCTAACAGGAACTCATGAAGAAGATCAATAGAAAACGTAAAAACACTATGGAAAAGGTGATACTTCACCGCTTACCTCTAATTGGGCATGAGCCTCTGCCAAGTCTTCAGTCGCCAGACCAGGTCCAGTCGCAGAAGCGATAAGTTTTTTGGCCGCACTGACCTGAACCAATTCCAACACATTAGTAACGAACAGGACATGATGAAGACGAGAGAAAGAAAGGTCTAAAAAGGTAAGTGAATCACTTACCTGAGCAAATTTTTTAGCCTTGGCTGATTCATTCTCCGTTTCAATCAAGATAGAACCCTTTTTTTTCTTGGACACTTCAAGTAGATCCACGTAGGCTTGCCAACTCTCATGGCCGCGTAAGGTGACCTTGGACCGACCCACTGTACCTTTCCAAGTGACGGAAGGTGCCAAGTCACTCGCCAGTATGATGTTACTCATACCAGGGGCATAAGCGTTACAAATACCACCACATAAGTGCTTGAACTCGTTCAAAGACAAACCGTAGAGACAAGACTTGAGCTCGATAAAGTCTCCATCGTTGAAGAATTTCAATTCAAGGATATGCATCTTGCTGGCGGAGCTGGTCGACTTGCGGGTGGCGATCTTAGTGGGAGCAGCGACTGGTACAACATCCACTTCGGTTTGAGTGTGGATTTTGAATCCCACAGCAATGGCGACCTCGTGCTTCTTTTTGAAGGCGGCTCGTCCATTGGTACCCTTCGCGAAATCAGGATGACCAGCCAAGCGGGCTGGAGTGTCATCCCCTCCATTAATACCTGTCATTGGGTTCAACACTGAAATGAAGTCATCAGCATAATGACAATGAGATCATTGTCATAGAATGCTGCTTACACTGATCATGGGCACCAGCTGCGGGTAGGGCCGATTTGACTGAGGCCTGGAGCTTTTGGAAACTTGAGACAAAACTTGAGACATTCCTAAAGTGAATCAAACAAACAAACAAAAAAACAACATAATCAATCACGATGATCCGCGAAGATAGGGAAGTAAGCGATTTGAAACACTTACTAATCAATATAGCAAAAAGACTGAAAATCTGCGCTGAAGCTGAAAGAAAAAGCATGATGTATCAACATGCATGACACAAGATCAGAACAAGTGAAAACTAAGCAAAACTAACTATGACTATGATTAAGAAGGTATGTGTGTGTTGTGAGCGGATGAAATAGTAAACTTGAAAACTTTGAATAAATCCAAATGAAAGCAGAATATCTTGAGGGATAACTTGAAGAAGGGCTGATTGGCTGGCTTTTATAGGCGGTAGGCCACTGAGTAGATGGGCCTTTGCACGCTAAGAGTACAAAATCGCAGTGGTGAACACTTGAAGGCATTTGGTTCCGGAGCGTCAAGTGTATTTGACCGTCCGGAATGAATGGGCTTCAAATTCCTTTGACTAGCTTCAGACTTGTTGATGTGCACCGCTTGGAAGTTGGAAAAAATCTTCGGTATAAGGTTTTAATAATCGAAACGTGAAACTAGTTGATTTTGGTAGCTTGAGACCACTTGAGACGAGCTGATTGAGATTAAAGTTGGTTGGCAAATTGAAAACACATTGATTGGAGGAGAACAAACAGAGAGGCCACGGTTTGAAAGGAGTCATTGTTGGTTTCTTTGGAAGGGTTCTACGCAGGGTGAGATTGTGCCACCTGAAAGTCCGTACGTAATGGTTTTCTAGAATTGTTATCGGTAATAAACATCTTGATGGAATCGTCTTGATGGAATCAAATAATGTGATTGAACCAAAAGATGAGTTAAAGAAATTGAAACAAGTGTGGAAAGAAGTTTGGTGAGAGAAAGTGCCGGCTGAAGCTCCGTAACGATATTGAAAGAAAGCTTTCTAATGAAATCAAAAGAAGTCTGAAAGAAGTTGATGTCTCAAACGGCAAGAGAGTCTGCCAGCTGAAGCTCCGGAAGCTCCGTATTGGTATTGAAAGAAAGCTTTGAATTGTTCTAATGACTTTGAATTGTTCTAATGATTTTGAATTGTTCTAAAGATTTTGTCGGGTGAGAAAGAGAGGGTGATTGAGACTGAAACAGCTTTAAAGAAATAGAAGCAAGGCCAACGGAGTGTTGAAGAAGGGAAGGAGGTGATAGCCTATACCTATACTCGATGATATCATATCAAAAGGTGGTGGTGGAGGGTGATTTGGGTAAAGGGTATGTACGTACATGGTTTCTTTGGGGCAGGGTTGAGATTGAAGATAAGGGGACCTCGGTGTTCTTCTCCGGTCGCGATATAGAACCTGTCTGTCATGGCTCCGGAGAGAGGCACATTGACATATCTTGACAGGTATCTCACGGTCCTAGGGGGGTTTTAACCGGTTTGGAGTAAAAACCCTGTGCAACACAAACAGGCAATTTTGCCGATAATTTTTTTAGTAGCTGTAACAACTTACTTTTTGAATTACTGAAGCAAAAATGTTACCAGAATGTTTGACCAAAACATCTTGAACAGATGAACATAGATGATCTTCTTTATCTTCAGGTCCTTCTTTAACTTTGTCTGGAGTATCTTCATTGTCCCCGTCGTCAGATTCCACATCAATCTCTTCTTCGCTGTCGTTTAGTTGGAACGTAGGAATTGGAATAGAGAAAGTTGCATTGGTGGTGGGCTTGGAATGCCCTGAATGGATTGACAGCGCCTTCAATCCTGCTTTCACCACCAAAGCCAGCTTATGACAATAGCACCAAGCATGCATTTGGGTGCTGTCCCAGCTCACCAATTTTTCAGCTGACAAAAACATTACCTCCATTTCGAGGGCCATGGTGAAGTAATTATTGGACCCAGAGTTGGTGGTCTGACCTAAAACGTAGATATACAAAGATGCTCAGCCAGATATTACTTTGGTGGGAATGATTAATGATACAAAAACTTATCTTTGCGTGTAGGTTGTGACAAATCAGGTATCGTGCAGCCGGTTGGGCTAAAAGAATACCGTAGTGATTCCAAGCAACCATCTTGAGGGTTAATACCACTTTGCAGTACTTGAAGTCCGAGTCAATGTAGCATGCAATCAATGTGATGAACGCATATCAATTACCTTGTGTAGTCCACACATCATGGATTAACCAGATGCGACTGGTGTTGTCCTGTAACTCAATGAAATGTAAGCAACCAATGTCAAAGAATAAGAAGCAATGAATTGTTTAGATATGAAGTTATGAACATTACCTTTAATTTACGTAAAACCTCAGAGTGGAGAGATTTGTGTAACTTTTTGGCGGTTTGCGCTGCCCACATGGGCGATCTCATATCAGCTGAAGGATTGGCCAATTTGAAGGCACTTCGCAGCGTAATGTCGGAAAACCTTCTCCATGCAAGGGCATGTCGAATCACCCATATAACCAACATGACGTTCAGTATCTCAACAGTGAAGGTGGGTCACTTGATGAAAGCCTGCATTACTCTCCCACTGACCGTATTTGCTTTACTCGCTTTCTGAATCTGTTGATAGGTTGGGGGGAACCGCATACCGGATTTTATAGCTTTTTGACGGCCAGAGCATGGTTGACAATGCTTATTGCTGTCTCGATGGGAGTATAGGTTATTGTTGGATTTAATTCCTTGAGTGTACCATTCTCCACACCAATTACACGGGTAGTACCTTTTGAAAGGCCCGGTCTTTGAAACAAAAATAAATATAATACAAATATGGATTAGCAAGTCTCAAAAGCATTTACATGGAAACTAAAATACTAAGTGACTCACCTTGTTATCTTTGTGCTTTGGAACTCTGAAGTACTTGAGAAGCTCCTTGACATCGCCCTTCTTACCTGGGTGTGTCTCGCTTGCTTCATCTCCCGAAGAATCCTGATCAACATCGACCACCTTGGGTACTTCTTTGCTTTGTGTAAGTTTAACCTAAAACAACCAAAGAGAATTGGTGTAAGCGTTAAATAAGGTAACAGATGAGAATAGTTATGCTCACTTTTTTAGGTGCCGGTTTCTTTTTCTTACTGACAGTCTTATCAACACTGTTACTTTCACCGCCAGCTTCATTTCGACTTCTTTTCTTGGATGCTGGGTCAGTCAAATTTGTAACAGGCAAAATGGTTGTAAGGTTGGTTGTACCATCAGCAGGACAAGATGAGGGTGTCTCGTCGTCGTCTCTGGTGATCCGGCGTTGTGAATCCGACCCAGTCAACACAAACCCAGGCAACGGTTGTTGTGGAGATCGATTCCGTAATTGGCGAGCTGGAGTGGATGGTGGAAGAAGATTTGATGTCAAACTCATAGCATGATAGAAGGATGATGGACAATCCACAAAGAAATTGACTTGAAATGAAAAAGGTAAGTGATGATGGAAGGATTGAAGTCGAAGTGACTCGCACTGAGGATGGCAAGTACAAGTGAGATGCTTTCGATGAATACAAAACGAGGAAAATTTGATGAATATGAGATGAGAAAAAAAACACTTACACCCATCCTGCATTCGCCCATCATGACTACTTTCCCAATCAAGAAGGAAAGTGGTTGAATGGGGTGTTGGAGGCTGCAAATCAAGATGAATCTGGAATCAAGGGGTACATCAATAGGGCGTCTCAAGTAGAGGTTTTTTGGCGATTTTCGAACAGGGTCCAAGTGTGAAACAAACAGTTATCCGAGAGCGATTCTGAGCCTTGACCTTCTCAATACCAGAGCGAAGGGATCTGTGAGTTCTGTTTGTTTCAGCACAGGTCCCTTTCTCACACCTCGACATGAGAGTTTTTGACGCTGAAATGGGTCCGAGTGGGACATAAGTATGGGATTAGACAGTGACAGAAGGATATGAAAAACAAGGGGAATGAATTGCATTAGTGTATAAATTATGTTAAGTCTCAAGATCATGGGCTTAGAATGATTCTTTTCGGGCGATTTCTCTCGGACCTCTGCCCAAGCAGAGCGCGGGCCGCTGTTTGTTTCCTAAGCTCAGAGGCCAAAACCCTTTGTTTGATTCGATCACTTGGAGCTAGTAAATGAAAAATACAAACAAGGTCCAAGTGTGAAATGAAAAACAAAAAAATTCAACCTGAGACGCCCTAATGTACGGTGGCCGAGGAGCGCCAAATGCGCCATAACCTCAAAATACAAAAATCACACATGAAACTCACCCTGAAAGCCCCGCCAAACGTATCCCGACCCAAGTCCGTGGCGCCGGACCAGAAGCTCTTACTTTGATCCTCTTAAATCCTTTCACCAATTTTTACTTTCCAGATCACAGTGAAGGAGTTGTTATAGTGAGCCTTGTAAAAGACTTGTAATTGGTCCACTCATGAACTACTCCAGTTGTTGTTTATAAGTACAATGGTTTAAAAGCAACATTTGCGGCAGCTTTGATTGATCCGAAGGAACGATCAAATTTTTAAAAGCATCATGATATTGCCCGTTGTATTCATTGTAACAGTCTTATTCATGACAATGATGTTTCTTTAAGTACTGACCCGGTGATTTCAAAGTAATATTGGTGGCAGACATGACAGATCTATGATGAAGTCGATTTACATCGAGCTGGCTGAGGCTGGCTGTCATCTGCACTCCTGGAGTTTGGAGTGATGACCCCGGCGCCACCTAACTTAACTAAGTCCCTCCTCCTCGCAGGCGTCCTTCGGAGCCTGCGGAGGAGGGACTTACGACTTATCGAGTTGTTTCAGCCTGAGTAGATTTGGATTTGGCAGGGGCCATCTCCAATCCTCATTTTCACTGTGTCACACAAAATGACTCCTCACTTTCATCCGGGCAGACTATAGAACAAAGTCTTGCCCATCTTTTGGCCTCTTCAGATTCCTCTCAAGAGGTTTCAAATCAAAAAGTCCAAAGGACCTCAAAAATCATTAAAATCGTGATTTTATTTTTATTTTTTTATTTTTTTGCTGCGAGAACAGTACATGTGCATCTGTATATATGTTAAATCAAGTTTTGGACTCTCTCTGCTGACCCATACATTATTTCTGTTATTTCGGACACAATTTCCTTTTCTTTGAATTCCTCACACCTTATTCCTCAGTTGTACTCAGACAACATTCGAAATGAACAGCAGTTCCAAAGGATCAGACACTAGCTTTCACCTGGATCCTACACTGGAAGGTTTATCAGCACCAACCCCTGAAGGAACACCCGATCTTGTCGAAAGGATTTGTCGGTATATGTCAACACACAAAACCAACACCAAGAAATTTCTCCTGGCTTACCTACGATCCTCTGACCAATTGATTGTCAGGCGTAAGAAACAGTGGGGTTCCGTGAAGAAGGGATGGAAAACCACCGAAGAAGTTCTTGATGCGATTGACAACCTAGTTAATGAAAAGCCTCAATGTCGACAGAAATGGAATGATTGGGTCTTGAAAAAGGTACACTTGAGTATTTGATACAGATATCTAACAAGTGAAGTGAGCTCAATTATAATATTTTACCCTTCCACAGGCCAAGGTGATTGTAGCAGCACAATCTCCCCCAACTGGTAGTCTTTACATCAACATCAACAAACTCGATACAACTTTCTTTGACCGCGAAACCGATGTTAAAAGAGAGGCAACTATCATCAAAAGCATGAACTTTATCCATGAATTAATATCTTTTAAACTTGGTGTTGATAAGCATTCAGGAGTTGGAATGACTTCCGATAGCTCAGGTTCCGAAGAGGACTTCAACATTGATTCCGACACCGGCTTGGCCTTGCACAACAACTTTTCTTCGAAAACTAAGTTGCCTGAAGATGACGTTTATCACAAATCAAATAACAAAGCAGAAAACACAAAGACCCGATTGAAAGCGGTAAGGATTTTCTGAAAGTGCCCGGTAAGAATGCCACACTGACCCTTTATATCATCTGCAGATGGCTCTCACAATTGTTCAAATGCTTGCCTTTGGATCTAATCGCCGATGCAATTCCCTTCAAGTTCAAAATACAATCACTTTGCTTGCCTGTGGCGTTTCGGAACGAGTAAACCAGTATTTGTATCAGATTGGACTCAGTGCAAGTCGGAAATCAGCTCTACGTGGTCTTTTAGTACTTGCCAAGGATAACGCAAAGTCTATCAAGAAGAAAATCAAAGCTGCTGGGACTCTCGGTTTCCTTATATGTATTGACAATCTGGACATGATGGAGCGGGTACACACTAGGCGATTGGATGCAACTAGCAAAATTTTCCATGGTACTTGGGGTTATGTTCATTATCTGAAACCCGATTTACTCACTTTTGTAAATTCAGAAGAATGTACAGTGCCAGCTTTTCAGGGTTTTGTCAAATCCGATTGTGAAAAGCCTGTAAACTCAGGAGATTTACTTCCTACACAAGATGAACAAATTCGATGGACTCTCACTCTGAAGAATCAAATTGCTCAGGTCCTCCTACGATATATGAAGAGTCCCAAGAAGTTCAAGAAACTGTCAATATTGAACCTTAGCGCCATTGACCAGATCAAGCCCGAAATACCTGATATCAACATGCTCAAACTGATGGATTCATCAGACAACGGTTCTGAAGGCATCGCTTCCCTTTATGACGAGATCAGTAAACAGACCGGCCTCTCCCCTGAGGATTTTTCGAGTCGACTGCAAATCTTGGAAGGGGATCTTGGGACCTGTCTTAATTTTCACGGATTACAAAGCCAAAGAACTCCTGCAAAATTCGCCGAAGAAAGTCTATCACATCTGATAATGATTCCTGGTGCGGGCCACACTTTGTGGAACATTGGACAAGCCATTTTACTACATCACTGGGGCAATCCGGACAACAAGAACGATCTAGGAGCGTGGCGAACTGCAGTTGAGCTCGGCGGAAGTAAACTCAAACCAACTGCTAAGAAAGATTTCACTTCGATGATCAGATGGATTGAACAGATACATGAGGCCACCATTGCAAGCTGCATATTGTGAGTTCACCCGAGGCTTCTTACCACCAAATAAATATGTTTACTGACAAGGTTATGATGTACATCGTTCAAGTGATGAACTAGATCTGCCTGTTGATACAGTTCACAATCTCGTTGATATGACTGTTGAGCTCTTTGAGGAAGCCGTTGATAAAGTATATTTAGCTTACTTTTCGGGACGAGCCACACGTCTGGCGCGCCAAAATGGAGATAGCAAGAAACTCCAGCTGGTACTACGACTTCGGGATTTCGCCACCGTGGTTGAAGCCAATCGTGCAATGTCGGATGGTGATATTGGTCGACTTCTCCTGATGTGGAAGTCTTGGAGTGTGAAAATCCAAGGAATCAACGGCTTGACTCATTACTCTCGATATCTCCCTCGACTGATTCGGCTGCTTACCAAAGTCCTTCCCAAGAATCTTTCCCATGTTATCCTCCACTCGCTCTTAATATCGCCGACTGGTCGACATGGCCACTTTGTTGCTAAAGATTTCCATCTTGAGATAAAAAACTACTGGCTGAAATACTTCTATAATCATGCCGTAAGTTTTATCACATCTATTTCTTTTGCACACTGACTACTCATCGCTTTGTTCTGAATTAGGGACCCGGAACAGACATTCAGAGATTAAAAGAGACATACTCTCTTACAGTGGGTCTGGTATGTTACTCATCGGGCTTAATCATGGTGTCATCACCATTCATAGCTGAAATCAATTGGATGCAGCTTTCACATTTGGTTAATACAATGAAGGGTAGAGCAGGTCTGAACAATGTGCGACAATCCCGTCAAAATAAAATCACACCAGCTTCCATGATTCGATTTCTAAAGATGGCCCGAAGCGAAAGGATCCACCAATCTAGTCCAAACTCAACCATACCTGGGAAACCTCTGGGAGATATCCATTGCCTTGGGGTTGAGAAGCTTAAAGCCGAGTATCGCAAAAATCAACTTGAGCGTTTCCACTGGCCTGTTGCTTCAAACTACAGTCCAGAACAAGATGAAAATCAACCGGTTGAAAGCAAAGAAATTAATGAATCTGATCTGCGACATGGATTTGGAACTATTGATGAAGATTTTGTGGACTGGTTCAGCAAAGAGTACAACTCACTCGTTTTGGTAAGCCTCCTCTCTTTCATCAAGTTTATCAGCTGGAACATTATCCTCTTTCATCCATTTCAAACACCGCCGATTGAAATCAGCTTTAAGGATGGCAGCTTCTTTATTGGCTTTGACCTGAGCTGAAGACCTTCTCTTTTTCTTGGTTGCTGCTGCAGGACCAGTCGGAATTTGTTTGACGTTTGTGACATCTGCTAACACACGCTTGTCATCAGCTTTTCTTTTCATCTCTAACAGCTTTGCTTGTTTCTGCGAATATTGTAATGCAATGTCTTGTTTCCTCCATTCCTCGATGTATTCAAAAACAAGCTTGACACCTCCTTCAATTATATCCCCACCCATAGCCTGCTCGATGTCCTGTGATTGCTTAATGTTATCAAGTGAATTGACTATTGTTCTTGCCTCACCAATTCCAAAATAATCTTCACTTTCACAATAATCATCATCTCCAAAAATCTTGATGTAATGCAACTTATAAATGGAAACCAATTCATCAGCGAGTTCCTTCAAAGCTGTATCCAAAGGACCATTTCTTTTTCTTGACAAGGTTTTTTTAGGTAATGCTGGTGCATTACCCGCCTGAGCTGCAACTTTCTCGGCCTCGATATCGATGGGTTTCAAAAACCCATCAACTTTGAATACATCCTCCATAGCCATCTGATAATTCGCCTTTGTCAATCGAGGTAAGTTACAAACTAGCATCTCAGCAGCTTCTGGGTCACAATTCGAGCAAGTGCATTTTGGGAATCCGGCGTCTGCTTCCCGTTCCTTTTCGGCAATCACTCGGGGATCATCTACGCGACGGGGGATTGTTCCAATCCTAGATATCAAAGTCAGTCTGAGAAACCCGCCGAGTGATTGTTCCAACAAATGACGACTTACGTGTTTGCCAGTGATAGCGCCACTCGTAGGCAGATTGGTGTCAAAGCATACATATCCATGAGCTGATCGTCAGTCATTTGTTTTTTATCATCAACCTTCTCAACATCATTTTCACCTCCAGACCGAATTCTTTCCACAAATAGGATGGCTAACCCTGCACTTCTTCCGCGTCCACATCTGCCAAACAGTTGAGTCAGCTCTGGAATGGCTGTCCGACCCATGACAATCACCTCCATCACCGAAGGCCAATCTTGACCAAGGCCAAGAGCATTTGTACATGAAATCAGAGGGAATTCGTCTTTTGTATAACCCAAAATTCCACGTTCTTTCTCTTTATTTCCGATACATGAATGGTACCTTCGGATCAGAGAGCTGTCTGGATCGTGCTCGCCTTTTGGTGTGCCTCGGGCTTTGTTGATAACTTTCATCACCTCAAAGGTAGCATTCCTTGAACCTGAGTAGATTAGTGCCTTCACTAGATCACAATCGGGCACTGCTTCCTTTTTAGCATAAAGCGCTTTTAAATCTAATGCACTCCTTAACCCGTGGTCCATTTGAATTCGAATGATTCTGATATTCGATCGAC